TCCGCGGCCGCCGTTTCCGGTGCGGCCTCACTCATCTGCGCATCTTGCGTCAGGCTGGCGTGCAGGTGCGTTTTCAAGGAGAGCGTCAACCGGGCCATGAGGTCGGTCACCCCGGGCGCGGCCGCGACCGCGGCCGGCGGATTCGGGTCTTCAAAGGGCGGCTGCGGCGGCTGCGCAATTTCGTCGGCGCTGGCGCGCGCGGCTTGGAGCACGCTCGGAGGTGAGTTGAGGGTTTTCGAGGAATCCGCGTCAGAGATGCGGCTGCGGTCGACCGCGCGGTCGGGCCCCGGCCGCGGCTTCGACGACGCGACGCGGGCGCTCCGCGCGGGTTTGAGGTCCTCGGGTTTGGAGTGGCGGAGGACGAGCGGGTGCTGCCACAGCTGATCGAGGCTGAGGCGGTCGGAGGGGCGCTTCTGGAGCAACTGCAAGCGAATCGTGAAGAGGAACGTCAGTCAGGTGAATACTTTGGCATGGATGAGAGCAGTCGGGACAAAAGTTTGTTTGCCACTAGCGAATTGAATCACTCCTCGCTGCTGGCGAGAATGTCAACTTTTCCGGGTCGTCCGTTGAGTCAAGCGGCCAGTTTTGAGAGAACCGGCAATACGAAGCATAGGCAACATACCGCACAACTGCGAGGCCTCTCAGAAGAAGCGATGACTTTCATTGCCGGGTGTAGGGTTTGACGCACAATCTGCGATGATAGTTTCTACTCCAACCTGACCAGAAGTTTTGAAACATTACATGCTTAGAGATAGAATTGACCAAGAACGCAATGTTGTTGAGGCTCGTAAGCGAGACCTGCAGTTCTCGCTTTTGGATCGTCCAGATTGGTCAATCTGCTGCAACTGGACTAATCGAGCGTCGGGCTGATCAGCTATCAACACGAGCAGTGACGAAGACTGATTCCAAGAGGGAGTGCTTTGTAAAGGGAAGATGTGTGGACCCACCCCTAGCACCAGGTTTCTGCATTCCGGGGACAGACAGTCGGGCATCTCTTTGACATCCCGGTGCATGATGTCCGCCGTTACGATGTCGTCGTCGTCCCCATCGAACGGTGGATAGCCCACGATGAGCTCGTACACCAGCACTCCGCACGCCCTGTACGGGAAACGTACCCCCTTCCATGCATAAGCTCGCATAGGGAAAGCTTGCCATCGCAAACTAGGAAGGACATTTAATGGTGACAAAGGAGAATTGATAAGGTGCGCAAGAAACAAGGAGGCTATCTTCTCTGCAGTGGACTTGTCAGAAGCCAAATTAAGACGGCGCTAAGTGCTTTGCAAGTCCTCCTTCTCGCCGTACGCCTCGACTTTGCCCACATCCTATCCCGTTTGAATGGTCCAGAAAGACAAGTTCTCCACAGAAAGAGTCGAATAGCCCAGAGTGAAAGAGGCCTAAGCAAATGATTCTATGCCCAAATCTGGCCAAATATCAACGTAAACGCCCTTGAACCGCCCCTTACCACATGTCCACCTTCTCATCGTATGCCTCGACTTTACTCATGTCCTTTGGCCGTTGGAACGGCCGCTTGACCACTTCGGGGGCCATGTATTGCAGCGTCCCCAGGCGCGACGCGGGACGCTCTGCGCGCGCGTTGATCGCGAGCCCGAAGTCGCACAGCTTGATCGTCTCGTCCGCGGCGACCAGGATGTTCTCCGGCTTGATGTCCCTGCAACAGCGGAAGCGGAACGCGTTACGGATTGATCCGGCGGATCCATGGTGCGGAGCGGAGAGGCGATGGCGACGGCGATTGCAACGGAGAGGAAGGAAGAAGAAAGAAACTTAGGTTGAAACCGTATGGGGGGGGACGACCAGTCTCACAGGGTCCATCAATCGAACGTGCGAACATGACTGAGGGCAGAACGAAACGCGGTGATAGTAGCGGAGAGGACGGAAGAACCGGCGGTGCTTAAGGTCAAAAGCAACGATAGAAATGCACTCTTAAAACGTGGAGCAGGGTGCAACAAATCTGATCAGGCAACCAATTTACTATACGAACAGTCAACCATTCCATTCAGCAACTGATCAAAAAGTGATCAATCAGCAAATAATCAACAAGTAATCAACCAATCAAATGATCAACACATCAACAACTCGAAGCAGGCGTCTAATTAGCGGCGAAGGGGCCCCTTACCTGTGGACCACTCCCTTGTTGTGCATCTCCCGCATAGCCTTCATGAGGGGAATGAGCACCTGAGTGATGACCCACTTCTCCGGCATCCGTCCGCCCCATTTTTTGAGATGCTCGAAGAGGTCGCCCCCAGGGGCATGCTCTTGAACCAGGTAGATGCAGTCTGCGTCTTCGAAGATCCCGAGCCACTTGATGATGTGTTCGTGGCTGCGGAGCGGGTTATAAAATTGGTTCAGTCTCAAGTTATCACACGTGATTGGCTGTTTGAGATCGTTTGGGAGGCACTCTTCAGCTCATTTATGATCATTTGAAGTGCATTTGTCTGGTCAATTGAGCATCCAGCCTTGCATCAAAAGCTCTCGACTGAAGAAACGTTTGTCGGCTTTTGAACAGAATCAGACTCCTTGAAGACGAAAGCTATTAGTGCTTTTATGAATGGAAAGGAACGCGCATGTCTGTGACATTGGCTTAGGATTTGTATACTGGAAACAGCGGTTTCAGGTCGTCTCTAAGCTCAGGGGTGACCTTTGATACTGCAGCACTCGAGATCTTGTCAATCTTGCGGATCACTATAAACCTTCCTGGTCTGAATGTTTGATCAAAGATCCATCAAAGTCAATCTGAAAACCGTCGTGGTTTAACAAAGTGCAAGAAGCGGAGTTCAGCGACCTTCTTCCTGAAACTGTTTGCGTCATCTATGCCACGATTCGGCGCAAAAAACACTAAAGTTCAAAGAGTCACGCGTTTCGCGGTTGGCTCACCGAAGCATTCTCAGCAGCTTGCACTCGCGCTTGATGCGGTGCAAGTCGATGGCACTGAGGGCCTTGCGGGTGTGCGTCTTGATGGCGACTCGTTCGTTTGTTCGCGTGCAGACAGCGCTGTAGATCACGGTGTTCCTGCCACTCAACATGAGCGGAGTGAGACGAGGGGAATCTCAGAAATATCACTTTCCCTACAAATCGACGCCAAAATGCGCCATCCAAATGGTTAGAGCGCGTCAGATATTCTCAAGATTGAATGCCTCAAGGAGTCGTCTTGTAGTCTCCACGTGCCAAATTGTCTTCAAGCTTGAAGTAGTGCCAGTATGTGCCAAAGAAGTGCGACAATTGGCGCCGGTCTTGCAAGCACACCTAAAGTCAGGGGATTAAGCTTCTGCTTGTGATATTACCAATTTTCAGATAGAATTATCATCGAGCAACATTCACCCATGAGGTTCCAAGTGACCGCAGACTGCATACGACGCCAGAGAAGTACAAGGGAAAAATGGAGGAGTCTAGAGGTTCATACAGCTCTGAGGCATGCAAAGGGTCACGAAGGCAAAATCATACTGCAGGGTGCTGGAGTCAGAAGGAATGCCAGTTTGCAAGAGTTGATTGTGTAAGATCCCCACCTTCCTTTGCCAATCTCCCGTTTGTTGGTAAAATCCTCGAAGCGAGCGTGTTTGTACTTGTTATGAGGATGATGCAGCTCATCAGACCTGGGAGGCAACTAATTCAAGTTGAATATTTCTTGGACAACTACACTTTCAAGTAGAGGTGTTGATTCCGAAATGAGATGAAGCTACCCTGAGACAGACTCTGTCCTGGCCCGGAGGCTATTTGAAGTCGGGTACGGATGGAAAGATGCCAATATTGAGGGTTTTTTAGTTGGTACTGCCCCAGCTTGAACCAGCATAGCTTATCTCATCAGAAGTTCAAATTTCTCTGCTAATGCAGGCTTGCAAAGCTGATGAACTCAGGGCTCTGACAGATGCGAAGATCGTTCTACGTTTCCTCCCCCGGAGAAGCCTAAACTGCTCAGCTGTTGTGCAAAACAGTGGCCAGTACCAAAGACGAAGTTGAAATGTTCAAACCTTCAAGTCATGGAAGCAATAGAACAGAGTAACGGCAGTCGACAACTTCTGCAACCAGACGCAGTACTCAGTCGGCTGATGCACGCGGTAGGCTTTCCGGTTCCGCCTCAGAGAAAGCATACCTTCCAGATCCGGCCCGTCTCTGCACCGTTTCGACATTTTCACTTAGAATGGGTGCCGTGCTCGGGATCCAAGCGCTTCCAAAGGGAAACTTCGGCGCTGGCGGCCCAAGCCCCGCTCTCAGCCTTTCCATTTGAACATCCATCGTGCTTCCGTTGTTTTCCAGGCCCTTCTACTCAAAGACCTCCACACGATTGCCTCTTTGTGCAGATCTGACGTTGCGCCTCCCTCCCCGCCTCATTGAGCCGGGCTGCTCTGCAAGTAAGGGACCTTCACAGACATTTCGGTGCTCTTCTCTACTAACGTGTCCCCGCTCGTTCTTTCTTTCTCTTCTCCTTCACTTTGGCAGTAGGCCATTGACAAGTTTTCCGTGCACTTTAGTTGGAGAGACGACTGAACGCTTCTGCTGCTATACTCTTTTCGTCTCGTCCTTCTCCCCTTTCTTCCTCACTTCGATCACTTTTATGTTAGGCTCCCGCTTACGACTTTGGTTCCTTGATTTTGGAGGCGAAGACAAGGTTGACCAGAAAATTGTGATCCTCAGCACCTGCTAATTCAATGTATTTTTGCGATTAATAATCTAAAGCTAGAAATCGTAACGGCCAGCGGATCTGCACCTAATAATATCTTCGCACGCTGCCGCACTTTATGTGTGATCCGCGCAGTTGACCTGATTGAGATTCTCCATACCAGAAAGTCCAATCAAGTAGGTCTTTTAAGTCGTTTGTGAGAAGATTGCCGTATTCGTACCAGTCTTCTCCGAGGAAGAACGGCCGTTCAGCTAGGTCTTCTGAGTCTTCCATGGTCTTCCACGATCTTCTCCTAGAGGCCAGACTTGGGAAATGGAGCATAACGAACCAGCCTATGGTTTCCAGAGGATAAAGAATCCAGACCTGTGGCAGTCAAGATATTCAACGTTCCCAAACCAAAGAAATAAACTTCAAACCCGCTCCTGGAGTTCCAAGTGTAGAGTCAGGACTGCGAGTCGATGGTCTCTAGATGAAAGAAAGTCATGATCGAGGCATGCTTTCAGACTTTATCCTAGCCGTAGGTTTTCATCCGTAAGGACTTCATATTTGTTAACAAAGAGGATTCATTTGAATTAACCCACCTCTGAAATGGGACTGAAACCCTAAATGCAACATGATGTTGCGCTCCGCACCCCTGGCAACACCTGAATAGTTAACCGACCCGTCCTCGTTCTGCAGCACGATTGGACCTTGTTACCTCTTAACCACGTTTCTCTACAAATTCTCATCCTGGTTGCCTCCCTGTATTGGCATGTCAAATTCGCGGTATTAAAGCTATTTTATTTTTATCCGTGAATTCATTGGCTAAACTTGGCACCACCGAGCTTTGACCTTGAAGACCGGACACCGTCGATTCATCTTCCACTCTATTGAAACCGGTGATTGGCAACATCGCTCGTCTCACCAAGGGAACCCCTAACTCAGAAAACCCCATCCGCATCCTTAACTTACCCTAACCCCCAAATAACCCTGCCGCACCTACAAGGCCAGAGTCGAAACTCACTGCACGACACACGATTCCATATTAACCCCAAAAATGCCTCCCGGTTAGGGAGGCCATTCTCATTTACTCAATTAAGGGGACAGATTCCTACCGTACAACAAAAGTACAGATGTACGGCCCCATGACAATCGGATCTTGCATTAATCTTTCAAGGAGAACGTATTGTACGGTGATGATTGAAGGTCCGGTCCATTAAAGAACTTGAATGCAAGTTCAGGTTTCAATGTACGTAAGCAATAAGCAGGTACTATTCGCGGTGGTTGAGAGTATTAAAAACAGCTTTAGAGACGGACAGGCTGGTGCAAAGTGACGAGCTGAGCGAGTCCTGCACTGCTGATCTGCAATACAGAGACCTGGAGCAGTACAACATGTAGGTGCTTTCGGCTTCTATTCCAGAATTATTGCATCGGAGTCTGATGATCGCAGGCTCTGCCGATTTTCGCTCAGCCGAAACTCATAAGGTTTGTAGAAGACACGCCTACAAGGCTCACTGGAGGTGCACGGTACGATGACACGATGACAGACTCAGTGTTTGCACTGGTGGTTTACTTGTTCTATGATGTTCTAGGTAATGTGCTCTCGCAATATCTGACGACTTTCAACTACCGCTAGATGTTCGCTTGTCCAAGTGATAAGGGTGGTCCACTCATTTGCGCGCGCATTATTAATAGGCAGCTTGAAACCGTCCGATAGAGATCAATGTCCGGTTTCGGCAGATCGTAACCGTCCGGTGACTTCGACCGTACAGCTTGCCGGGCGGGCCGGCCGCCTACAGTGACAGGGCTGTAGCCTGGCCCGGCCGCGCGGGTCCGCGCTATATTCAAGTTCTGTCTCAGGCTACTACCGTCAGGCTATCTACTGCCCACGTGACTCCGGCATCGAGGCCTCGTGCAAGCTAGAGAAATTCTTCTCAGCACTGACAGCAGATTCTTGCTTCGTCGGATTTGTGTCAGGCTGCCTTCAAGTTGATCTAGAATGTGCCAATCAGTTGCTTCAAGCGGGGTGTACGCACTACTCCTTGCAGACGGAGTCAACCTGGTTAGGATTTTTCCGTAGCTTGAATCCATGTCCTAATAGCCCACCCGGTTCACAGCGGGCGGCAATGTGGAGACGGTTAGCTTTTCCTGAACCCCGGCGCGCGTGTTAAATGGAGTTATACACTGGCGGCCGCCAACGAAGTCAATACAGAGCCTTCAATGCTCGCTGTCCGGGTTTGGTTCGCAGTTACTAGTCTTGGTGTTCGAAATCTACATGCTCTCATGCATTGCCTTACAATGTATCACTTTATTCTTCGATTCAACCGCCAACCGTATGAGACTTAATGATCAACCAGATCTAACATCCTTCTCAAAAAGGATCTGATGTCCCCGGACTGACTCTACTAGATTCTGCATGACTGGTATTGACGTCACAAGCGTGTCATAACCAACACTTTCATGATCTATAAACAATACGGCCTACGTCACAGCGAGACTCACTCTGCAAGTGTTGAAACGAACCGTGCATGAAGCCGAGTAATGAAGGAATTATTGAAGCCTTCAATCGATTTGGTCGATCGAGGTCGCAGCATCACTTGCAATACTGGGGTTACGAACAGTGCATCATTTTGAAACATCCCTGCATTACTGAAAAACCCGCAATGAGTGGCATTGCGACCCAGCATAAGATGTCACAGCGCCCAGGCTTAGCGAGCAAAAGATGCAGGCTTCATTTGTCCTCATTTTAGTCGACGTTGCCCGGAGTAAACACACTCCCCGTCTTCCGCGCATGGTCGTGTAAGAGGGCTTCGTACCGGTCGCACAGCTGAACAGACACAAATGCTCATCAGCAATAACGTCACGCGGAGCTCGTAGCGCGAAAGGCATACACTCCCCAAAGGCATGCTTTCAAGTTGGGTAATCTTATCCGATTTAGAAGCTCATACCAGCAAACCAAGAGTTGGAACAACTTCAGTGTGACTTGTTCCATGGCTTCTCGCGTACGGAAAACGGTTCAGTTCCCCAACCTCTCAAAAGAGTCACAACCACAGAAAATCCCAGAAAGCGAACTCCCAAGATTCGCAAAGCCCAAACTCCCAATTTCTCGACGCCCGGAAAACCATCCATCAGCTCGCATTGATCCTCTTCTATTATATCAAAGCTTGAAAGAGCTGCACTTCTTCCGAGCGCTGATGGTCACCAAAATCTAAAAGCCAAAGAATCCAGATCTCTCAACTTCACAAAGCATAAAACCCAAAAGCCAAATTCTAATCTTTCGAAATCGAAACCCCAGATCCTTATTCCCACCTTAATCAGTTCGTGGTGGTCCGCTTTCAGTTCCTCGACCTCCTGGAAAAACGCGGGGCTGTAAGACGCAAGTTCGGCGCGCAACCGCCGGTTTTCCTCGGCCAGCCTGCGCGCCTCGGTGCCCATTCCGCTCGGGTCGCGTTCCGGCATTCCGTTCGCTCCGTCCGTTCCACCCGTATCGCGCTCCGCCGCTTCGAGGAGCGATTCTTCACGCTCGGCCTCCAGGCTTGCCACGTGGCCCCGCAACTTTGTCAACTGTGGGGAGATTATGCACAACTAGAGTTTCCATAAAATTCTTTGAAAGCGTTAGAGATGAAGGGCTGCGATGCCACTTCGTAATCGTTCCGGCTATAAGGACGATGCAACACCAGTCCCGCCGTTGCCTCTTTGCCAGTCTCCAAACACCGAACATGAAGCATTTTGCGAGACCCGTAGTGCTTCGTAGATGCTCCATTTTACTGCGCATTGTGCATTTTGCGAGACCCGTTGTACTTCATAGATGCTTCAAGTGTGAAACGCAATCCCCCTGACGAAGCCGTGTTTTTCGACCCGATTAAATTGCTGATTAATCCTCCAGTACGTTGTGAGCCATCCAGTATATATAAAGCCGGCAACTGTTCGAACGCCAGAGCAGAGACATTGACTTCATTTTCCTACTACTCTGAACCCTGTGACTTACAAAACCTCGACGAAGTGATCAGATTCTGACAAAGTAAGGAAATCCAGATATCCTAACAGGCACCCCAAACTAGCCTAACAGACCCCTAACAGATCCCCGACAATGTAAGGGAAACCCCGATAATCTGACGATCTACCAAATCTTCTCACTAGTTCCCAATAACCTAAGAAAATTGCTCTAACGTGGGAAAACCCCGTCGTTTAAACCCAAATCCTAAGCCTTACCTCCGCCGCGAGCTGCTCCAGCCCCACCGCGTTGCGCACCGCCCGCTGGCCGTGCAGCAAATCCAGCTCGTCCTCCGCGGCCGCCAGCTGGAGCGCCAACTCTTCCTCAGCCGTCGATCGCTCCCGCAGCTCGGCCCTGAGCCGTCCGATCTCCTCCTCCCGCTCCCCGCACGTTCGCGCCAGCTCCGCGTACTCCTCCTCGGGGACGGCCGGCGCGCGCGCGGCCGCGGCCGCGGCCGCGAGCTCCCTCTCTGCGCGCGCACGCGCCGCGCGCGCTTCCTCCAGGGCGAGCTTCAGGGACTGGTTCTCGTCCTTGGTTTTGCGGAGGTCGGCGCGGAGGGTGGCCTGCGAGTCCTCCAACTTCGATGTCTTCTTGAGGAGCTCCCCGTCGCTATTCCTGCAAGGATAAGGATCCTCAAACATAAGAGCTGCGGGTTCTGATCGGTTTGTAAAAACAAGAAGTTGCATTCTTACCAGTCGCGGTCTTTCTTTTTGAGTTCAGGGGTGAAGGAGGTGCCTGTCGCTCTTTCCGGGTAAAGATTGACTTCCCTTTTCGAACCTGGTCCTCATGTTCTCGCAAACTTGAGTTAGATTTTGGGATCTTGAGAGGCACCCCTTCCTGTCAACCGATAGTTTAACCCTTTTTGATCCGTCGCCCCGTACCCTATCACATGCATTGAGGGAGACGGGAAAGGAGGCGGTTCAAGAAAAGTCGCGAGCAGTGCCCCGGTTTGACTGCGGACTAACCCTTCCGCGACTATACAGAAAAGGACATTGCACCAAATCTTATGCCAAAAGCACTGGTGCCAATTCGAGACGATCTGGACGGCAGAAACCTAGGAGGTGGAATTGAGAACTTTGAGACCTGCGATGCCGAAACATCAAACCATCCATAAGGATGGAGCCAAGGGGCAGTGCGAGTTTGACAATCTGTATCCAGCAGCGCGCGCCCACCTGCGCGCGGTTTCGAGCTCCGCTTCGAGCTCGCGCACTCTCTTCCCCATCTCCCGGCCTTTATTCACCATCTCCATGTACTTCACGTTGCTATGGCTCGCTTTCCGCAGCGCCTCGTTTTCCGCCCGCAGCTTTTCCGCTACCTTTTTCAGCGCCTCAATCACGCCCTCCATCTCCTGCTCCTTCCGGGGGGTCGTTTTGCCACGCACCGTGGCCCCCCCGCGGGGAGTTCCGCTCGGCGAATTCCCCGGAGGAGCCATCTCCTCGTCGAACAGTAACTTCAGACGCCGCTGCACTCTCGCTAGCTGCAGCAGACTCTTTTCTTTTTCGAATCGAAGCTCCAGATTGGCATTGTCTTTCTCCAGTAGCGCCTTTTTACATTCCTCCAGATGCTGCAACGTGGCAGCCCCGGATTCGTTAGGCGCCTCGAATCGGGGGGATCCCCCTCTCCCAATACCCCCTCTCTGCGCACCCCCGGGCGTCAGGCTTTCCGGGATTTTGCCCGTTCCGCCGTCGTTCCGCTCGAGTCTTCGCCGGAGCTCCGTAATCTCCCGCTCCTTCTCGACAAAGACCGTCTTCCGCAGACGCTCGTTCTCCCGCTCTACTTCTTCCAAACCCTCCGTTAGACCCCGGATCTTGGCCGCGTCGCCGAGCCGCGGCCCGCGGCCGTCGGCATCGCGCCGGGCGGCCTCCAGCGCGCGCACTTTGTCCCGGTACTTGTCGCGCTCCGCCTCGAGCTGCGCGATCCGCTCTTGGGCCCCCCGCAGTTTGGCCTCGGCTCCGTCGAGGTCCTTCTTGGACTGCGCGACTTTCGCGCGGAGGGAGTCGAGCCGGCGCACGGTTCGCTTGTGTTCTTCCCAAGCGGCGAGGGCGCCGGCTGCAAACAAAAGAAAACCCGATTCAAGAGTTTGGGCATTTGTCTGGTTAGCGGGTCCAATCTGAGAAGAAACTTTCAAAATCTTAAAGATCGCGTAAGCTCCTCCAATTGCCAGCTATACAGACAGATGCAGAGTGCTTGCGAATATAAAACCCTTCGACATTTTGGAATCCTCTTGATAAAGTCAGTAATCGACTGTCGTTCAGCTGACTGGTCTCTGCATTTGATCATTTTAAAGCTAATATGACACCGTCAATTTTTCCAGTTTTAGTACCTTCCGATTTGACATGTAACAAGACCGCTTGTGCACACTTACCCTTTGCACGGTCAGTTCGAGTGCATGTCTCGCGAACCAGGCTTTTGCTTTATTCAAATCAGTCAAAGTAGCTTCGCATCCATACTTAGACTCTCCTGCATCCACACATGGACTCTGCGTTCTTACGAAAAGACCAAGTAAACCAGCCCAACAAAGGATGCAACTTTTTCAAGACTCCTTACTCGAAGCCTGAGTCTCTCCCCCTTGATCCTTTGTCGGTGCACTGCTCCCCGCATTCTCCTTATCCTCATGCCCCGTCCCTTCCGTTACCCCTAACCCTCCCAAACCCCTGTCCCGTTCGCCGAACCCGACCCTCCCCGTCGCGCCAAACCCTCCTAAACCCCTGCGCGTACCCTCGCCGCCCTCCGGCCACCCGTCGCTGCTCGCGCGCTTCGTCCGGGCTGTTCCAGGGATCCCCCCGGTACCTTTCGGGTCCGCTCCGGTATCCGTTCCGGTACTCTCTTTCGAGATAGCCGCTTTGGCTGACGCCGGCCGGCGGGTCGTGGAGAGCGGACCACTCTCGCGCAGTCCTTTCCTGTGGTCCGACCTGCTGGGCTGGGCGTCCGTATTAGCGGGCCGAGCGTCCGGGCCTTTCTCCCGGGCGTCCAAATGCTTCCCCGAGGCGTCCGGATAAGTTTTCCGGCCGTCCGAATTTTCCTGCTGTGCGTCCGCATGCTTCCCCGGGCCGTCCGAAAGGCTTTTGCGGGCGTCCGCGAGTTGGCCCTGCAGCCGCTTGTTTTGGACGGCCAAGATCCGCACCTTCTCCTTAAGCTCCGCGACTGCGTCGGCCTCGGAGGGTTTAGAGGTTTGGGCGCCCGCGGCCTCGCCCGAGGGTTTGGTGCGGTGGAGCTCATTTGTCAGGCGACGGCCCGCTTCCTTCTCCTTGAAGATCTCCTCCTTAAGGGCTTGGCACTGCAAAACACCGGAGCCGGACTCAGTCTCCTTATACGCTCACTGCGGGTTCTAGAGAGGGGTACCAGCACGAGGGCTGAGGTAACGAATGCGGAGCAGTTGACATGTGCGAATGCGTTACTCAGTTTGATTGTGCCCAACGTGGACTATAATTCCCTAGACGCTGACTTCCTAACCGTCCGCTGGGCTTGGAAAGACGATGTCTGCTCCTTGTTGTATATTGAAGTGGGACTAAATCCTACCACTTTGGCAAGGACATTGTTGGGTTTGTCCGCAATCCCGGACGTTTCTTTGTCAGACCGGTCGAAGGATCGTTCTGGAGGCAATTGTCGGGCCGAGCCTGACCAAAAGCCTGCTTCTTTCGAACACAGACTCCAAGAGTACTGCAGCATCTTAAAGGTTGGGATGACCGGCAGGTGGTTAAGCTGACCAACCTCAACAAAGAACTGAGCCATCCTGGTTTGACCAGGGGCCAGCACGTGGTGCAACGTGACACCCAGTGCGGAGACTCTGTAACTGCTACCATTTTGCATCTATGCAAGCAAGTCAATAGGAATTTTCCGACCAGTTCCATCGAACATAACTGGCGTCATTCTGAGAGGCAAATAAAAGAACGACTTCAAGGCGTCCAATCCCACTCTCCGCGTCAGCAAAGGGCTGCACGTGACGTCAGCGCCCACCTCAGCAGTCCGCTCCTGCTCCACCGCGCGGCAGCGCAGCACCTCCTCCTGCATGCGCTCCATCCGCTCGCCCAGCTCGCGCAGCCGCCCGCGCAGTTCCGCCGCGCCTAGTTGCTCGGACGCGCGGCCGCCGCTCTGCGCGAGGATCGCGTCCGCGTTCGCCTGGAGCGCGCCCACGAGCCGCGCGTCTAGTTGCTTGATCGCGTCGCGCATGTGGGCCAGCTTTGATTCCTTGGCGCCTGTGGGAACAAATTTTGGGATGTAAGAACTTCTAGGGAGAAAAACGAACCCAGCCGAAAGAAACGGAGAACCCCACCAGAGGAAGAAACGACTGGACCAAGTCACTTGGAAAGCTTGAAAAGCAACCCATTTGAAAATTCGGGAATTGACTTTGAGCAAGACTATTTTCGAAAGCCGCAAAGAAGCGAGACCGCTCGACCCTCAAAGAGAGGGCATCCCTTGACGGCAAAAGGCGGGAGGGATATCAAATAACATTGTCGCTGGGGCCATCCCGAGCAGGTTTGTGTTGGATAAGGGCTTGAAGAGAGGTTTCAAGTTGAAGACAGCAAAAAATATCTGTAGTCACGTAATCTATTCCCACATCGAAGTTCGGAGAAAGGTTTCAGAGCGGGTTAGCGCCATACCCAGCTGCGCCTTGAGCTTGGCCACCAGGCTCTCCATGAGCTTGGAGGGCGCGCGCGCGCGCTCCACTTGGATCTCCTGCTCCAGCCGCGCGCACTCGGCCGCCCGCGCGTCGCGCTCGTGCGTCAGGCGCGCCTCCGTATCCTTGTACCGCGCCTACAGCCAGAAGAAAATTCGAGAAATGACCAATTCCGTCCACCGCATCACATCTTTGCATCGTTCGATAGTGGGTAGTGGTACTAAAGGGGGATTCTGCAGCCAGATCCCGAATAGCTCGGAATCCAGACGCTGAACTCCATCTCTGAAGTACGGATTCTATGACACCCCACACCTCCCACTTGTGGAGCGGACTATGTTTGCTTCCATGAACTAGGGGCGGGCCGACTTCTCAGCCAGACCCCGAACGACTCACGAAGCTTGTCAGCCCTATCTTAGAGCTCTGAACCACGGATGTTCAATATCTTATATTCTGAACCTCAACATCTGACATACAGAAACTCAGCAGTGTAAAATCGCGCTTTTGACATTGTGTATTCTCACCTCCCACTCGCGCAGGCCTTGCTGGAGCGCCTCGATCTGTTCCTCTTTCTCGCTTGCAAACCGTTTCAGTTCCTCGAACGTCAGCTCCGCAAAGCGGCCCCCGCCGCCGCCGGCGGCGGGCATCCGCTTGCCCAGGTCGTGGAGGGCCGTCCGCATGTCCTGGAGGCATACTCAAATCTTGAGTTACTTTCATTTCAAGATATCATTTTAGGGTCGACTTATGGCTACTTTGAGTTGCGTCACTATCCAGAGGACGGACGGGTTTGGGTTTGAGGTTTTGGTGGGCTATGGGTGCGGAGAATGTTAACCTCGGATGTCAGAATGCGTGGAAGGAGAACGTGGACCAAATTCGAAGTTTTTAGACCCTGCCAAGCTTTAGTACCCTTTCGACCGCGCGTGTGCCCACCGCCCGGGATGCTGAGCCCGGGGTCCTGATTTTGGTCAGAATTTGTACCCGGTACTTGCGTTGTACATAACGGCTGACAGTTTTGGTCTTCAAGAGGTACCGGGGTAAGTGCTGGTTCCCAAGGCAGTGCGGCCGGGAAAAGCTACTTACTGCGCGCAGTCCTGAGTACCCAATGGTGGAGGTTTCGAAAAGTCCGAATTTGGTCCACGTTCTCCTTCCACGGGTTCTGCCAGGCTTCAATCTGTTTGAGCCCGACAATCTGGTTAGAGTCAACGTAGGGCTGACTCAACCCGTCATCAAACATTCTGAGTGCAGCGAAGAGCAAACGGAAGCAGACACGTTTGCGCTTCGTGAGTGGTTTGGAGAACGTGGGCAGTTGACGCCGTCAAGTGTTTCAGTGCCGGTCAGTCACGCCCTCTCCTTTCCAACATACCCTTGCTTCGATCGGTAATCTGCCCTTGGGCTTTACAAAGGTCTCCTTCGTGAGCAGGTAGGTAATAAAGCATTGAGCTGCTGGGGCAGTGCATGCTTTCCACCCCAAGCTTGGGTGATTCTCTTTCTCGCCTCGTTTCGTTGCATTGCTCCTCTTCCTCTTAGCTCTCTAGCATCGCGCTCACAAGACCCCTTCGTTGGTGCCGAGAGGGCCTCCAGGGTGAGTAGACTCGCCAATATGGATATCAACTCCAGAAGCTTGTACGCATGTTGATATGCGAAGGGTGAAATGCACGAACGAACTCGGTTCCTGTCTGGTTGCGGTTGTAGCGAGCCGATGAGTAGTCGGTCAAGCGAAACGCGTTCAGGAATGATAGTGAGTGGAGAAACGACTGGGACACCTGGATGCTCTTCTCGTTCCGCACGAAGAGGGCCTCGTTGAGCCGTCCGATCTCCGTCCGGTCCCGCTCCTGCTGCTCCAGCATCTTCCGCCGCGCCTCGCCGAGGGCCTCGCGCAATGCCGTGATTGCCGTCTCCTTCTCGCTCACAAGGCCCTGTAGCCGATTGATCGTCGCCTGTGCTATGTTTGCCACCTGTAAGGAAGGTGAAGGAATGGTCAAACAAGGCCTCACACACACAAGAAGCTATAAGTCGAACAGGGCCTCCCGCAGTGTCGTGATGGCCGCCTCCTTCTCGCTCACAAGGCCCTGTAGCCGGTTTATAGTCGCCTGAGCTATAGTTGCCACCTGTGAAGAAGTTGAATAAAGGGTCAAACAGGGCCTTCACACGAGATGAGAAGCCCTGTGTCGAATAGGGCCTCGCGCAATGTCGTGATCGCCGCCTCCTTCTCGGTCGAAAAGCCCTGAAGCAGGTTGATCGTGGCCTGAGCTACATTTGCCACCTGTAAGGAAGGTGAAGGAATGGTCAAACAAGGCCTCTCACACACAAGAAGCCATAAGTCGAACAGGGCCTCCCGCAGTGTCAGGATCGCCGCCTCCTTCTCGTCAAGAGGCCTTGTAGCCGGTTGATCGTCGCCCTGCGCGATCGTCGCTACCTGCAAAAAGAATTAAGCGAACATGGTCTTTCACAAAAAGAAGCTATGTGTCCGAGAAAGCCCCCTGCAGCGTCGTAATAGCCGCCGCCTCCTCGTTCGAGAGACCGTGTAGCCGGTGCTAGTCGCCTGCGCGATTGTGGCTACTCACAAAGGGAACCGTCGACTGGAGTCGGACAGGGCCTTTCGCGGTGACACTATTGATACCTTTCATTCCCTGTGGCCGGATGATCGTCGCCTGCACGATCATCTACCTACCAGAAGAAGGATAGAGAGGAGTCAGACAGGGTCTCCCGTGGCGACAAAGTTGCAGCCTGGTTCCACTCAAAGGGCCCTGGAGCGCATTGATCGTGCCTGCGTGCGGGATAGAGTGGCAAATTGAAAACGGAACCTCTTTAACCATGCTCCAAACCATTCCTGTTGCTCATTAAAGCTGCGATAGCTAGATTGTTGCCTTAGCGGTCGTCTCCACCCGCCAAAAGAGACTCATAGAGTTGTGCAATCATAATGGCAACCAAAGATCCAGTTCAATATTGCTGAGCCTCCATCTCTCTTCAGATCCAACTGAAACCCTGAATCTCAACCTCTGCCACCTGGAACCCCGCCCCACCTGCTCCGCCGCGCGCCCCTCACGCGCCTCCGCCGCGTCGCCCGCGGCCGCCGCCGACGTCACCGCCGACGTCAGCCGGTCGTGGAGCTTCGCCAGCAGCGCGTCCCGCTCCTGCTGCACCGCGCGCAGCTCCGCGCGCTTCTCGGCCGCGGCCGCGCGGGCCTCGCGCAGCTGCCGCTCGAGCTCGTCGCGCTCGTACTTGAGGCGGGTGGCAGTCTCCAGGTGCTCCGACGAGGCCTTCCGGTGGGCTTCCGCCGTTTCGGCGAGCTCTTGCAGCTGCGAGGGCGGTGCGGGGCAGTCTTCAGTTGTGATCATGATTAGAACAACCAATTGATCACCGACTAGATTCTCCTTTCGCCATTCTATCAAGACAGGGCATGTATACCAGGCCATTGAAAAGAACCGTATCAAGTATATATACTACAGAGGGCGTCTGGTCCACGTGGCTTGCAGCAACACTCGGATTCGCAGGTAATGATTACATTTTACTTCAACCCAACTGACTTTTGGAGCGACTCTCCTGAATGATTCTCGAGCAATCAGTCGCCTGGGGGCGTGCCACCTGACGGCCCCCCGACTAACGCCGGTGAGCAAACCCCAAGTCTCAACCCCCCATCTAGCAGCGCTGTCTCTTTACCTTTGAATCGTAGTCGGTTCCCGCGCGCGATTCCAGCTTCTAACTCTTTTTAACTCATCAAGCGTGACAAAAGGCAGGCTTTCCAATGACATCTTATTGCAAGGTAAATCATCTCTTCAGAGCTGCTTCTTCCTCATACATTGTCCTGCCATTCCCACGCAGCTACCCAGCTTCCTACTCATATTTCAGCCCAATCTAGATTCGAACTCGATCCCAGCAATAGCAGAATATCCCGTCGCAATTCCGGGCGAATTTGTCGTGCAGCAGTGCCAGTTCCTCCCCACTACCTGCAGTCGCCCGCTTCTAACCCAAAGTAACTTGAACCCCGTCGCAAAAGAGTCACTATTCAGGCGGAATTCCGGTCACCTGCCGGTGCAGCAGCGCCGTGTCCTCCCCGTGGATAGCCACCTTCGCCGCGGACGGCGCCGCCTTCCGGACGCTCCGCTCCATGCGCAGCCGGACGTCCAGCGCGTCGCGCTCCTTTCTGAGCGCGAGCAGCTCGCGCTCCGCGAGCTCAGCCCTGCGCTGCGCGCCGTTGCGCGCGTCCTCGAGGCGCGCTCGCTCGCGGAGGGCGCTCTCCTCGAGGGCAGCGATGCGCTGCTCGCTGCGAGAGCGGAACAGACGGGGATCCAGAAAAGAACGCCATACAAAGAGGGCTGCCATGAAGATTTTCTGATGAAAAGGGACCCAGAAAAGAGCTCCTTACGAAATGAAGTCGGAGTTGACTAATACGGGAAGCCTTGAGACGTGAACAGAGTCCAGAACGCAGCAGTTCCTAGAAGCCAAAGCCGGACCCATCCTGTAATGCGAGGAATTTCGTGGGAAGTCAGCTTCAATCTAGTAAGCCATATAGTCCTGTAGAAGGTCCGTACCGCTCTGATGAATGAAATACTGACAAGAGACGAAGTCTCCAATTTGTCTCTCCTTACCTCTCCGCGCCCGCCCGCTCTAGTTGCCCCACCCGCTCCTTCTCCGCCGCCAGCGCGCGCTCCAGTCTCCCCACGCCTAGTTTCAGCTGCAGCTCCCTCTCGCCCAGCTCCACGTTCTGCCGGTACACCTCGGGCGCGCTCGCGCTCAAAACGCGCTCGACGTTCTTGACGCGCGCGAGCTCGCCCTGCGCGGCCGCGAGCGCGTCCTGGAGCGCGCGGAGCTCGCCCTTGAGACACGTGGCGGCCTGAGAGAGGGCCTTGCGGTCCGCCGCGAGTTTGAGGAGCTCGGCGGACCAGGCGGCGGCTTTCTGGCCGTCGATCTGCGCAGGAAGGTAGGGAAACTTCAGAGGGGCGATTTGTGGCCGTTGGATTGGAATTTATGAACAATCAGAAACGCCCTTTCAAGCTTCACCGAGTCGAGCAATCCGTTGAAGTGAAGAAAGCTCGCCGAAGGCATGCTCATGAATCCGATCAAACGGACTCGTTACTCTCCCCTTTCCACAAACGTCGAGACCCCTTTATCACGTGGGGAATGCACACGCTTTGAGGTATGTACAATAGTCCGCTCTTCCAAATGCTATGGTGCGCTGGGATCAACCAAAGTCCCACCATAGCGAACTATAGGAGAATGCTCGATCGACAATGCAGAAGGAGTTGCCGACAAGAGCCCTGGTCCTAGCTTTTCGGAACCTTTGGAGCCTATGTTTGAAAAAGTTTCGAGGTATTTTTAAGTGGTACGAAGGAAGAGCCACTGTAGAAGCTGACCGGAACACCCCGCCGGAGGATACCCAGAAGTCAGATCAGGTCGTCTAGTGACTCAATTGAGCACAGTCGCATTGTAATGTCTGCTGCCAATCGCTGCAGACACGTCAAGAGTGAGACCTGTGGGCCACCTTTGCAATTTGGACTGACGAAGCAAATTCTTGCAAACGTTCGCCCTCAAAAAATACCCGCTCTCAGAGTGTGATCTGTACTAGACCGAAGAACGCTGAGGATCTGAGATTTTTGGGGGGAAAAGCGGGGCACGTGCCTGGCACGCGAGCGCGCTCTCAAGCCGCCGGAGCGCGCGCTGCTGCTCCGCGTGCGCCGCGCGCGCCTCGCTCTCGCTCGCGCACAGCCGCGCCTCCTTCTCGTCCAGCTGTTGCCGCAGGAGGAGCACCTCCGAGCGCGCGCGGCCGGCCGCAGTCTCGGCCCGCGCGAGCTGCCGCGCAAGCGCGATCTGCAAGGTGGAACCGGAAAGAGATTTCGATCTTCAGCTAGTGCAGTTTCCATGGAGGATTCCAGCTTTCTGGTCCTGCCTTAAAATTCTCATTTGTCCTGTTCTCCACCTCATTTGTTGGACTCTGTTGATCTCAGCTACCGCGCGGCTTCAATGGCGGCAATCCGAATCCTTACGAGCCTCCAAGCACCATTGTCCCTCCCCCTTACCTCGTCGGTTACGTAACCGATGAAAAGGTAGCTGTTCGACCCGAGAGGCACTCCTCCCATCTCGGAAGGCGTCCAAACCACTACTCGTTCTCAGAGCCACGTGAAAAACTCCCTACCCCTCGCGCACCTCTTTGGCGCGCGCGCGCGCGACCTTCTCGTGCAGCTTGGCGGCCTCCGCCTTGGAGTCGCTCCCCTGCCCGAGCTCGCGCACCGCCGCGCGCAGCTGATCGCGCTCGGCCGCGGCCGCCTGGTCGCCGCACTCGCGGCCGGCCAGCTTCTCGCTTAGCGCGTCCGCGCTCGCGCGCCACTTTCGGACCTGCGGAAAGACGTCGAAACCACATTTGAAACTTGGTCTTCATGGTTAGGCGCTTAGTGAGCCGGCACACACGGAAGTGGACTTCTTGGGTCAGCCCTCGACATCCGTAACCGTCAACTTGTGTAGAGGGGAGGCTTCAGCCTTTGGCGAGCCTCTCTAGTTACCCAGATCCGAACTTACGAGCTTCGCCCGTCTACGAAGCCCCACAAGGCTCTCAACGGTCTATGAAACCTGCCTTGAAAGTGGAGCTGACTCGTATTTACGGCAGCAAACAGAAGATCTCGGTCGTTAAACAATCGAAATCCAAGAGGCAGTGAGTTAGGGTGTGTGTTTTGGCGAACAGACATTTCACCATTCATGAGGCGACGCTGGTGCCAACTTCGTCCAAAATTGCTCAGACATGACCGTTGGGCGACTACCGTCTCTTTCAAGAATTACTATGGCCTTTGTTCTCCGCTTCGAGGTTTTCCTGTTCCTGCTCACCTCTGCCTCCAGCTCGCCCACTCTAGGTCGGAGGTTCGGTTCCACTGGTGCCGCTCGCGCGTCCCTGGCCGCAGCCGCGGCTCGAAGCGCGCGGCTCTCCTCGTGCGCTTCGTGGAGCTGCTTCGCAAGGGCGCCAACCTGGACAGACAGGGGATCAGGGGAGGTGAGGTCATTTTCTGGATTTAAGAGAAGACTTCTTGGTTCAAGGACTTCTGATGAAAGTACTTGTGGATTTCAAGGAAATGTCCTGTATGGGAAGAGCAATATATGGCTGATAAAGAACTACTTCCAAAGTTCATTGTGCGTCGTAAAGAAAGAGAAGGTACCGTGGAAGCCCGCGGTACAAACCTGCGGTATCAACCGGGCACTACTGAAAGCGTGATTTCGTGCTAAACCAGTGCCCGGAATGTACATAGCGGCGACTCCTCGAACGACGGAAGGGTGTCTACAGAAGTGTTCCTTCAAGGCTTTCTCGTCGGCAGAACTGTTTGATTGTACACGCCGCTTCGGCGATGCGTGCAACTCCAGGATGCAAGCAATCTCAGAACAACACGAAAGGTGAACGCTGTATTCCTGCATGTCAAAGTTTTTCTGAACCATGACTGGGGATCATCTAACACGCAGAACCTTTTATCCCGAATTGTCACCTATATTCCACAAGGACTGATCCGTTGACTCAGTGCTCACCTGCCCCTCCAGCTCGCGCAGCCGCCGTTCCGCCCCCTCGCGCACTCCCTCTGCCGCGCCGCGCTCCCGCGCCGCCATCTCCGCGCGCCTCTCCGCGAGCGCGCGCGCCACGCGCAGCTCCGCCATCTCCTCGCGCACTCTCTCGTCCCCACCCTCCCCCTCCTTCAGCTCGCGCAGAAACGCCTCCAGCTGCGCGCACTTTTCGGCCAACTGCGCGCGCTCCTCGTCCACTTTCTCGGTGTTCTTTTTCAGCCGCTCTAGTTCGTCTCTCGTGCGAGCGGCCTCGGTTTCCGCCAGCGCCAGCTGCGTCTTGTCGGTCAGGTTCTCGGTCAGCTTTCTCTGGGTCTCGTGCAGCGACTCAGCGAGCGCCACGTGGTCCTTCCGGGGCACCGAGGCTGCGAGCTCTTTGGCGGCGGCGGCAGCGCGCGCGTCTGCTTCCTCCTGCGTAGAAATGTCGCCACTTGTTAATGACGTGAGCGAACATCTAAACAGGGGTTCCGCGAGTCGGGAGTTGAAAGACGAACTTTGACGCCCTGTCTTCGACAACGGAAAGACCCAGTGATCCTTGTAATTAATCAGTGAACGCCTTTCAGCTGACGATATGATCAAAGTCATCCAGATTCGAAGATACCAAAGCAACGGTTCCAAGATATTTTGCTAAAAGCGCCTAAGTCGGGTTCTCGCCCGCACAGAAGACACAGCCAAAACAGTCCCATCCGGTCCTAAGTGACAGGTCCAGGGGCCAAGATGTTGCCCGCCAGGACGACAATCGCTTCAGCTGCACTGGATAAGGGTCTGCCTGTTTACGCCCACCCACCTTGCTCTTCTCCAGAAACCAGTGGTACTGCCGTAGCGTGTCCTCCATTTCTTCCATCTCTAGTTGCACGCCCTTGAGCCGCTCGCGCGCCTCGATCTCTCCCGCGGCCGCGAGCTCTGCGGCGCAGGCAGCGCGCGCCATCCGGACCTGCTCAATCGTGACGTGTCAGGATCAGAGTGAGCGAGGGTCACACATTATTTGACTCTTGTGGTGCCAAATAAGAAGGCTAGCACCCTTTTCTTTTGTCGAACTTGATCACTGAAAGCGACATCCATAGGCCGCAGGGTTCAAACTGCGAATTTCAGAGAATGGCATTGTTGACAAGTTCGGGGCAGATTGGACAATTTTTGGCAAGGTTTAGGACTCTTTTAAGTCATGGACCTGACCAACTTGTAGGGGCCAGCCAAGTTTGAGACGGTAGCATGAACAAACCACAGGTTTCATCGCATCTAATCACAGCTGATTGCTTTGACAACGGTTTTAAGAGAATGGGGAGAATTGAGCAGAAAGATGAAGCGAAAAAAGGACGTTTGCAAACGGTATGGCTTCCGGCGTCATTGGCTCACTAAAGACAAACCAGCGACAAGCTGGAGAAGATGCCGATTGCACTTCGGTAACTCCCACTTCACTTAAGAGCCATTCCACTCAGGATAGGGGCCCCGGAGACGGGTAGGGTTAGCTTGGTGGTTAGGACTGGTTCGGATGCGGAGCGGGTGATTTTGTCGGTCAGGGTTTTTAGTTTGTTTGCCCGGGTAGCTCGGATCTTAAGTGAAATGATTTGAAGTGAAATGGGAGTTACCAGTATGCGGATTGCCTTACCTGCAGTACGGTCAGCCGCTTCACGTTGCTGACCAGCTGCTGTCTGACGTCGCCCCCGCGCAGTGCCGCGGCCGCCCTCTCCCACTCCGCCGCCTCGCCGCGTGCCTCCGCCACCTCCGCGCGCGCGTCCTGCAGCTCCTTCTCCGCGCGCGTGCGCTCGCTCGCGCTCTCCGCGGCCGCCTTCTTCGCCGCCTTCTCGAGCGCAACCCTCGCGTCTTTCGCACGCTCTAGTTCTGCACGCTGCGCCTCGAAGTCGGCCGTGAGGAGCGCGAGTTGGTCCTCTTTGATCTGCAGCTCGCGAACGATCTCGTCCCGCTGAGTGCTCGCAAAGGCAACTTCCTCCCTGCGTGGCTCGTCTTTCTGGTCACCAATTTGTTTTTCGCGGCCCGGCGAGGCGGCTGTTGAGCGGCCGCCGGCGTCGCCCAGCTTCCTGCTGGCGTCATCCACCTGTCCAACAACGTCATCAAACTTCAAGCTGACCTCACTCGACACGCCGCTGACGTCAGCGCGGGCGCCCCCGCGAGCTGGGGGCGACAGCTGGCCCTCGACCCGCTCCCTCAGCCGCGCCCGAAAAGCATCGCGCTCCCGTTCCGCGCGCTGTGCGCGCGCGCGCGCCTCCTCTGCCTCGACCTCCTTTTCGGACACGTCGTCCATCAGCCGGTTCAACCGCTCCCGCAGCGTCCGCTCGTACTCGCTCCGAGGCGCATTCACACCGTCCGGAAGGGCGTTTACTCCATCCGGCAACGCGGCGCCTTTCGTGGGGGACGAAACCAGCTGTCCTGACTGCCACGTCACCTCCTGCCGCAGCAGGCGCAAAATCCCCGCCAGCTCTTCCTCCACCGCCGCGTGTCCTTCCTGGTTGGATGCCACGTGTCTATCATCCGCTTGCTTGCTTTTCTCTTTCCGAGCTGTATCCGCTCCTGTAGTTGCAGATCGATCGCCCGCGAGTTTCTTTGCACTTCCCGCCGCTTTTGAAAGAGCTGAGATCACTCTATCCTTCAGAAGCAGGTTCTCCTTCATGAGCGTCGTGTTCTCCTCTTTCAAGTGCTCCACCGTTTCGCGCAGCTCCGCACTCTGCACGTCCGCGAGCGACAGCTTCGTCCGCAGCGTCCGCACCTCCATCTCAAACCCTATACCTCCGGGCGCTTTCGCGGCCGCGCCGCGGGCCCTCCCAACCCCGGACGCGTCGCTCTCGCTCTCCTCCGTTTCGCTGCCGAACCCACTCCCATCAGTTGCCCCAAACCCACTTCTTTCAAACCCACCTTTTCCGGCTCCCCCAGACTTCGTCTTTCCAAACCCGCTCCTTGACCCACCTTTGTCCTTTCCGAACCGCAGCTTGTTCGAGTACTCCTCTAACGCCACTAACTGCTTCGCCGTTAACCCCATTTTCGCGGCGGCCTCCCCGTGGTACTTCGCGCGGTAGCGCAGCTCATTCTTCAGCTCGCGCCGCTCGTCCTCCAGCTGCGCGAGCTCCTTCTCCAGCTGCGCGTTCAGCGCGCGCAGCTGCTCCACCTCGACCTGCGACTGCAGCCGGAAGTCGCCCAGGTCCACGGCCGCGGCCGCGGGGACGCCCGCCTTCTGGCGCAGGAACCTGCAGAAGGCGAAACGGAGAACTTTGAATTGAGACACTTCAAGAGGTCACGCATAGGTATATCTGGCGTGCCCGCGGAGACGCCCGCCTTCGTAGAAGATTTTTGGCGAGAGAGGACAAAATTTTGCAGGATATTACGTCTCTGTGTATGCACTTACATCAACGCTTTTACTGGCTTGCTCTCGGGAATGCCCGCCCTTCGGAGCAAGGATTTGGAAAGAAGCTATTCGAAAATTTGAGAAGGAAGGGCAGAGTTGACTAGGTTGCAAGCGAAGCACGGAAAGGCGCGCAACTGTTCTCCTCGAGGAGATCCTCAGTCTGCTGGTTCCGGTGGTTCGATCTTGTGAGGCACCTCCTTCTCACCAGCTTTCAGCGCATGTTGAGCTTGGAAAGCGGAATCCTGAGCGGCACAACGGAACGCGCGCACCTGTTTTCTCGAGGAGGTCCTACACCTGTCTGATTCCGGTGGTTCAGCTTGATGGGGCACGCCTGCACTTTCTCCTCTGGAGAAACGGAATGTAGAGCGGAAGGACGAAAATACGGAGCCGGACTAACGGAATGGTGGCGCGCACCTGTTCTCCTCGAGGAGGTCCTCCATTTGTTGGTTCCGGTGGTTCAATTTTGTTAGGCACGCCTGCAGCTCTTCTTCACCGGCCTTGACGGACTTTTTCAGCCGCTTCACGTCGCGCATCGCCTCGCTCAGGCCGTACACGCCCGCCTCATAGTCGGCCAGCCGAGACAGCTGGTACCAATTGACTGGTAGAAATAAGTAAGTACACATCTTGGTTATCAGTCTATCAAATGAGCCTGCTCTTGAGCCGCTTCGTATGCTATCGCCTCGCTCAGTTCGTACACGCCCGCCTCGTAGTCCGCAAGCCGCGACAGCTGGCAGAACCTGATTGGTAAAGTTGAGCAAGTATAGTACCCTTGAAGGTAGGCTCTACCTGAGAACAAATTGTATAGGCTCTTCTTAAGTCGCTGCATGTTGCATCGCCTCACTGAGGCCGCACGCCGGCTTCAACACGACGTCACATTTCAACAGATGGCTCTATCGCACAATTTCTTCAGAAAGTGGGCCGCCTTAAATGAGAAAGCGCTTCGCGTACGATCTTTTGCGAACAGAGCCTGTGAAGCAACCAACTGCGCTGATGATATTGCGTTTCACGCGAAGTTCTAAATGTCCAAAGGACTGAATCTGGGTCTGGCGCGGAAAGCGATGGCAGAGCGAAATTGGCGAGAAAGATGGCCCCTCACCGCCTCCTCTTTCTCGATCTGCGCCTCCGCGAGCGCCCGGTCTAGTTGGTCGTACCGCTGCCGGTCCGCTTCTAGCGCCGCCTCCTTTGCCCGGTTGTGACTCTCCAGCTTCGTCAGCTGCGCCTTCTGCCGCGCCAACGCTGTAGGCAGGAGGAAAATCGTTTTCGACGTTTAACACAAAGCAAAAGAGAAAAGTGTGACTGAATCAAGATTTGCCGAATCGGATCGACTTGTCTCTTTGCGTTTTTATCGTTCTTATGTATTAGTTGTGAGTCTCCAGCTTCATCAGCTTCTCCAACTTCACCAGCTTCATCAGCGCGACTTGGTGCCGCGCCAACTATGAGGACAGAGGCGAATCTTTATCACCGTTACCTTTGCCGAACAGTCACACACAGAATGCTCTTCCATCTTCAGATTGAAAAGTCGACTCTTCAAAACCTCTCCGGAAACGAATCAAAGTCCAAGAGGCCGAATCGAGTTATTTTGCATCCACGGGAATGATTTGAACATCAGTCCTGTCCCTGCGACGATCTTTAGCGCACCGTGTCAAAGGCCGTCAGATCTGACAGCAGGTTGCCGGAGAGTCCCAGCGATTCCAAAATTTGGAAGCTGAAAATGGTCACCAGCCGCCGAATCCTCCTAGCAGTCTGATCTTCTTTCATATTTGTCAGAAGAGCTTTGCATGAAGATTTTGAACTCCACACCCAAATCCAGCTAGATTCGGAGACAAATTCAGCCAGGTTTCTTAGACTCAAAATCTCGAAACCCACCCGCGGCCAGCTCTTTCTCCTGGTCCCGCTCTAGTTGCTCGTACGCCTCCAGCAGCAGCGCCTCCTTCTCTTGCGCCGCGCGCAGCGCCTGCTGCAGCGCGCCCGCCTTGCCCTCCCCGTCGCCGCCCTGTGACGTCAGCACCGCGCCGCCGGCCGCGTCGCGGTGCCACCGCTCTAGTTCCTCGCGCAGCGCGGCCGCCTCGTCCTCGCGCGCCTGGGAAACAGAGGGAAACGGCGCGATGTTTGACCTGTTTCTTCGTAGAAGATCTGTTCGAAAGCTGGCTTCTCGAGGGCAGCCTTTGGCATTGATCATGTGGTCAAAAAATAGACGTCAAATGACGGACCGCACTTTCCACCTTCGGCTCGCTCACGACAATCCTCGCCTCGGATATAGAAACGAATTTTCTCTGAACCTTGGCAAGCCAGAAATGTAGAGGCTCCTCATACCATGCGTATCGATTTAGTCTACCTTGATCTCCTTGCTAACTTGGCGGCCCGGCCCTCCCACTTCAAACAGCTCAGCGAGCTGCTACTCAAGCTTGTTCAGGTGGGAATAGGATGGGATTGATACTCTGAAAAGCTAGCACCCCAAAAACACAAAATTCGTCGATTCCAAGTCTTGTATCTCCAGAGTCTCGAGTTCGCGGTACTGGTCCGCGAGACCCTCCTCAAACTCGTCAAGAGAGCCATGTCCTTCGACGTAGTGAAAAACCTCTTCAAGTTTTAAAGACCTTAGCACCAAAAAGCCTGGTTGTCTTAACTCACACTAACTTCCTCCGCTAGCTCGGCTGCCCGCCCCTCCCACTTGCGGTACGGCTCCGCGAACCACTTTTCGAACTCCTCCAATAGAACCATCTTCTCAAACGTACTCCAGGTTATGAGAACCCGCTTTTGTAACCTTCAACTTAACCGTAAAGTTAACCTCACCTTAACCTCCTCCGCCAGCTCGGCTGCCCGCCCCTCCCACTCGCGGTACTGCTCCGCGAACCGCTTCTCGAACTCGTCCAGCAGCGCCATCTTCTCGGCCGCCACGCCGCGCAGCTCCGCGACCTGGGCCAGCAGCTCCCCCTTCTCGCGCTCGGCATCGGCTGCCACAGCCTCCATGTCCGCGATCTGAACATAAACAAATGGATTGAATCGTATGGTTTCTTTCGGTTTCTATCGAAAATTCTAAAACCCGTTTTCGGGGGTTGTGAACAAACTTTACGATTTTGCAACTCCGCCGCGCCGCTCGGCTACCTGGGCCAGCAGCTCCGCCTTCTCGCGCTCGCCGTCGGCCGCCACAGCCTCCATATCCGCAATGTGGTGAGAACCATGGTAAATCAGGTTCGAGGCTACAGCTGAAGTACCAGGTTTTTGGAGAAGTCCAACATTTTTCCTTTTCGATGCAGATGTTTGGGGAACTGCCATTCGTTCAACCGCGATCAACCATGAACTGCAGGACCGCTGTCCGCATGAGCTCCTCGGCAGACTCCTCCCACACCACTTTCGCAATGAGAAAAAGGACCCCGACTTTACGTGTCCGCCCTTCTGGCGCCTACCGTCCGCAGCCACCGCCTCCACGTCCGCAAATGCAGGAAGTGTCGAGCGTGAGGATCTAGGGCCGAAGTGTTCAGGACCCTTTACAGCGCGTGAAAGACACGCTTCTGACAAGATCGGAAGGTTTGTGAACAGAGAGTCCAACGCGCCAATCCGACCAGGCCTCTCTGATTGCCCTCCTGGCGACGGTTCAGATTATACCAGAGCCGTCAGTCCCCCTCGTACAGCCGAGGGGTGACCTACACTGGCAACATGAGTTTTCTGTTCACAAAGGATGGGTTATGACAGATGCGGTTTTCCAGTTTGCCGCGGCACTGTCTGAAGATGCCTCGCATCGCTCGCGCTGCCCTTGTCGATCCGCAAGAGCCGCACAAGTACTGCTCGAGAATCAGCACTCTGACACGTGGCCCTCCTATTCGCCGAAGGCAATCCCACCCCTAATCGAGCTCTGGGATCCGCCACGTGGCGCCCTCTCACCGTGGCGTCCCGCTCGCGCTGCGTCTCGTCGAGGCGCACCACCTGCTCGCTGAGCTGCAGCATCTCGGCGGCTAGCTCCTCTCCTTTAGCCTGCACCTCCACAAACTGCCGCTCCAGCACCTTGTTCTCGCGCTGCAACCGGTCGATCTCCCTGCAGAGAAGTCGTATATGGGTTTCAGAATGGAGTTAAAGCTGATGAAACTTGCGGTTCAGGTTGGAATTCACGAGCTTGAGGTGCAAACTTGGGGGCCGATCTAACTCCAGCTTTGAAACTTGCGGTTCAGGATGAGATTTCGACTTTGGGGGAGTGATCGAGTTTTCGCGATGCGCCTTGCATCCAAAGAGCTCTGGACAGCACCTTGTTCTCGCGCTGCAGCCGGTTCGTCTCTTTGCGAAAAGACCTGGGCTTGGGTGGATTCGCGGTTCAAGCTGATGCCTTTTGCGGTCGGGGTCGGAAGACCAAGATTGAGGTCGGCGTGGAAGCGGCGCAAGAGCGATCTCGAACATATCGCCGTTCTGACCTTACGATCGTAAGAAATGCGTTTCAAGTTTGGGCCGCACCTGTTCTTCTGTTGCAAACGTGAGCTCTGGCCGCGGTCGTCCATCTCCCGCATCTCCATGCGCTTCTGCTCCGCCTCTAGTTGCGTCCGCAGCTCGCCCACCTCGTCGTCCAGTTGCTGCAGCGCACGAACACGTTCAAAAGTTTGACCACATTGATTCAGATATCCATTCAGCTGAACGAGCTGAAGCATTTATAGAGGTCGTTCAAAGAAAGGAGAAGTGACTCTGGCTTGAAAGAGAAAGACGGGGAGCTTCTCGCCTCACTCTTATCCTTTGGGGGTCATTTCCCTCCCACTAATTGCACGCCCTTCTCTCACACCTTCTTTCAATCACAATACAGTGTTTATTTTCTCCTTCAACCTTGACGATTCTATACTTGAACGATGCGTACATGTTGACAAACCGATGTGCGAGTTGCACTTAGGTGTAAACTGCGGACGCAATAAACGCAGAAACAAAATGTAGAAGGATGCGAAGAAGACTTCGGAGTCAGCATGGCCGCAAGGGGACAGTTGCCGCAGTGCTAACTGTGGCATCCATGGGTTTCTCTACGCCGTTTTGTTGGATTCTTACTGAGCCGTTTTGAGGCCCAATCAAGAGCGAGAAGCTTATACTATGAGTGAGACTACGTGTTGACCGACCAATACGAATGGTAACGTAGCTCGTCAACGGCAGCACCATTAAATCGCAACCAGGAGAAGGATGAAGACTAAGAAGACAGACGCTTGGGGCTCACCTTCGCCTTTTCGCGCAGAATGGCAGCGCTGCGTTTCTCCTCCCTCGTTTCCTGCAGGATTCACAAGGTCATCGTCAATTTCTCGTAGCAGTTGCTTAAGTCCAGCCATCAAGTCCGTTGTAGAGAGTCGGCCAGTAAAATCTTCCATTTTCCAAACCTTCCGGACAGAACGAGATTGGACACTCAACAAGCGTCCGCTCAGGGAGGGTATCTGTTCTTGGCGCTGCCACTTGCAGTCAGAGAACGAGACGAACAAGATAAGAAAAATCAGTAAGCTTCCAACAGAGTGTCAGAGTCTCGGACGTCTCCTCACCGACTCGATTCCGTCCGTTCGGGTGGCGCTAGTAGCGACCGGACACGTGACAAGGTCTTTCAGCGTCTGAAACAGCGTCGAGAGGCACACTCCACAGAAACTTCTCACAGTAGACCTCCGCTCACCGACTCGATTCGCTCGTTCCACTGCCGCTCATGGCCAGCAGACAAGGTGACAATTGTTCATTGGCGTCCGTATTCCGTCCGAAAGATCGCGCGTACGTATTGCTCGCCAGGTTCTCAGACGTTCGCTCACCAATTTGTCCGCTGTTCCGGTGCCGCTTGCAACAACTGGACCAGGGTAACAGGCTCACAAGGCCTGAAAGGACCTTCAGAACTGCGCTTAAACAGAAACCCCTCACGGTAGACGTCCGCTCACCGACTCGATCCGCTCGTTCCGCTGCCGCTCGTGGTCCAGCGCGCCTTCGAGGAATTCCACCTGGCGCTCCAGCCGGGACGACTTGGCGCGCTCCTCCTCCATCTCGCGCCGCAGCACGTTGCTGTCCCCGCCTGCGCCTGGGGGTCACTTAAGGCGTCTAAGCTTAGAAAGATTCGATCAGCCCTGTTCCTAACACCCGCCGATACTTATCGAAGATGCCGAACTTGTCGACGATACAGAGGAATTAATTGTCGGGTCCTGTACTCTCTGATTGTTAGAAGTTGCAGGAGAAGCCATGAAAGTCCTCAAAGACAGAATACAATCCACAAGAGTTTACGAGCTTTCTGGTTGTCGAATAATCCATTTTGAATGGGGATGGTCGATTTCAGGCAAAGAACCTAGCAGAAGCGCCTTCCAAACCAAGGGAGGTCCGATATAAGCCAACTCTGGATGCAGAATTGCTTTCACATAACAGCCAAACTTCTACGAGGGTCTAAAAAACCTAAAACCTCTCGCATCGAAGAGACACTTCTGCTATCAAGGGCTCCATCGAGACGTCTCCGGTGCAAAGGGATGCTGATATAATCGCCACACCTGCCCTCCCCCGCCCTTCGGTTGCGCGCTGCGCGAGCTCGTCGCGCAGGTCGTCCAGCTCGGCCTCATAGGCGTCCATCTTCTTGTACGCCTCGCGCAGGTCCGCGTTCAGGTCCTCGATCTCGCCCTCCAGCTTGCCCACCAGCGCCTCCGAGTCTGCGAAAAGTGAAATACTCTTTATCTCTTGCTTGTTGAAATCCGACAGAAGCTGCGTTCTTTTTGTGTCTGACGATACAGTTCCAGAGCCTTAAAGAGTGCAGAAAGCAGGTCCGCCTTCAGGTCCTCAATCTCGCCCTCCAGCTTGCCCACCAGCGCCTCCGAGTCTGCGAAATTAATATCGTCTTTCTAGTTTCGCTTTGTGAGTCATCCTCAGTCTGTCTGAGGGTACGTTCCCTTCTTCCCAAACTCAAAGCCAAAAGCAGGTCCTTGATCTCGCTCTTCAGCTTGCCAGCGCCTCCGAGTCTGCGAGAACGATTATTGTAAGCCCAACCCCTTGTCGTTCTGGGTATGTTCGTTCACACAAGGCTGAGACAAAGCAGAGAGCAGGTTCGCGAGCAGTCCTCGATCTCGCCCTCCAGCTTGCCCACCAGCGCCTCCAAATAAGAATATTGGTTCTCCATTTTTTGCTGATTGGGAACTCCTTCTATTAAGCCAATCTTGTTGAGGTTAGGGGCACGTTTCCCAGCCCTCAAGAACAATGCAGAGAGCTAGTTTCAAGGGATGTCCTTAAGATTTTGCCCTCAAGCGTGCCCACCAGCGCATCCGCGTCTGCGGAAAAGACTTAGTCCGTCAGTGTCTTGCTGGTTCGACACTTCTACGAGCCACACTCATCACGTGCGTTCTCTGACCCTCAAGTAAGGATTACGGAGCAAAGAGCAGGTCGCCAAGGTGAGTCCTCAATCCCGCCCTAGATTTTATCTACCGCCAGCCACTACGAGACTGTCAGACATGCGCCCAGCGACTTCGACCTCCTCATGGTGAAAGAATAAGAAGTGCCGGACGTCAAGAAGCGTCCAGAATCTCAAATCCACTCTAAACAGGCTGTTCTGGGCTCCATGGAACAGATTGGAGGGGCATCGAAAAACTTGCAGACGTATTCTTTTGGCAGTGCGAAAATGGCATACCCTGCTTCTTGTACAGAGTTGTATATGAGTCCACTAATGTGCGGTTAATAAAAGGATAAACGACCAGGCTGAGTTCACCTGGTCTGAGCAGTCAGTTCGGGAGCGTATCTTTTTGAGCCAGACCATCGTAAAGTAGAGAATGCTTCGCGTCGGGGCTTAAGAAGACCGCAACATGTGACAACATCACAACAAGCTAAATATGTTGAGCAGGATCCTAACGGACGTAAGCCAAGGCCGTACCTCCCGTTTGCGCCCGCCGCAGGTCTTGTTGCAAGTTATCGAGCTCCAGTTCCAGCCTTGATGCATTCCGCTCCCCCAGCTCTCCCTGGTACTCCAGCCCAAGTTGCAGTACCTTAGCAAGATGTACCTGATCGAAAACAGTGCCGATCTTAAATGATGTCGATCGAGTCAAAGTGCACGAAAGCTACGCCTTCTCAGGAGATGATTCTTCACGGAATCATGCCTCGTTCTGCAGCCTGGCTGGGTGGCAAGTCGAAGCTGATGACATCTGAAATGCTGCATGTGATCTCAGACTCTAAGGAATTCGGAATACGCCAATAGAACTTTCTCTGAGGAGCTTGAGCATTCCCACAGTATTTGTGTGTCGCAGATGTGGGTAGAAGAGGAAGATCCTGAGACCAACAAACCTGTGGAACGGCTTTGTCAATGTGTCCGCAAATGGAGAGTCGTTTTTGAGGGGAGAGAAGGGAGAGAGCATTCTGAGAGCCGGTGTCCCCTTACCATCCTGTCCAAGCAATCTTGGCCGCCATCCTTTTGGATCAAGGCTGGCAGTAAGCTTTTCGAGGTGGACTCCAACACCTCTAGTTGCTCCAAGTTTGGGGCCTGCACATATTAACAAGTCAACAAAGCCCTTCTCCATAGATCTACTTTGCATCTACTGGACACAATGCTTGTGTCTCGCTTAAGCAAACAGGACTTGCCAGTGCCCGAGAGATCGTCCATTGTTTCTACTTGGCTCATGAGCAGCACTGCACTACTGCAAGCAACACAGGTCAGTTGTCTGAAAAGTAGTGGGCCCCAGATAACATACTCAGTCGTTCTGTGGATGTGCTGTGATTCCTACCCAAACTTTGGAAAAAATAGTAACCACACCACTACACTTCAAGTGTGGCCTGTTGCCAGTAAAGGCAGACGATTTTCTGGGCCCAAAAGTCGAACTGATGGTCCCAAACATCAATGCATCTTGTCATTAGCTCAGCCTTCAAGTGCTGAATCTGTTGGAGGTGCAAAGGGAATTGTTTCATGCGGTACTCTTGTTGATTGGTATTGTCGTCTCAATCCAAGGACTTTTTACTAGGCCCATCTGCTTCTTTAGGGAGCTCTGGAGGAAGCTCGGTCCGGCATTGCAGCTGTCTGTCTCACCTTTTCAACAAGTTTTCTGACATCAACGTCCAGAATGGGGTCCCACTCCAGGTGCAGCGTCTTTGGGGCAAACCGGAACTCCTTGGCTGCCACCACGAGTGGCGCCATACCGCCCGACTTTTATCTCCTATATCGCCTGAAGATATTGACTGCAACCAAGTCCTCGCTGGTTCTATTCAGCTGATATCTTCAATGGCCACGCTCTTGCATTTCCCAATGCCCCTCAGTAAGACTTGAAGTAAGAATTGTGTTCCCCGCAGAGTGGTCGTGCAGTTGATACTTGAGCTGGAATACTCTCTGATTGTATTGTTTGAGGGTACTGCTGGTTGCAACCAGAACTCACACAAGCATGCCCCCGGCGCAAGCACGCCTTACATGTTTCGACAAAGACCCTGTGACATTTTTTTCTTCTCAAGTAGGCCAAAAACAAGGGGAAAGGACACCATCCTCTTGAAAAGCTTCGAGCATGATTGGCGGGCGCTAAGAGTGAGATTGGTCCAGTTGCATCCATTGGCATTGGTTCAAAGCGTCGGCCGCGATCGAGGCTGAGCTCAGCTGGGCTGAGCTAGAGCACGGCATACGTTCTGTGTTATGAAACCCTAATCTGGTACGTACCGTCAGCTGGCGGTCCGCACGGGCCTAGGTATCATTGTCAATGATAGGTACCGTCCAGACTCCAGGACAGGAAGGAGCCAAGTTCCCTCCCGCGTCTAGTTACGTTCGCCTGTACATCCGAAAATGGCGGGGCGGTGGCGGCAATGCGAGGGGGACGTGAGCTACGGTAGTAGTAGGACGGCTCCTAGACGGCTCAGGAGCGCTTGCGTACATTAGCAAGCAGCACGAGTGAGTCGTCATGGCGTGAAACCAGAGAGCATCACACGATCATTATATTTCTTTCTCTAAGGGTCTTGGTCTGATCAGCGGGGCGGGAAAACCGCCTGATGATGCGTAAAGTTTCCTGAGTGACTTGCGCGCGCCACCATCAACTCAAAGACAAGGGCCTCTCGCTCAATTCCTCATAGGTGCCACTTCGAAGCGAAGATTCTGCATCAGATGGCGGACCCGATGGACGACGATGACGACTACAACTGGGACCTGTGCATCGCAGAGATCGACAAGGTGGAGCGCGCGGCAGTCGAATGGAAGACAGCGCAGCAGCAGAACGGGCCGCAAGCCTCCGCACCAAGGCCCAGCTTCCAAACCAATGCAGGACAATTGCCCCAGCAAGGCCAGACTTTTACGCCGCAGAGAGGAAACTTCCCCCAGCCTCAGCAAGCCCCTTCGCCGCACAACTCCCAGGCACCTTCACACCAAAACCCCCAGGCATATTCACACCAGCAGCGGCCGATGTTGATCCAGCCGGTGGCGCCGCCGCGGCCATCAGTTCAGCAGGCCCCAGGGGCTCGGTGGCAGGTCCCGGGGACAGGGGTGGTTCAAAATGCTGCGCCGCGACAGCCGCTGCAGCCAGTGCCAGCTCAGCAGAATGGACCCCTTCCAAGGGCCTTTGTGCAAGCAAAGCCAAATGCACCGGCGGCGGTCAGCACCGGACAGAGTTCAAATTCAGTTCCGGCTGCAGGTGTGTGAGTTGATACTGGTGGTGTGATCATGCTGGAGAAGTAGACGTGTGTGACTTTGTTGTTTTCTAGCTTGCATCAAGAAATGTGTGATCTGAAAGGCTGACTTTGAAATATAGGGAAAGATCAGACCTTTTCGAGGAAACCGAATGGTCCTCGCAGCCACTTTTCAGGCTTTCTGGCAAAGCGCCTAACAAGGTTCCCACTCAAAAGTGTCGTTTCTCTTTGGATTCGGTGATGATGCTGGGTCTATCTCAACAAGATCAGACCTGTCTTGCAAAATCCTCCAGGCCGTGTGACGGATTGCTGGTATCAGCTTGTTAGCCTTGATCAGCACCTCCCTCACAAAGTTGACAGACGTCGGATGAAGATCAACCAGGTAGCGGCTCGCTTATGTGGGGTCAGTCGTGTACACCCGTATTGTTTCCTGTTTCTTCGTTCATCTCTGCAGAATCTCCTGTGGAAGTTGAGTCTTATGTAAGCCTTGTGATTGGAATGGAAAGACATGTTTTTCCTTTTGAAAACATCTTCAAATGATTCCCCTGTTGTAGACGAAGGAACAATAACTTTCTTCGTTTCTGTTTTCGGTTTGTTCATATGCCGCCAGTCACATTCAAGAAGGTAACATGTCTCTGTTCCTCTGACATGGGCGTGTTGTTGTGTGAGACAATGTTCATCCATACTCAATCTTTGAAGCTGTTTCAATGAAATCGAAACGCCGAATGGTGATTTTGCAGGCACAGTGCAGCAGGATCTGTGGCGCTTGCAAGAGGAGCTCAGGCAAAATGAACAGGCCATCAGAGACAAGGACGGCTGCATCTCGCTCCTCAGGTCCCGTGTACAAACGGTGAGGAATTTGTCTAGGAGTGCAAGTTTTGCACTGCTTGCAAATCAGGTCCAGGATCCAAAGCGTATCAGTCCATCTCGAATTGCCACCACTGTGACCTGGTTCTATGAACACCGGGTACAATATTCCTTAGGCCGAGAAGTCTACTTTGTAGATTTCCACTTGTGTCTCTGATCACAGGACTTCAATATTTTTGTAAGATATATTGCGCTTGCTGACTCTGCCTTACCTCACATTGTCATTTCAAGCCATAACTTATCCCCCTGTCTTTATCCTTCAATTTCTTATTTCTTTCCATTCTCATCGTCCTTTCTGCAGCCATGTCCTGTAAGTCCGTTTCTTAATTGTCTCAGCATTCTCGATATCCTCTGACTGACAAGTGTGCCGGCACACTGCAGGCCGAGAGCGAGACGTTTGAGCTGAGGAAGCGCGCAGCCGGCGTCTCGGGCAGCAGCCAGCAGACGTCTTCGCGGCAGACGACGGACATGCAGCGGGAGATCGAGAGGCTGCAAGCACAGCTCCTTTTCAAAGTAAGACGATGTACGTTTGAAATACTGCTCCTCGGTTGCCAAGCCGCTGCTCTGTGGCGCTTGTGAGCTACTGCCTTGTTGCGAATGCAGGCTCTCAACTCTTTGAAACAGTCCTTGGTCTCGGAACTTATGAAGTTGCTTCTGAAAGAAGAGGCCAAACGACAGCCTGAGACACAAATGAAATTGGAGGCCTCTGGGCCGGGCCGTCGACGGTGATTGCATTTGTTCATTGTCCTTGATCCATTCTGAAAACTCTTCGAATCCTTGCTTACTCTCAAACCGGTTCTTGGATGTCCGTTTGAAATCTGAGGGTGTCCTTTGACCCTGTGACCCTGCCAACTTCACTTCGTTTCTCATCGGTGCATGGGATTCGAACGGTTTGAGGAATTGTTCAATCCACTTTCTGAATCCAATCGGTCTTATTGATAGGATCAAGAAGTTCAAGAAGCCAAGCGCGCCAAGGCTGAGAAGGACGCCAAGATGAAGGAAGCGCAAGAGGCGGCGCAGCGCCTCGAGGCGGAGCTCCGCGCCGCACAATCTCAACAGCGCGCGAGCCCGGGTTCCGCGGCAAAGCGGCGGCGCGAAGTGGACACCGACTCTCCGACGAGGCCTCTCGCGCTTAACCAGCAGCTCAACCGGCTGACCAGCGAACCGGGGGCGCCGCCAGGGCGCTCCCCGAGGGCCCTGTTCAAGAGCCCGGCGCACGGGCGGGGGGGCGAGAGGCCCCAGCAAAACCAGAGCCAGGAGAGCGACAGGGCCGCTCGGACGCCCGTGGCTCCGTCAGCGGCGGCGGCGGCGGCGGCCGGGGTGACGTCATCATCAACAGCGGCCGCGTCACCGGCCGCGTCACCGGCCGCGGCGCCGACGGCACCGGAAGCCGTTGTGGACAGAGGGGCGGAAGCGCGTGTCCGGGGGGATGGCGGAGCCGCGGCTGCGGAGGGGCCCGTGCCGAAGAGCAAAGAAACGGAGCCAAAGTCGCTAAGGAGCGTTGAGCGGTTGGAGACGGTTGGGGCGCGCCTTCGGGAGGCGGAGAGCGGTGCGTGTTTTGTACAGAAGCTATTTGCTGTTGCGGCGGGGGACGTGTTCGGGTTGGTTTCCGGGGGGGATGGGGCGGAGCGGAACGGGGTTGCAGCGGATGGACGGAAAGCTGCGTCGAGCTTGATGGGGGTTTTGGCGGAATCGTCGGGCGAAGGGCAGGCGATGGATGTGGATGTGGTCAGCGAGAGGGAGGCCTTTCGTGATGCTTTTGTGAAGGTAAGGACGAGGTGTGACATGTGCGCCTAGGATTTTGAGCTGGAAGACTTGAGGTTTGCGAGAAAGGCTGTCTTGAAGGTCCTGCTTTGATGGGGCTCAAGCCTCTCTCGAACAGCACGAGGGTTCACGAGGGTTCATGGCAATTAGTTGCATCCAATCATAGAGGCTGGGATCTGCACCTGACCAGGTGTTCGTATCACCTTGAACTTCCGGAAAGATCTTTTGACGACTCCACGCAAAATTGCGATGGCACGCTGTTCATAACGTCTTGGAGGGTACTGTTTGCGCTGACTCCGTCTGTTATTGACTCCGTTGGACGCTTACAAACTGATCAACACTTTTCTGTTTCTGCGCGCAGGTTATGAACGGCCTTAAACCCGTCGCAACGCTCTTCTCTCCACTGAGAGCAGCGCTGGACTCCAAGAAGGTGAAGCACCAAATATTTCGGAGGCTGCGGCGTAGCTGCTTACGAGCATCTTCACTCTTTTCTCGTCCAATACATGATCCTTATTCTCACTAGAATCAACGGTTCAGAGTTGTCCGTACTGGATCCTTTCGCTCAACGGATATAATCAGCCGGAAACTTCAGTATATCTCACGTAGCTCGTTAGGAAGTTCCTTAGCGCTGCCTAGAAAGTATCAGGTTGCGGCAAACTACAGATCGCAAAAACACGTCGAAAAGTATGCTGGAAAGGGACTGCTTTTTTTATCGGTGTCGTGTCGTTCAAAGGAACCTGGAAGTACACGCAACGTGCGAGAGCATCAGCGGGTGCAGGTGCGGGCATCAACGAACAGTTCAGGTTCGCGAAGAACTTCTGATTAATGCTGTTGTACTTTTGCAGCCGACAAGCGTGTACGCTTCCCTACGAGTCTTGCGAGTTCTCTTGCGGCTGGACGCGACAACCCGATTCACGGTTCTTGGGTCAGCAGCCGCGACTCCCCTGGGGGCAAACTGGGTTCCAATTCAACCTAGCACTCCCACCACACAGGCAACGGCACAGATAGGATCAGATTCTCATGTACCACTTAGCAGCGTCAATTCACAAGCCCGCTTGTCAAGTAGAGTAAAAATAGGACCCGCAAGCAAGGCGCACGCTGCCGCTTCCTCTGCTGACGTCAGCGGCCGTCAGAGGAATGGCAAAGGCAAAGCCACTGTGGAGTCCGATCCAGGGCCGAGTGGAGTCACCGAGTTAGGGACACGTGTCGCATCGAGGTTCGCCGCCAGTGGCAGCGGCCGCGATGGCGCCCCGATCGACTGCGCCTTCTTTGACCGGCTGATCGAATTGGCCGTCGAAGCCGAGGACCCCCGCGCGCAGTTTGAGGCCGCTTCGACGCTAGGTCTGCTCGTTGCGCACGTACCGGCGACGCAATGGACGGAACTAGCGTTCCTTGTAACGGAACGGAAACTTGAGCCTCTCATAGGACTGGAGTCGCCGCCCCCTGTGCGGGGGGTCGCCTTACACGTAGTGCACCTTCTCTGCGAGTCGCCGCCGTTGGTGAGTTTCGTATTTTCGGACGAGGGCGGAAAACCTTCGGACGGCGGCGGAAAAGTTTCGGACGGTCCCGGGAAGGTTTCGGACGGTGGCGGCAAAGTTTCGGATGGCACTCGGGCGTCCGAAGCGACCAGCAAGCGGCCGGAGACGGACCCGAGCACGAGCGGACCGGGCGATTCCCCGGGCGGCGCGACGAGCCTCTTTTCGGCTGTGGCCGCATGCCTGGGGCCGGAAACCAAGGACCCGGTTCTCAAACACGCCGCCGTGCAGCTCCTGGCATTCGTCCACGGGTTGTCCGACAACTGTGCGGGGCTGCTAACTAGTTTGGGGAGAAACGAGTCTGACGTGCGGGAACCGACGCCGCAGCTGGGGCCCGGGGCGACGGACGCCGGGCCGGACGCGGAGGCCAGGCACGTGTCGGGTGACGTAGACAAAGCTGAGCCGCCGATCGTGGCCCGGCTGTTGGACGTGCTCGACGAGGAGCTGCGCGGAGAAGCGGAGGGGGCGGACTGCAGTGGCGACGAGAGGTGACGTCAGCTTGGCCGATTTGAGTCTGATTGGACAATCCCCCTGTGACCCTGGAAACTGTACACTGGCGTTCTGCATTGCGTTTCGTCATCTGAGCGTGGTACTTGCCCTTCTGGGCCCTTTTGAGTCTGGCTCCATCCATTCAACGCCATATATACCAAAAGGCCTTTCTATGGATTTAGTCAGTTCTCATTCTCGTTGTAGGGCTCCTTGAGTACTTCTCGACCCTTTGAGTGCTTTCATTCGGAACGTTGTGCAGGCTCGCTCCATCTGTTCGAGAGCGTCACACATTTCATCCTTGAGTCGGGATGTTTCTTTCTCGTTTGATTGCAGCGTTGGTCTGCCAAAGGACGACATGGCTTTAGCATGACTTTACCTAACACTCGCCTTACTTTTTTTTGCAGGGCGGCCCTTCGAGGGGAGGCATGCTCTCTCTTGGCCTCCCTGGTACAACGCGACGAAGCGCTTTGCAGTATCTTTGTCAGCTCTCGTAGGACACGGCTCGCCATCAGTGTAGTCACGCGCATGATCAAGCTCGCCGAGACTGCCACAGAGAAAGCATCTCGCAGTATTGTGGAGGTAGCAAAGAGCGTGCAGAGAAGGATCCTGGACAACATGCCGCCACAGACAAACGATGTCGTCAACGTCTAAGGCTCCAGTTGTTGTATCTTATGCCGGTTTGTCTCTGCTGGGGCTTTCTATGAGATTGGTGATTGTTCTGCGATAACAGCATGCCTGCAAGCCAGATATGCATGCCCATATTTGATTGACGCCACAAGATCGTAGATTTTTATATACATGCAGGGTATAGCTAGATTGCTTCAATCATTTTCACGTGCAGTGCCTGTCCTTTCCATCTGTCAATCAGGCTACCTAGTATATGTAATCACGTCTGGTATCATCTATGATTGCTGCGGCCAGGCACTGATTGCTTAAGTTTATGCTTAAGAGCTGGCGGCCTTGGTACATGAAGCATGCTGTCCCTCATGGTCCGACGTGCCGGGTCATGCTTAAGTCGACATGATGCATCGCGATTATCAATAATGCTGGCGGCTGCATATATGCATAGTGCTGAAGCCGCGCGCAAGCTGTCATGCATGCATGGTCATTCAGTTACATCTTTATCAAGTCATCGAATAGCCATGGCAAACATCATTCTAGCGCACCATTTCTTCATAATTGTTCATGGTTGCATATGATCGCATATGATATATATGCAGCTGTGCGGCGGCCGCTGGGTTGCGATGCCGGCCCGGCCAAGCAGTGACACGTATATGACATTATAGATCAGGCCATGCAATCTGTGCATTGATACACATGCACAAAATGTGATCACGCGATGCGGTTCAGTGCGACGATTCAATAGTATTTATGCACTACCGCCATCATTCCATTACGACAACTTGAAGTCCAGCCTGCAATGGTGCGCACCCCATGACGATTCAAAGCAAGCGCTCAGCTCCTCATCTGCGATCATAACGCAATCCAAAGAAGACTGTCGTTTGTGCAAAGGATTGGTTGTACTCTTCAGATTCACTCTAGTCTACAAATCAACGCTGCCCCGCTCGACAAACTTGTCAGAGATTGGAACTCTATGAGTCTCGTAAAGGAGGTGCTGAACTCAGGTCTGTGTCTTGGGTGTCAAACCTTCCACGAGACATCATGGCCTCATCTTTTCTTCGCATCTCCTTAACCTGTGCCTTGGTCGGAAGAGGGAAGAACTTATTCAAGAAAAGATTCGTCACGACGGTGAGGACCAGCAGGGCAGCTCCCGTGTAGGCCAAGAAACTGTCGTCTAATTCGAAACCTTTGTCAGCCGCCACTTTCTGATCCCAGGCAGCGCTATCAAGGTAGTCCCCAGCTAGCGTTCGTTTGGATGGGGGGGACTCCGAAGGGACTGCTCTACCTGCAAAATCATACTCCAAAATCATACTCCAGAGTTTGCTGCGTGGCCGCGCCTCTTGTAGCAATTGCCACCCCCCATGTCGACAACAAAGAGAGGTGCTGACTCACGTGCCAATGTGCTTCTTTGCTTTGTGAATGCAACATAATCTGAACTCTGAACATGACTACTTGGTGGTTTCTGTGACAGGCCTTGATGATTCGACTTTGCTAAGTGATCAAAGCTACACCATACTATCTTGATTTCAATCAAGAAAACGATTTTCCAGAACGCTGAAGGCCGGCTACTCTCGGCGTCCTCACTGCGCCTCGTACATGCATAACCACAAATCGACTCTCCTTGATTTCTGCTTGGAAGCATGGCATGGCTGATTCATTGCAGATATACACATAGGGAATGGGGATTTTTACGACCTGATGATTCAGAACACTCACACCAATCACAGAGGCATAGAGGCTTACCACTTTTCCTAGCCAAATCCTCTGCGAACTTCCTCCGGGCACTCAGTTGCCCAGCCTTTGGGTCGCTATCCGATAGCGTATTCAGCTGCGCATCCAGCGCTTGAAGAGCAGCCTTTTGCTCTGCTGTCAAGTCTCCTGCTGTCCCCCTAGAGGCTGCTTTTTGCGCCCCCTCTACCTCTACTTCTCCACTAGACGAGCCGGGGCCGCCCGGCCGATTGCCTCCATTTGACTGGTTCAACACGTTGTGACGAACTTCCGAAGACACATAACCGTTGCTCGTCTCTTCCCCTGTTGCTGTGACCTGTGCTTTGCGCGACGGGTGCTTAGCTTGACCTGTGAAAGAAAATGTGGTGTTGTCCTCCCTGACTCCATGAGAGACAAGGCTCAAACGCTTCTTCTGTCTCAAGCACCGAGGATGTGACGACCAGACTTTGCATCCGCTCAAGGTGGCGCCACAATGGCTTCGAGGCACTGGTTGCAGCCCTGTGTCAAGCGATGCTCCCAAGCTATTGCCCTTCGGGCACCTCTGCACCGCTGCCCTCTGCATCTTTGCTGTCCCCGCCCTCTGCTTGAATTTGCGCCCAATGTGATTGCAAGCAAGATGCAGATTGTTAAAACACCTTGCTTTCGCAGGCGACAACCACCTGTAGGCAATCCAGCAGCGTGAGCAGTCTTATAACGGATGCGCCAGCACTACTACTAGCAGCTGCCTCTTCAGATGGTCAACTCTATGAATGCTGCAAACATGCTGTTCAGATTTGACAGAACACATGTATCTTCAAAGTTCGTGCTAGAGCTTCCCCAGCTGCGCCCTTTGACACTCTTGGATTAGGTCGCTCGGGCACTTAGTGCCGTGTGAAGAAGCGGAGAACGTCTTGTGCCGGCTTCTGCAGGGAACGCTGCATTCAATGTCTGTCCTGTAGATGAAACGTTATTGAAGTCAAATATACACCAAACGAACCGGCTGTCCTCAGGGTCTTCCTAACAGCTCCCTGGGAAAGGGTTCGCATAGTATGGTGTCAACTTGCGGAGAAAGCCCTTCACAACTTGCAAGACTCTCTCTCTGTCCATCAATGCATCACCGTCATGCTGTCAGTGCAGAATGGCTGATCAGCAGTGCCAGCAGCACTATAGCGCAGCAGCTGCTGATCAGGGTTGCGTAGCCTCTTTTCCAGCTAAGAGCATCATATGCGCAGCGACAAACAACCAGTTGGCTCTGAAGCAGTATGCTAAGGTTCGAAGGCAAGTGGTCGATTGCACGCCTGATCGTGCTTGAATGCTTGAGTGCTTGAGTGCTGCCGGGTGCCGCGCGCCGCCAATTGTTTTGAATTGCAACCAGCGATGGCAAAAGCAGGGCTTGGCTTTCAGCAAGTAATTGACAGAGTCAACTCGCAGCTTTGTTCAATCGACCACCACCTCCATCAGACACATGGGGGCCCAAGGCTCGGAATCCTCTCCATTCAGAGCGACGCATTTGGAATGGCGCGTAGGCAAGCTGTAATGCCAGGCAAGGGCCGACTACATGCTGATCCTTTAAGCGGCGTTGATAGCGCTAAGCAATTTTCTGGTAAACAGACTGGTCTCACTGCATTTCACAGCCCCATCATCAAAAACAACGAGGTGCTCAAGAGGTCAAAAACTGATGCAATGGAGAGGTTTGGGGTGGTGATGTGCATGGGCCTGGAGAGTGGATCTACTTCTTCGCTGAAAAATCCTCCAGAAGCAGATAATGGAACAAGCAATGACTTAGAGGGGTTGGCTCGTCGCCCGAGTACTCCAGATCCTTCAGAAGTTGGAACAAGCTATCAAGCACAGAATGAGGAGAATGGACGATGGCAATCAGGAGGAAGTAGCGAAACGGAGAAGGAGACACTGCTTGAGATGGCAGAAGGCAGACGAGCGGCACCCTGGTTTCCAGTGGAACCTATCTGGCAGGTAAGTCTCGTCGCCTGCACCCCGTTTGGTTCACAGAAGACAGCTTGAGGCACAACAGTCGGGTTGCCCTCCTTCTCTTGTTCAGCTATAAAGACTGCTCTGGGTCAACCACTCGTGTTCAAAGCAACAAGCCTTGGGCTACTCAAAAATCGCTGGTTGGTTTCGATTAGATCTCTAAGCCATCTATGTAAGGCAGACCGCTTTTAACAAGAAGTATCAATACTGTTACTGAATAGGCCTTTTCTGCTCCTCCTCCTCACAACATCACACTAGCTCTACTTTAGAAGTTCAAATGGTGTCTGACACACTTAACACCTCACATAGACCAGCCCTGGCTGCCAGTGAAAGTAGTCAGACCTCAAACACCCTGAATCTGTCCAACTCCAAAGACATTTTTCAATCTCCAGACTTGTGCCGCAGTTGAGCAAGCTGGTAGGACGTGTGTGTCTTTAATCTGAAAAGAAACGTGACGTGGAGCTCCCTTGTTTACTGAACAGCTTGGTGACGAGCTTTCAAGAGCTTCCAAGATACTTTAGGTACTCCGATTTACGTTCTCAAGGTGCAAAGCGCGGCATCCCAAGGCTTTTGTTGAGAGCCATCCCCTGAGTCTGGCTTGAGTCTAGTATTGGACACTGGAGAAGGTGACTTTCTGAAAGCCTGGTTACTTGTCAGTTAGTCCTCTCAGAAAGGTCAAGATAGGAACTGATCCAGATACCGTATTCCCCACCATCATTTGCTGCCTATGTAGTGTGCGCAGCAAGGACTGATTCCTTCGACAGCTTTTTTGATCAACTAACTTTTCAATAAACTCTCTGTTGTCAAGTTAGTGAACTCGCCTGCATTCGTGGTGTGCAGACAAGAGTCTTCTTACATAGGCTGGGTTTTTGAGGTCTGCTTCTCGCTCAATTGCGTCTCTTGCTACATACACGTACATCTTGCACGAGTTCCTTTACGATTCACGTGCCTCCACACGTTCTTCGCACGGGTCCAAGAATGTCGCACGAGGTCACTTTCCGATTTGCAACAAGCACTCGATAAATATTGCATACTCGTCGTAAGCTTTTCTAGCAGAATACTTTTTGCGCCAAGCACCTTCTTGGGCCTCCCGCAGCTCCTGCCTTGTGAACAGGTCTGCAAACAACTTTTCGAAATTGCACAGTCCTACCAACAATCGTTCTCTGATTGCGGTTGGACCTGCAGGCCTCGGAGCAGGACGCCCTGCACGACGAGCACCTCCGCCGCTGGCGCCTTCATGGCGCATACTCATGCCTTGTCGCAGATTTCGACAGTCTTGTGGTCAGTTATGCAGAATTATATCGATCTATACTTCCGAGGCAACTTCGACCACCTCTCCCGCTTGTTCTCTGCAGGCCTCGGAGCAGGACGCACTCCGTGACGAGCACCTCCGCCGCATGCTGGCGCCTGCATGGCGCGTGCTTCTGCTCAGCGACGGCTCTGTCACACGGCACCTACAGGTAAACCCGTTGAGCACGTGTTCTTCAAGTCAGGGCGATCCGAAGCTCTTGAGACACACAGTACGAGTCGCCCGTGAAACCTGGGCGTGATGCTATGCGACTTTTGCCGTGAAACGCTTCGGGGATAAGTCGGTAAGTATGCAGCTAAACTAAGGTCAAGGAAAAGTAAGGAGGCTGACACGTCATGGCGCTCTAACCCGGGAAGAGATTCTGTGCCCTGGGTCGCCCCCGGGAGAAGGGTGTAAACAGGAAAGAGCACGGGCAACTTTAACAAGGGGGGCAAGCCAACACCTGTGCTGTACGGCTTTATAAAACGGATTGTTTGATTCTGCTGTCTGCCGCGTTTTTAGCGCCCCTCATTTTATTCTGTTCTCTCTTAGGCGGGAGTGACTGGAAGACTTTCGTCTCCCGCTCTAAAATTCAACTGATTTTTGAAAGCACACGTTCTTTCTAAACTCCGGGCTTTTACTCCGACCGAACTTGGCCGGGCTGTTTTGGCGACTTCTTACCCTCTGCAAAGCTTCGGCTCTCCGGTCTGCCGTCTGGCAGTCAGGACCGTCTCTTGCTGCTTTCAGCACTATAGATCCGACTGTCGGGGCTTCTCGTGACCTGAACCGCGGTTCTGCAATCTCCCAACCACTGCAATGAGCATCTGTCACTGCAACAAATGTGCCATGTGTTGCCCGCAGCTGCTGTCCGACTTTGGCTCCGTAACCGCGGACTGCTTCCGACACTGACGCTTTGAACATCCGGCTTTCTATGCTTACGCCACACAGCTACCGTACCCCCGCGACGCTTGGGCAGAAAATAGGTATTTCGAGATGTGCCCAAAATTTTGAAAGTCTTGGCCAAAATTTGCCCAGTGTTTTCAAAATTTAGAAAATTATCTGCCTCCTTTTACAAGCCTTTTAAGCCTGTTTTCCTGCTTCAAAGCAGCAGAAATGACAAAAAAATTACTTTTGCCCAATTCTCCGAACATCGGGAAATTGGTAAAATCGTGTGCCCCATTCGCAAAGTGGATGAAAATAATTATTGGGCAAAAATCTGCCCAGGCGTCACGAGGGTACGGGTATTGCAATATTTTGACCCACTGCAAGCCAACTGCAAAGATTGTTTCTGAGTGTGACACCTCTGCCTTCCGTTGCCTGCAGCTGCTGTCCGACTTTGGCTCCGTGACCGCGGACTGCTTCCAGATGGCGGAGATCGGGGACGACCTCGCAGGCCTGCCGCCGGGAGCGGAGCTCGTGCCGGGCCCGCGGGTGCAGCGACAGGTGAGAAGTGTTTGCTCGTAAAACCCTCCCACTGACGCTAGTCGCACTAACCACCTGGAAATGTGCCGTCTTCATGGGCTTGACTATTCCGACATAGGGCCGAACGTCGTCTTCAGAGCCTTCTTCCTCAAATAAGAAGACCTCAATGGCCGTCATTGGTTTCAGCGAGCCCGGCCTGAACCTGCTTCGTGCACGGACGGCCTGACATGAGAAGGGGACAAGAGTTGTCTTCGAAACATCCTAAAATAGCTGTCTCAGTTTTAACGGAAATAATGTATCCTGCTTATACATCTCAATGAACTGTCGGAAAGAAGCCTTTGGGGCGCGAATGGGCCATTGTTGCGGCTTATTGTAGTCTCCGTTCAGAAACCCAGTCCCGCATTCGCAGGTCTGGCTGCGGACGGCGGACGGGCAGCCCCTAGTGTACGCGGCGTCCTGGTGGTCCGCCCGGGAGGTGCGGGGTTATTTGAAGGAAGTGCAGAAACCCATCTGGGTTAACCTGAGCGAGACGCGGGCGGAGCTCTACCGGGACGTGCAGCGGCTGTATCTCGGATTTTCGGACGAACTAGAGAGGTGAGGACTCGCTCGCTTGCATAAGAACCGGAATCCGGTAAGAATACACTCCAAGGGAAGAGTTTTCCACGAAAGGAGCTGACTGAAGCGCACGTTGATCTGACTCACAATTTCGGAAGAGCTTTAACACCGAGGTGCCCTCCAAAACTGCCGTATGAACCTGTTTCGCGACAGACGTCCCAGGATGGCCTCCAGATTTTGGGCCTCTTCTGCGATGCCCGTACGAAGTTGACACGAGCTTTCCAAAAGCTATACCTTGGTTCAGATGAGCACGTCCTGTTTGGCTGAGGTTTTCCTCTTCGTATTCAAACTGATGTAAGGAAATGTTGTGCAGGGCTTTCGGGGTTCCTGGGCCTTTCTGGAGCCGGCACTATGTATTCTACCATGACGGAAGGCCGTTGACTCTGATCTACGAGGTATTCTCCAGGTCGCTCGAACAGTATATTGGGCCCATGCATCCTGCAGACAAGTCGAGGACAAACTGAATCGACGGGTCTTGTTTCATGGCTGTTGAGAACGAACGCCGGTATGATCGTTCACACGATGTATCGAGACTTTGAGCATGTCGCTTTTTGATGTCAGGCGTTCCAAGGGCGTGTCTGGCGTGATGGTATGTGTGGTTAGTGCTGGCATCCTGCATAACTGGATTGGATGGCATGATAAAGGTGCATGATCACCTTCCGCAAGAAGTACGACGGTTCGATGGTTACGATGAGGGAAAAAGATCGAGCTAAATACGATTTAACTGCTATTGGAACAATCATGAGTTGATTTGGGTCACCGTCTCTTCAAACCTATGAAAATCACCAACTGCTTGACGGTGGATTTACAACAAAAACTAAACTTTTGTGTGCATGTGGTAAGCTTGAACACCATCGCTCAGTGCTCGTATATTGCAGCTTGTGCATTGTTACCTCAAAAGTCTCCGGATAAGATGGCCGTGGAATGATCTGAGAGCTTGCATTAGACCGTACTACTTTTGAGGCGGATGCGTGCATCTCACGATACGTCCCATTGAGCCGAGAACTTAGCGTGAGCAGGTTAATACCGTCGTCTCTGCAAGTGTCCTTTTGAATATGCGTCTAAGACTGCAGGCTGACACAAGCACCCAAGAGCTCGAGCGGCCTGCCGGCGGCTAGCTTAGAACAGCGGCCTGCCGGCCTGCCGGCGGCTAGCTTAGAATAATACTCGCACGCGCGTGCGCCATGCGGCTAACATATTACCAAGCTGGCCCCAAACTTTGTTCTCTTTGCTCTCTCTACTTCTGCGTTCTAGCTATGATTCCCAGGTCACTGGAAAAGTCCACGAGATATAAGCCCCGACGATCCTCCTGAATCAGTGACCTTGAGCGTTGGCCCGTCTACAATCGCGCCGCGCGCCGGAGCCTGAGGAGCCACATGTATCCCCCGGCGCCGTTGCATCGGTCGCATACGACCGGTCAAGTTCCGCTCGCGCCGGCAGCGAGTCGGATCGTGACCGGGCGGGGACCGGGCAGCCGTTTGTCTTGCTTTTGTGTACCGCGTGGCCCTGAAGACGCCGCCGCGGTCCCTGCTTGCGGGGGCATGTCGGCGTGATTGTCCCGCCGAGCGTGTTGCACGCAAGGAGACCAGCCTCGAGGCCCCCTCGAAGGCATCATTGTCAATGACGGTGCTGGTGCCGGTGCACGCGTAAGCTTTTGGGTTAGGGTTTCTAGTTGCAGAGGTTGCTCGGGATGTACCAAAGCTAGGGCACACAGCTGTTAGGGCACACAAGAGCTACTTACCAGCAGACCAGTATGTCAATTTGAAGCGCGCGGCCGCTCTAGCGAAGGTCGCGGCCGCGGTACGCTGTCGCGCTCGGTGAAACCTGGACCTTGCAATTTTAAAGCCGTCCCTACCGTCCGATTGGGCCCAAGAATGCAAGTTCAAATTTGAAATTTGGACTTGACACGACTACCGGTAGGCTAAGGGCCACATATCCTACAGCTCTAGGTGGTACCGCGTGAACAGTGTACACTCTAGCCTTACACTTTCTAAAAGAGCAATTGCCAATTGCTGAGGCGCTACAACAGCGATCCTTGCTTCAGAAACCTGCATTCCGCAGCGTCTTTCCCAGTGAAACAAAGAGCAGGACGTTCAGCCGGTTTGCACCCTCTCAACTCAACAGAGGTCCTTCCGATCCTGCCATCAACGTTGGGACGGCACCGCAGTCCCAAGCGAAGGAGATTCTCCGCCACCCTGAACAGTGTCGAAAGTGAAGCTTACAGAGAGCTTGCCAAGTCTTTCAAATCCAAGCCAGTTCTTCGAGTTTGCAGGCCATTCCCTCAGTAGCGCTCAACAAGTAAGGGTGAGGTTTTTGGAAGCCAGACCAAATCTTTAGCAGGCTCAAGCCAGTTGTGGAGCAGAAAGCTATAGCTAAGATCCTTAACTTTCTCTGCACATCCATGCAGTGAATCTAGTCTCTGTTAAATGCAAAGCAACATGGGAGGCGCCAACCACTTTAAGGAGGTTCGCGCAGGGGTAGCTGAGAAGTGGCTAGCATCCCATGCAGGGACTTCGCCTGTCGACGGGCGGAGCTCAGATCAGTCTAAGGACTCCTCAAGGTCTGCATCTGATGACAGCAAGAAGGCTTCGTCAGATGAAGGCATTGATTCATACAACAGGATTGCAGCAGGTGCTATACCCGTAACACCAGTCACGTTCCGCGGTACTCTTCAGTCGGCTCCCCAACCAGACCCCAAGCTCTTGCAGCAGTTCCCAAATCCCCGCATGCGCTCACAAGCTACGGGCCAGATGACATCTCCGCAACGGGCAAAGGATGCTGGGCACAGTTCGCCTTCCAAACTATTCAGCTCGTCACTTGCAAACGGGAACGAGAAGCTTTACGAAGCTTACAATGATCTGCACAGGTGAGCCACGGAGTTTAGCTTTTGCGAACTCTTTGCAAGATCTTATCTTGGCTACTGTTTGCAGGAGGTTCAAAGATATGGTCATCAGTCTCCGTACTGCTCATGTTTATTAGTCTCTTTGCTCTGTACGCTCTGTCAAAGGTTGCTTTGGTCCGCCCATCTTCAACAAAATGTTTGCCCATACAATGAAGTGCACCTTCTCAAATGGAGTGCAATGTTATATTAAGGCATTGGACCTGGCCTTAACCTGGCCTCTCTGAACAGCACCTTGAAGAAAAATCTTTTTCAGTGCAGCAGACGGACTACTTTCGCCGAATCAAACAAATTCAAGACACTGACAAAAACTGCATTCTTTTGCAGCTTGGCCCAAGACTTCCAGAAGCCTTTTGACGCTCCTGCAATACTTGTTGTTGGTCACCAGACGGATGGGAAGAGTGCACTTGTGGAGGCACTCATGGGATTCCAGTAAGTGTCATTCCTTTCCCAGAAAAAGTCTTCTGTGCCTTCAACTTGACACAACTTCCAAACTCGCTCTCTATGCTCAAAAGCCAAAACTTCCTTGACGTCGGCGTCATTTCACAATATGCACGACCAGTGTGCAGCTTTAACGTTAAATCTGCCTGCATGAATACATTTGAGTGAATACATTTGAGTGTGGCAATGATGTTTGCTTACTGTCTGAGGGAAGGACATGCAAGCAAGTAAGCCACATAGGGTTTCTGATGCACCCTTGACTGGTGCAGGTTCAATCATGTTGGGGGTGGAACAAAGACAAGGCGACCAATCACACTCCACATGAAGTACAACCCTGAATGCATCGAGCCACGATGCTACTTGATCACAGACGATAGGAGGATGAAAGAAGAGGAGAGAACCCTGGAGGAGCTGCAGGTAAGCAGCTTTGGGGACGTGCTGCAGCTTTTTTCCTACGGAGCTGTGAGCATCTCTCTAAAAGACATTCTAACATTGAGTGCAGAAGAGCTTCGAAAATCTTTTATTATTCTGCTTGACACGAAGCTAGACCTACACAGATCAAAACCCTGCAGACCTTTCCTATTGGTGGGGCGAATCTTTGGATGTGGGGCCAACTAGTCCTTGAGCTGCGAGAGTGAGAACGTAATCAATCTGGTGACTCATCAGTCTCTGTTGTTCCGATTTGTTTCTTGGCTCGAGGTAGTATATTTGCAAGTTTGTCTCATAGGCATCGACAGAGGTCAAAATCCCTGCAGAGCCTTAGGTGAATGCTCAGAGCCTTAGGTGAATGCTCATTTTAAAGGGACACCTGAACTTCCCACTGTGCTTGCTCAAAAACGATTCTTTCGGTCAGGATTTGCCTGATGCTTTCACACGAAGAGGGTCCTTACTCACTGCTTCCGACACTTGCAGGACCACATCGAGTCTGAGAACCACCGACTGGAGCAAGAGGCACTGCAGTTCTGGGCCAAAGAGATTGTTGTGCGCATCGAGTACAAGTACTGCCCCAACCTGACCATCATAGACACGCCGGGCCTGATTGCCGCAGCGCCTGGCAAAAAGAACCACCAGCTTCAGGCCCAGGCCAGGGCGGTGGAGCAACTAGTGCTCAACAAGATGAAGCAGCGGGAATTCATCATTCTCTGCTTGGAGGACTGCAGCGATTGGAGCAACGCCACGACGCGCCGGGTAGTCATGCAGGTGAGATTGATGTAGGTTGAGATCTTCGAAGATCGCTCATGTGGCAAGGTACTCATTCAGCAAGCCTTTTACTCTACTGTGGCGATAAGCTGCTTGCCTCCTCAACTGTTTGAGGATCTTCAAGCCTTCATTGAGCTGAAAGGTCGATTCCACTGGTACCAAATCATCTGTGACGTCTTCTTTCAGAGGCAACTAACATTCCTGTCCTCTACAAAGATCTTGTATGCATTTGCTAGGAAGTTTGACAATTGTCAGTAGCATGCTTCTTGGAAGTTGTTGCTTGGGAAGAAAAATCACCAGGGGACTTCATCTTGTGCAACTCGTCTTTGCAGATGGATCCCGAGCTGACGCGGACTGTTGTGGTGTCCACAAAGCTAGACACAAGGATTCCCCAATTCGGACGGGCTGCTGACGTGGAGCTCTTCCTCCGGCCCCCATCCCGCCTGCTGGATGGGGACATCCTTGGAAATACTCCTTTCTTCTCGTGAGGAGCCCATTTTCCGACTTTCTTGCCAAGAGCCATTTTTGCACAATTTCTGCTCAGAAGCTTGTCACTCCAACTTTGTGAGATCAGAGAGTAAGACCTCTTCACCAAGTCAGTGCGGACGCTGAGCGAAGTGGAGTCATAACTGCTGACAACAGCAACTCGCCTCGTTCAGGTCCGTGCCGTCTGACAGAGTTGGGAACGATCGGGACTCCGTGTTGAGGACAAATGATCAGTTCAGAGAGGTAAGCCTTCTCCCTTGTAAGCAAACGGAATTAAGCTTCCGGCAAAACCGGCAATCCCTATACCTGTTGTTCATCTTCGAAGCTTGTTTGCCTTCTCATTTCCAAATGGTGGTCGATTCGAGTACAACAACACACCGCAAATGAAGTTCTTTGGCAAAGGGAATGTACGTAATTCAGTCAGCATCCGATAAATGGCGGAGAGCTTCGCAAAGCTGAGCAAGACAAATCCGCTTTGCTTGACCAGGCGGTCGCAATGCGCGAGGCTCGGGATGTGGCTATGTTGGAGGAGAAGCTGGACAGGCCGCTCCATGCGGCAGAGAGGGCACGGATTGGCGTCAGCAGGCTGCGGCTGTTCTTGGAGCAGCTTCTGCAGAGGCGGTGAGCTTGCGGCAGAATGTTTCCTGTCGACTATTTTGATCAAGTTTCAGTCGCTGCTGAACGAGCAGGACTGGAAATGCTATGTTGCGCTGTGGCACTCTTCGAATGCCCCAAGGAAGGGGCTATGCTGCGAGATTTTGAAGATGTGATCAACCGCTCACGCCATGCAGTTAGGGAATGCTAGTGCGACCGCTTCAGGACAATTTGTGGTCGGATTTTCAGACTCCGAGTCGGTTCGAAGGTCCTCTCTGCGTTTGAGGAAACAGCCTAGAAGGCTAAGGAAGTCGCATGCTTGAACTTGAAACATGACACGCAAACTTCGAACCAATTCTAGAATCTAGAGAGATACTTAACGAATCTAATTTCCTCCTTCAAGCAGAAGTTACTGACATGCTCGCGCGGATTGCTTCCAGATACATGGAGAGCGTTCCGTCTATTGTGCCTTTGCTGGACAGGGAGTACAGGGGGGCAGCCGTCAGGCTCAACGCAACGATTCGAGAGCTAAGGTGAGTGAGAGGATCATTAGGAGATCAAGACCATTATCTTGCTCCTACATTTCGTACTTGCAAAAGCTTGAGAGAGGTGTATTTTCCGAACACCCTCGACCAACTTTCCCGCTTGGATCTTCATTGATGTAAGCCAGTGTGATACGCATACAATATTTGGTAGTCTCTCTAAATTCGGTTTGCCCGCTTGAGTTCAGAAATCAGAGAGATTGTCTTAATGGTGGCCACTGACTTCTGCAGCAATCTGGACGGTGCAAAGCTGAAGGAGCGGGGCAGGATATTCCGGGATCAGTACCTTAAGAAGGTAAGGTCTCGTCGCCTTCATCATACAGAATACGCTAAAGTCAGCTCTTTAACTCGTGCGAGAAGAAGCTGGAAGATCATTCAAGCGCTGCAAAGATTGGTGTTGAAAGTACCCATCCCCAAATGCAAACTTTGACGGCGCTTTCTTCAGAGGTAAGTATGCGACAACAGTGACTCAAACTTCCACTCTGTCTGGACGCAGCTCTCCGTCATCCTGAAAGGAACCGTGGCAGCCCCCACCGAAAGGTTCGGTAAGTACTACTCCTCATCCTTGGCCATGTGAAGCTATCTAAACGGTTGTGTAGCGTACGGTCAGACCTTTGCCAAGCGGCGGCCGTGGCTGGTTCATGTTTATCCCCTCAGCATAATCGAGGTGGATCGTTCAAGTTTTCATGCTCGATTACTCTCTTTTCCAGGTGAGGCGCTTCAAGATGAGCGGATCATTGGAGGCGCATTCTCCGGCTTCGATGGCAACCAGCTCCCCCAGAAGTTCATCCCGGTCAGACTTCCTCACCTCTTCTCAGCTGCTTACATTGTTTGGCCTGGAGATGAATGCACAGCTTTGAAATTTTCAACGGCAAGATTGTTCCTTCTCTGCTTCTTTACCCCCCACAAAGGGGCTGATTGCACTCGAAGCGCCTTGAACACGTAGGCATGGGGCTGGATACCAACATGCCCGCATCGTTTCCGCTGAACCTACAACAATCTGTAAGTCTCAGCAGTCAGGGCTGAGCTTGCGAATTTCCGTAGAGGGGCATAATTACTTGCGAAGCAAGAGTTGTATACGGTACGGTTCGCTGTCAACAGACAAGATCAGCGGTCCTCGAGGTCGCATGAAGTGCTAAATTCGTCAGTCAGGGTCTGCGCAAAATTCTCTTTCAAGGACGCCGGTCGATGCAGACTGTAAACATAACCTGTCCTATGCTGCAGAACGCCAATATGCGGCTTTACGGAGGCGCGCAATACCACCGCGCGATGCACGAGTTCCGGACCATCGTGGGCAGCATGAAGTGCCCGATCGTCAACCGGGAGGAGATTGTGAACGCGTGCGGAGTAGAGGACATCCACGACGGAACCAACTACTTCAGGTTTGGAGCACTTCTCTTGGTCTAGCTGCCACGGCAAAACAATACAGGATGAGAGCCAAGTTGCATCGCTGCAAGCGTCCTGTTTCGGTACTACCTAGATGAAGAAGGAAGTGCGAATCCACACGCGGCTCAACAGCTTGAACTTCTGCAAGTGCCTCGATCCCGTATAGTTTAAGTCGCTCAGTCGCCACATTCTTTGAGCGCGGTACAGAACTGTGTGCTTGTTCAAATGGGCTTCTTGAGCCGTAGAATCTGATTCAATAAAGGTTGGCCAATCCCAGGCAACTCGTGCTGTCTTTCTGGTGTGAAAGAGGTGTCCAGGATCTTGCACAAGGTCCGTCAGATGCATAACCATGCGAGGGTTGCTCTCGCTCGATCGCCTGAGCCAGTGGCTGACGTCAATATCGTGTTCAAGGCTGACGATGTTACCATTTCCACTTATAGGACTGCCTGCGTCATTGCGGTGGCGAAGGCCAAGGACGTTTTTGAGCCCTTCCTCCACCAGGTAAGCAGAAGCTTGTTTACTGCCATGCAAACCCCCCCCTGATGCAGGATGAGCAACCCTTAACGCTTCTGCGGTACAGAGATTGAGAACCAAGACCGTATTGCCTCTCAATTTGGCAGCCTTTTTAACATTCTGGATGTGAGTCGCGGGCTTGTGGTGTTTGTCCTTTCATGAAGAGAAACGTGCGACCAAGCCATCAGTTCTCAGAGATGGTCCAGAAGCTTCTTCGATCCGACTGAAAGCGTATCCGCTTCGGATATCCCACCTGAGAAGATGCAGACTCATTTAGGGTTACGGGTCTGGAAAGCAGGACGTTTCTCCTGTCTGTAGTAAAACTCATGTCAAATCCAGTGACATTTATATGATTTTTGTACTCTTGCAGCTTGGGTCTCGCCTGAGCCACATCCTCAGGAGGGTCATGCCCATCGCCATGTATCTTCTCCAGGTGAGCTTCTGTTTCCTTTCTCTTTGAACCCAATCATTAGATCCCGGCTACCTAGTATCCTGGGCAACAGGTGAGAGTGGCTGCGCGATTGGGAGGAATTCAAGCTCCTCTCCTAAGCAGTATGGACCCGAGTCCCTTACAAGCGTTGAGATCCCACAAGATTCTGCGGGCTATGGTTCAGTGGGACAACTATTTGCAATCTTGTTTTGGACCTTGCTCTTGCAAACCCTCGATTGTCAGCATGGACTCGCTTTCTGCATTCTGTGACCAGCAAACGGTCATCTAGTTGAACTTCGCCATTTTGATGGCTGCTTCATCGAAAGGCCTTGTCATCTGCCGAAGAACTTGGACTCAAAAATAATCTCAACCTCAAAATGGACTCAGAGAAGCATCTTTGCTGAATTGTGATGCGACACGTGTTCTGCGTTCAGCGGGACGGCGAGTTCCTGACGGGCCACGAGGTATTCATGAAGCGCATCGCGACGACGTTTGAGAGCTTCGTCGAGGACACGGAGCGCTCGTGCAAGGACAAGTAAGCCTTCGCCCTCTCCAGTTCCTGACCGGCCTTTCGGCTTTTGGCCGTTTCTTAAGAGCGTATTTTCTACTCGCGGCAGTGATTACAGCAGAGTCCTCTCAGAGAGGAGCTTCAGACGCACAACAAACGCTTTTTGAGCAGCTCTTTTGACCTGTTGTTGCCCTTACATTCAACATTGTTGCTAGACCCAAGGATCCTGACTCCGGACCTTCTTTTCCCGTTTTATGCGAGAAGTGAGGCCTATTGAAGCTGGTACGCTGACAGGCCAACTTTTCTGCTCGTTTGAATTTGTGACTTTTTTATGCTTTCTGAGCTCCGATAGCCCCATTTATACAGCAGCAATGCTTGCTTTTTATGGATAACGTACGAGGACTCGGCTCTTAAGCATCTTTTTTTGTTTCAGGTGCTTGGAGGACCTTCTCAGTACGACCCGCTACGTGACGTGGGCGTTGCACCACAAGGTGAGGATGCCGTGTGATCGACGCTCCCAAGCGTGCTTCTTTCCTCCCCTTCTTCCATGTTCACATCGCGACGTTCCTCGAGTACGCGCCTTCAGACGTACTTCTTTCTGCTAGACTACAGTAAGCCTCTCTGAAAGGCGGAGCAATACACACCCTTTCTGCCAGATAAAAGAAGCGCCTCAGTTACAGAGCAATCCTCAATCAACCAAGTGAAGGGCCGAGTCTCATATTGACATCCAGTTACCTTCTAAAAGGCCCCGTTCCTTCCTCCTTCCCCCAGAACCGCGGCGGCCTGCGGGCGTTCCTGGACAACATGTGCAGCAACAAGGCCGCTTCCGTGCTGGAGCCCCTGGCCGACATCTCCAACCAGCAGGAGAACGTCCGGCCCGTCCGCAAGCCGGCCGCGCCGGACGCCGACGAGAGCGTCCGCAAAGAACAGTCCCAGGCGCGCCTGGTGGACCTCCTGGAGAGCACGCTGTGGAACCGGCGGCTCGCGCCCAGCTCCGAGGTGAGGGAGTCATGGGTTTCAAGACGTTAAACTTGAGGCTTGACTTTGAGTGAATTGTGGGTAAATTTGAGAAGACTAGGGCAGGGGGTAGGGGGTCAGAACCCGTCAATTCTTTCTGAAGCTCGATACGCAAAGACCTCCGTATCTAACCAAGAAAAGAGATGATTACGTGCTTATAAGGAAATTAAGGGGAGGTGTCTTTAAGTTCGTTGAAGGAAAGATGTACGGAGCAGGTTTGTAAGTGATTCAGGGGTTCAGGCGTGACGCCGTCGTGTCGAAGGTGACGAGAAGATCAGAACCGACTATTTAGGGCGTGTCTGAAGGATTCGTGAAGAGGCCGTCTCAGTTTGTCTTTGTTGCAGCAAATGAGCAATGCCACCAGACATCCACTCGTCCAGAACAGCATAGCATCTTATATCTCTGCCCGCATGTGACCAATCGTTCTTTTAGAAGCTCAAACAAAGCTTCCTACAGTCGTCGTCCGAGCCCTTCCAAAGTACCGGTGCTCCTTTCTGACGCCCGCTCTTCTCTTCCCAGCTCGCGTGCGACTGGCAGGACATCGTGAACGCGCTGGTGTCCCAGATCTTCCAAGGCATCCGCGACTACTTCGTCCAGTCTGCCGAGCTCAAGGTGAGAACCTCCATAAGTCTCAATTTTATGTTGAGGTTAGGTGTATGTTGAGTTAGATCAGTATCCCGGGCGCAAACTAACTAAAAACCTAAACCCAAAGTTACATGCTCCGCACCTGTACCCACCCTAATCCCCCAACCCAACCCTAACCGTCCCCCGGGCCTGACCTAACTCAACATAGAATCGAGACTACTCCGCACTCCGCCACAGCGTCGTCTCTGTTGAACTCTCTTATTAAGGAACGCTTGGAAGGCGTAAGTAGGTAGTCTGAGGAAGAGCGGGTCGCTGTGTCTGTAATGAGGTACAAGAAAGCATGGCGTCATCGCTGTTTTAAGAGCGGACTCCCACGCTCTTCGGCTTTTCTCTTGCGCATCCTGCCCCGTGGTCTCCTCCCTGGCACGCCGTTGACAGGCTTCTAGTTCGTTGACCTGCTTCCCGTACTTCGACTGCTGCTTCATGTTGCTCTTAATTGACTCTCACCCTGAGTTTCTAAAGCAGATTGACTCGTTCAACTTTTCGGCTTCAGTCTCTCTTGGGGGCCCTTGACCGACTCACCAGCTTACTCGGTAGACCCGTTACCCCGCAATTCAGCTGCTTCTTCCTTGTGCCCATGATCGACGCCCAACCTTCTCACCAACTTCCTCAAGCTAACCCCTTCGATAACCGGCGTTCCGCACTTCTTGTTTCTTTCTGATGTTTCCTAACCCCGTGCTAAGCTGACCCGTTTCCCCGCAGTATGACTGCTTCCTGCTGATGTCCGTAATTTCCTCAAGCTAACCCCCTTGGTCAACCTGTTTTCTCCGCAGTTCAACTGCTTCTTCCTGATGCCCATGATCGACAGATTCCCCGGCCTGCTGCGGGAGCGCCTCGAGGTCGCCTACGAGGAGGACCTCGACAACGTCTTCGACGTCGGCACCGTGCGCGCCGCGCTCGAGGCGCAAAAGGACGAGCTCGATCACGAGCTGCGCAGGGTGAGCACGCCGCGAAGTTCTTTCTGTGTCTCAATCCTTCGACCCAGATTTTCACATTCTTTCCTTTTGGAGAGCGCGCGGAGGAAGGTAGATTTTCAGGTGCGCGCCGCGCATGAGGCGCATAAGGACAAGCTTGAACACGAGCTGCGCAGGGTAAGCATGGGGCCTCAAATTTTCTTTTTAGTACAATTCCTCGTCTCAAAATTTATTTGTCCCCGTTCTCTACTGGGCGGAAAGCTGAGTGCGCGCCGTGTTGAAGCGCAAAAGGACGAGCGTAGGGTGAGCGTGTGGAACCGGTTCTTATCTTTTATTCTTGGTTTTGGTGATCCTCGGCTTTTCGTTGCTTGTTTCGTCAGAATCTTCTGGGCATCCATTCAAAGTAGCCACTCTAACATCCTCATCTCCAGTACCCCATCCCTAGTTCCCGGCAAGGAGCAGCGTACCTGCAGTTTCTAACATAGTTGTCCTTGCGCGTTGCAGGTCGAGAAGCTCCAAGAGAAGTTTGCAAGCATCCACCACAACCTCAGCAGCGTGCACCCGATCCCCAACATCCAGCAGGAAACGATGAACGACTTTGCGCGGTTGAACGTCCGCTGACTTACAAAACCTCCGTCATAACTGGGGGGTGCATTGATTGGTGTGATGCGCGTGGCGCATGTGTGAATAGGACTGTCGCTCGTACAATAGACACAGATCGCGTTAGAACCTAAGATACTCAGACGATCTAAATTGCAAGCTTGAATCAGGCTTCAGCTGTGTTCATCAACAGCCTCGGACTGGTAGAGTGCGCCTCTGCCTTCATCCAATGGGTTGTCAAATATGCGCTTGGTGTGTACCAGAACCATTAGTGTTCAACTGGAAAACAGCATTAGGAGGCCACGAGAATAGCTGCGCCCAAACTGGAGTTCAGGTGCCGGGAAGAATTTAGTCAATCCCTAAAGTTGACTACGTACGTATAGCTAGAACAATGATGCGAACGATTTATCACTCGCGTGTATAAGGATTCAGTGTGCAGATTCGACAAGGTCAAGCTTTCGCTTAATAAGTTACAATATCAATCAGCACATGCATGTGCATGACGACGTGAAGTTGCATGCAGCCGGATTATGACGTGCATACTCATTATGCCTAGTAATCAAGTAGCTACAAATCCAGCCCAACATGGCCATTTTAGCGGCCTCAAAAGCATGGCGCGCTAGCTCGAACGGTTTTCAAACACAAACGACGGTATAACATGTGGGTACGTTCAATTCTCGCATGCAACGCACAAGCTACCTACGGTGGGTACCGGCCGAGTCGATTCCGACTCCGGCCGCCACAAAATCGATTTAGCGCGTATCGAATATCGTCAGTGTTACCGGCGGTTCGCGTCACGGCTACTCAGGTTTATGTTACTCGGGCGGTACAAATACTCAGAAAAATTTTGCCGGGCCGTAAGTAAGTGTGAGGAGATTCTTAGACAGTGTCAGGTTTTACACTTTGAGAGGAGCATCAAATTGGCACGCAAAGAAGAGCCATATGCAGCTTATAAAAACCTCTGACAAGCAGAAAAAAATGTTGGGAGAGCGTCATGAAGGCTCCTTCGAAGCTCCAACATCTTGTTATGTTGAGGACAAATCGGAAGAAGCACCATCGTGGCTGCAAAGTTGGCCGCCATTGCTTGCTTCTAAAAAGCGCCATTCCCTACACTCCCGTTTCCATCTTCTGCACTCTCCTTTCAAGTTAGGTACCGCGGTACTCTAGGGTGGTTCGAGTCGGAACTTCCGATCGAAACCATGATTTTCAAATTTCACGTACGGTCAGACTTGATCGGTACCGTACCGCCGGAAACTCCGGAAGTTTCTGACGATCGGCTTGTCAGACAGATTCTAATTTATGAACTCGGACCGGATTCTCAAGTACCGGTCTGCACGGTCGTCAGTACCGCGTACAGTAATTGTCGCGACTCGACACACCGGTGATTCAAATTTGTGACCGGATCGTCGCGCGATCGAGACCGCCGATACCCACCATAGGTTGCTTGTGCGTATCGAGGATCGATCTGCACTGAATACCTACCGGTATGCATGTGCAATTTGCATGTTGAAAATGCGCCAGTGAATGACAATAATTTGAAATATGGCGGCCCAACAGCTAGGTGATCGAACGGTGCAAGATCATGTGACGTCCCATGCACAGATGTGCGTGCACGTGGCATGCAATTATTGGTGTAAGTTGCTGATAACTTGCAGGGACTGAGACTCTGACTGATCGTCCATTAATCGTATCTAATTCATTTCAAGTCTGGTATACGTCGTTTTTATAGGCTCTCGTTTAACGCGTGATCATTGCTTGAAATACCAGTTGACCAAAACAATTTATGGATCCAGACTCCAATTCCGAATGTCAAAAAGACCGTGACCTCTGTATTATCATTTGTACACTCATTTTGCAGCGGGGCTACCTGACCAATAAGATCCTTGATTGTGCTTATTTCACCAGCGACGGCGTATACGACCAAGGAAATCAATATCGAAGGATAGTCGACGGTTGCAACCACAATCAGTCATTCGCGAACGTGATGGCAAGGCCTACTCAATCGTGAGAGTCAGTGACTCCACTGGCCCAACTGCCGTCTGCAAGGGGAGCGAGGAGGCTTCCCCTTGCTTGTTGACCCACGGGTGTGCCATTATTTGCGCCAGCTGGAGCCGCCGCAACGGGTCCTTTTCCAAGATGCCAGTCTGCAGGAATTGGTGCAGAGGTTCATGGCCCAGCCATATCCCTTTCTTTTGACAAATGTCCGACGTTGAAAGATTCGACCACATCCCCTTCTTCTGACAAAGGTTTGAAGTTCAAAAGCTCGTACAGGTGCAGTCAAAGGACCGAAGCCTCCGTCAACCCTTGCATAATCCAGCATACGCGTCGCAAGGACATCGAACCAGATGAGTTTACCAAGCAGCAAATTCAGAGCCTGCGACGCTATCTCCTTACGAACGTCTGCAAACTGGACGCTAGCTTTGTTCTGGCTTTGATACTGGCTTAGGGCTCTTGGAAATGCAACACTATGGTCATTCCGAATGGAACTTTCCGTGTGCCAGAGCGCAAAACGCGGGGAACTCATGCATGCACATACTGTCTCCAAGCAAACCACGCCTGACCTGACCACAAACCCCGCAAACATCGCCAATCTACACCCGAACCCCACCCGCAGAAAGGCGCCACCGGCAAAATTCAGAAGCCCCTGCGACCGCTTAAACTGAGGGGAACGCAAGCGGTGCATGACGATCCCCAGCCGCAAACCCTGCACAGCCAGCGCCAAACCCTGCGCTAAACCCTCCAAAGTACAGACTCACCAGCAGCTCCACAACCCGAAAAGGCGAAATCTGTGTGCCGGCAAGAAACGCGAGCGGCTCACATATCATCCTGTTTCCAACTCTCGCAAACCCTGCATCGTTAGCACCCAAACCCGTGTAAAGCCCGTAACATTAGATCTAAATCTTGCACTTGACCCAGCAGGGTTCGGCTGACTCACCAGCAGGTCCACGAGCTCAGGCGACAGCTGTGTCCCGGCGGGGAAGGCGAGCGGCTCGTGCACGATTCTATGGTACATTCCGGCGACGGATTCCGCCTCGAAAGGGAGCCGCCCGACGACCATTAGGTAAAGGCATACGCCGAGCGCCCATATGTCCAAGTCACGGCCGCGGAAGGTGTCTGAACTGCAGATCGGAGAGACAAAGCAATGCTTATTAGCTTTTCAGATCTTTTTACTTATTTCCCGGTTTCCTTCCGTCTTGTCTGCATGATTGATCATCTACTCGTATGCAGCATGTTCTGAAAGGATTACAGTATACGATTAATGTACGCATCGACAGTCCCTACCGCGTCCAATTCCTCGCCGTGAGAAGAGTCGTAACGGAGAGGCAGAAAAAACTTTCTGCTCTTTCCTGTCGATTCGTTTCTGTAATCCTGATCCATGCCCCGATGGCCACTATGCATGTCTGGCCGGAACAACCCAGGGTTTGATGGCTTGGACCCAGATTGGGTTAGCAGCAAGGTCCAACCATTTTGTGTCTGGGCAGACATGCTAACACCGTGACCTGGAGGCCTGGTTAAGCCCTGTTTCTCAGCCACCCAAAGACGCCATGACTTGCATAGACCACCAGATTTCTGACTGCGATCCTAAATTACGCTGGGGTTGCTTCAACGCAGTTCTTTCCTTGACACCATTCAGGGTTATCTTCAACCCCTCAATTAACCCACCTGCAGGCCTCCGGTGCCAGGAACGCGGGCGTCCCCACCGGACGATGCATCGCGTCCGACTCCTCAAAGACGTTCGAAACGCCGAAGTCGCTGATCTTGACGGTGCCGTCCGGTGCGAGGAGCAGATTCTCGGGCTTGATGTCGCGATGCACAATCTGCAAGAAACCAAGCCAAACAACTCTCTCTGTCCGCAGATCTCAATTTGTCTTCTCGGAAAGATATCCCAATCGTCATTGTTCTAAGTAAACACGCTTTGTTTTGAGCGGCAGTGATCGGCTTGTATAGCAACATTGGCAGAGATTGAGTGCAAAGGTGAGGCACCCGAAGCTGGTGAGTTGCTTCTAAGATCAGGAGGGTGTCACCAAACCGCAGGGAAACTAAAAAGCAGGAGACAACTTGCTTCTGACAAGCGCATCCAGTCTTTCTCAATATTTAGAGACAAAGTTATCAGAAGCCGAACTTGGAAACCAAGAACGGCGAAGATAAAACGATGTGAAAGGCAAACATTTAAGAAGCACCACTTTACCTTGTGCCGGTGCAGGTAGTCGAGGCCCCGTACCACATCTTGGAAGTACTTGCGCGCCAGGTGTTCCGGCAGCGGGTCTTGGTGTGTCCGGCCCCAAACAGGGCCTCCCTCCACGTACTCAATGATCATGTACAGCTTGTCGTCTAGCGGGTCGTCGATAACCTGAGAATTAACAGGGATGGTTAACTCGTCGATAACCTGTTCGGATGCTCACGACCAGAAAAGGACCTTCCTCCACGTACTCAATGATCATGTACAGCTTGCCGTTGAGCAGGTCGTCGATAACCTGGGGTTAACGGGAATGGTTTACTGGGCGGGTCATGGATAACCTGACAGTTTGCAGGGGTGGTAATGAAGGAGGACTCCGCGCGCTCCAACCCAAAAAGAGGACCTTTCTCCAAGTACGCAATGATCATGTACAGTTCGTCATCTAGCAAGTCGTCAATAACCTGGAGTTAACAGGGATGGTTAACTCGGCGGGTCATCAGAACCTGACTGTTTGCAGAGGTGTTTTGACTATCCACGGAGGAGTTTGCAAGCTCCCGCCCAGAAAAATCCTTCTTCCACGTACTCAATCATCAAGTACAACTTGTCGTCTAGCGGTAACTGATAACCCGAATTACTAGAGACAGGTGGTTAGGATATGACGGCAATGAATAAGAAGTTTTTTATGAAGGACTCTACGTTGTTAGCACCACAATTCTCAGAGCGCCAGGCCTTTCACAACAAAGACCTTGCACATCCTGTTAAGGAGCAAACCCATTTAGAAACCCGGAGGACTGAGGCCAAGAAGAAAGAAGTTCACATATTGCAGCGCCACATTTTCAAACCGCACCAGGCGCCAGGCGCTTATGAGGGCTGACTCGCACCTGGCGTCAGTTGTGGCGCAAAAACTCTAAGAATCCCAAATGAAAAAAAGGCTCGGCTCCAGCTGTTTTCGTTCCTGCCATTATCAAACTCAAAAGAATGACAACGCAGGGTAAGAGATCTGATACTCACCTCATGCAGCTCGACAATATTGGGGTGCGCCAGGCGCTTCATAATTGCGATTTCTCGCATGGCGTCGTTTTCGGCGGCGCGCGAGCCCAGGCGCTTCTTACGCAAGAGCGCCTTGTCGATGATTTTCATGGCGTATAAGCAGCCGTCGGCAGCGTTGAGAGACAGCTTTACTTTGCCGTGGCTGCCTTGGCCAAGGGGCTTTAGAATCAGGTACTGGTTCACATACCTGGAAAAAGTGGAAAACTATCAATTGGACAGGTCTTTTCCACGCACGCCGATGTCGGATGCTGAAAGGGTGGGGGAAATTGAAGGGGGGGTAACTGCCAAGGGAAGATGCTGGTTAAATTACCTGGGGGAACAATGATGCTTCAAATCAGCATGATGCATTCAGCGACTGACAAGCGCGACTCAAGAGTGTGACTCTACTCACACTTGCGGGACTGTCTTACTTTATGGCGATCGTTTGGCCAAGAGGCTGTAAACTTTGAGTAGTGGCTCGATTTGACCAAAGAGCCAAAGAACCAAAGAGAAGGCCTCGTTACAGGGCGCCATAGTCAGGGAAGGAAATATTTTGGGACACGCAAGGGGGACCAAACACCTTGCACTCCAACTGCAGACTAGAAAGATTGTCACGAGCATCATAGCTCGCTTGGCCGCCCGACTTCAGATCTGACACCAGTTTCTGAACCTGGGAGATGTCAACACTGGAGAATCACATATCAGTGTTTGTGGAGTCCTTCTCTCAACGGTGTGATTTGAATACGGCAGCCCTCAAAACGCCGCCCAAACTTAAGATCAAGAGGACAGTGCCAAAAGCACCCCAGTTTTGCGCATAATTGTTCATTATAAGCGTCAATAGCACCACCAACAGAAAGGTGGCCCAATGTCCACCTTTTGGGGGAGCCCTCAAGCAGGGAATCTTTAGATTCCCTATCATGATGACGCCATTCTGGGTTTCTGAAGAAACGTGCAGGAAAGATGCCCCTACCGCTTGCGATCGCAGGCGTTCAAACAGTAGTGCTTACTTGTTCCCCTCTTTGTCCTGCAATGTGATCAGCCGCTTCACCGTCTTGAAGCTGCGGCGGTTCGCGGGGTGGTTAGCGGGGAGGTTAAAGGGCCGGTTAGCGAGATCCTCCGCAGACACATGCGGGAACCCCAGCGCTTCTTCTACCAGATGCTCCCTCGTGCTCGTGTCCACTTCTCTAAAGTAAGAGGCGAGTACAGGGTCCGCCTCTATCTTGCTGGTGCTTAGCCGTTTCTTGAGCTGGCGAATCTCAGGGGACTCCGGTATGAGGGTCGGTCGGTGGGGGCTGTCGAAAGAGAACCTGTGAGGGATGATTAGCGCCCTTGGTGGGCTGCGGAACTCTGGCGTGTTTGTTTGGGTTTGAGTGCCGTGACCTGGGGATGTATTGGGGATAGTTAGCCTAGGAGGACTGCTTATGCCAGCAGTGACTGGATCCCCCGTCACATTCTGCGGGGCAGACTCAATTATACCTAGGATACCTGATGTCACATTTGACGCCCCTGCCGAGGCCTCAGCAGCTCTTGAAAAAGCTTCATTCTCTAGTTGCAAAGGCCTGTCTGCATCCACCCTGTCTTGTCCTATGGACTTTGAACTTGGATCCCCAGCTCTCAAGGCTTCTCCCCTGCCCGCCTTCGCTTCTTTCGCGTGCCCGTCCAACACCTTCCCCGTACCATTCCGGCCGACGCATGCCCAGCCACGCGCCCCCTCCTCATTCTTACCATTCAAAACGTTCTCTTGCTTCTCTACTTCCCTCCCAGGAGCCTGCACGCCAATGTCATCACCCCTCCCAACCGGAAGCACTGAAGCTTCTCGTGCAGAATTGTCCTTCTCTAGAGTTGGCTGGAGGTCCCCGCTGGCAGGGGGCTTGCGAGGGGCGCCCCGGCCCCTTTCGCCGGCGCTGATGCACTGCCCAATTGTGGCGGCTGCGGTTGAAAACGCAAGAGCGCAAAAATGGGGTATTATGAAAGGAGTGCCCCTCTGAATCCTTCACTGCTGGTCAATGCAGCTCTGATTCTCAGCTGCATTCCATTCACTGATTCAGTCTGCTTGGGCCAGGGCCCGACGGGGCCGGGGCGCCCACGCCACGATGAGCATGATGCCATGCATGAACAATTGTCGACATGAAGTTGATCGAAGGACATCTTGTAGGAGGACCAAGGTTTCCGACGAAAGCTAATAAATCAGCAATTTGAAGATACAACCTGCGCGCAGATCCTGTGTTATAAGACAGAGGAGTTTTATACAGATATTATAAAGTCAGCTGTACAATTTCAGAGAGGTCTGGGATTGAAATTTGCCCATCCAAATGCCGTAAACCTTGATGATATTCCGGATTTTCCGAATAGTACCGTCAGGCAAATTTTGAGAAAGTTCCCTATCATGAACCAGTTCTGGCACCTTGATCAGATTGATCCATCATCTGTTCTGATTCAAATTTCACAGTTCATGTCCAGCGCACAGAGAGGAGAGTGAACAAAGCGCAGCCTGTCCGGCCAACATTCAAACGCAGACAAACCCCACCTTGGCAAACCTCAGCTCTGTAGGATTGCGTCTGAACGCAATACAAGTACCTGGCATGCAAACGAGTGCAAACGAATTCTTGAAACGCTCCCAAACACTTGATGAATTGAAAGCTGAACGGTGCACTTTGCTGAGTGCTCTCATCGCCCATCTTGAAGTTTTTGAATTTTTAGGTGGCAGAAATACTGCTGAGCTTAAGCAAGAAACAAGGCGACGATGCAGGCTGTTCAGCCGGTGATCTCCCGTTTGGCCAGGGCTCGGTGCTGGGAATTGGTCGCACGGAGGCGCGTTTCAACCTCACCAGTGATGCAAGCAAATGGTGCAAGAGAGCAGATAGTGAGCTTCATCACCAGTTGACAATTGGTGGATTTAGGACACTCAAATGCATGTTTGCAAGGTCTCTCCCATCACAGGCTTCGACAATACCAAGTTTTACTGCACCGACTTCTCCATCTTGATTGACAAAGGAGAGTCAGGCGGACTATCAGAGGGTGGCATCAAGGTGTACCTATTCTATTGACGTGGTTCCTACAAGTCCTGCTTAGCACTCTTGTCTCCAGCACTCTACTCAGTTCGATGTCTTCTTCGGGATGCAGTGCCCTCAATAATCTTTGGAACAGCAAGGCTCAATGTTGGGTATGGTCGGGCCAGGATTAAGGCACTGATGATTAAAGTTTTGTTGTTGCAGCTTCTTGAAGAGGATGCAGCATTGAAGAACTTTCAGGGCTCTCATGAGGGCGTGACCACCATGAAAACTTTCGGGTTGGGGTTGAAAGCGGTTGTCATTGCATGTAAGTGCTGTGACTTTCTTTGAGACCCTCTTTCTCCTGCGTGAGACCGGTCTTCTGCTGTGCGAGATGCAGATTGGAGATTGTTGGAGATTCAGCTGGTTCAGCTGAAGTGCTTGACCACCGGAAACTGATTACAAAGCGTGCGAATGTATCAGAAAGGATGGTGTGAGCACATGGTTTGGAGTCTAAGTTGTAATCCATGATAATTTGCCTGTACCTACAGAACAACCCCCTACTGGCGGGGTGGCCTCCAAAAGTCAATGAAATTTTGTGCCTTTCCAGAAAGCTGACGCTTCTGTTTCTGATTGGTACAGCTGCAGTTGGTCAGATCTACTATTCAGTAACACGAAAAACATAAACCAGAAGCGCATAAAATCTGTACATCTATCCTGGCCTACGCACCCGAGGAGCCTATCAAGTCTGGCTATACTTTCCGTCTGCCAAAACTAACAGAAGACGATTGAGGCGAGTTTAAGTGCACTTCAATCACGGATGCCATGGTTGAAATTAACTCTAAGCTTGGCATAGTCTTGCTAACCATGCCGATGCAAAAAAAGCCTGTTTCAAGTCCTAGTCTTCTAAACCAGGCAACGTTGTACTTGCTTACGGAGATGAAGTCCTGAAGGCCTTCGATCACACTGAAGCCTTTTGATAAAGGCCGGTCATGGTTTTGTTGACAGTCTGGGCCGGAAGTAGTATGTCTTCACTACTCGGCAGTCAGTGCTTCGATTACAAGTGGTTCAGAAGTTATCTCTTCATGCAATGATGCTGCAGTGACAGTGATGTAGCTTTTGCAAGCTGCGTTCATCAAGCTAGTTTCCGGTCAACAACCATGCATGGCATATATTTTGCCGCCATCCGAAACGCGCGATGGTTCCGCTTCTACATGCCCATGATCTAATCGAATCGACTGATTTGAAAAGAATCTGTGGCAACTGTGACCACCGAATTTTCAGAGGTTACTGCCCAGATGTGCACAATTAGGTGGACGCTTACGCACATGTAAGAATTGACTGCACAATCTAAGAATTAGTTTTTTATGTCGCGGAGCGCACTGAGATTGTTGATCTAATGTGCCTCATTCTTCACGCGCAGGTGCATATTAAACATGTGCCAAAACTGATGGCGGTGACTCGGAGCACTGAGGGCTTATTACGTGATAAAGCAAGAGTCCTAGCTGCCGGGCATGCATGCATTCAAAGGCGTTTTCCATAGTCCGACTCAAAACTAATGAGACAATCATCCAAGGCATTGAACCAGATCGCGCGCCCCATTGGTCACATTTCATCGACGCGGCAAACATTTATCGATTTGGGACTTGATACTTGACACCTGCTATTTATGAAAGCAACGGTATCAATGTTACGTACGAACTCGATTGAAGTTTGTACAGTCTCCGACTCTCCCCTATCCTGTCGATCTACAGATCAGTGCTCTCATTGACGAAGTGAAAAACCTGCTTTAAGTTGCCCCTCGAGGGCCGCGCATCGGAATAGTACGACGAGAGGAAGGCAAGCCCTTGCCGGACCATAGACTTTGTCACGTGCCTGAGTTCGCAATCACGTGCGTAGTTGCCTGGATGACACACCAGACAGGACAGGGTCAGCTTTCGGTGGAATCGAACTCGGTAGAAGGTCGGGTACCCAAAAGAACTTCCAGTTTCAAGAACGTAGAGGGTTGCCGCAAAAAAGCCGGGAACGCATGCAGACGGCTTTCTGAATTGAGCTTTCCGCGTTGAGCGCCCATAGGATCTCGGCAAAACGGAAACAGCTTTTTCCTTCTGAGACTGCTTGCCCAATTCACCTTTGCTCGAAGTGCTTCAATCAACGAGATGCAGATGAAGTAGCGAAAGAAAGGCGAGATAGTGAATCTACCTCGCGTGTCGAAGCACGACAAGAGGACAGCCAGGCACACGCAGACGCTGACGTCATATCCTGCAAGACCGGGCATCCAATCAGAGAGGATTGTTCAAGGTGTCGACGAAGAGTACAGCTGTCCCGGCCCGAATGAGGGAGGAGGCACAGCTTTAAGAGGCTCTTTGAAAGAGACTCCGCCTCCCTACAAAGGGTGTCCTGGTCACGACTTCCCCTAGTTAACGAGTTGGAAACACGTGGCAACCCCTGCTTGAGTCGCCACTCAAACTCCTGGTTTTGGAGACTCCCGGGTACTAGACAAAGACTTCACATCAGATTAACAAATAGGCTGACGTCGCCCATTCAATGACTGCTGTTGCCCATAAGGGGACCGCCCACGAGGCGACGTCTCTCTTGCACTCCGAGGACTTTCCCGCCTTTGAATCTCTCCTATCTGCCGAGTCCGTTTGCAAAGTCACAGTCGCCTCTCATCTTCGCTCTTGATCACTCTGCCGAATTCAAAGCACCACAGGCCGGAATTCGACCCACACGGCACGGAGACATCGGAACGAAAACACCAGACCACACCGGAACGAAAACACCGAAATCGAGAGTCCACCCCAGAACAATAACCAAGCACGAACCAAAAGCTTTGATCAGCTTCAGCAGGAGAGCGCATGTGGTTAAAGCAGAAGTTTACCGTCCTTGCAAACGATGATCACTTTGTTTTGGACGTCGAATTGCGTCCGGCAGAAGCGTACGGCGTCCGGGAGGTGTCGCTCCAGGGAGCGGCGGTCGAACTTGGACCCCTGCAACAAGAAAGACCCGATAGATTTCAGGGCAGTTGACAAGTCGGTTGTCAACCGGAATCAATCCGGTCGAAGGGCTTCCTGAAGTACCTCACTAAAGCAGCGGTTCTTTTCTGATCAAAAGAAGGAGCCAAACAGAATGTGTTACCCCTTAGACAGAATGTCGCTTTCCAGAGCTGGTGTCAGTAACGGCGCTTTAGCTGATGAACCCGTGATCAGATTCCGTACTCCACACGACAACAAAAAGTTAACCGCAACTTCCGATAAAAATCACAGGGAACCTTGACAACCCGCGAAGCGAAAATCAGGTCGAAGAAATGACCGTCACCTGAATCGGCAGGTGCACGTACTGCCCCTTTCTTTCTGCGCACCCACGGTGCGGTGCCGGGGAGCAGTCTAGGATGGCGTCAACAAATCGCCACACCTCCGGATCTTCGCCTGAAAAGAAGGTGTGGTGCCACGTCAGCAATTCAAGGCGACCTTGCTTCGGAAAATCAACGGAGCCGACGTCAGCGGATGCCTGTGAGCTACCAGCTTGAACAACAGGTTCTTATAACCTAACACAGCGAGCCATTCTGCAGCTTTATGGAAAGGAGCAACATTTTTAAGACGAAAGCTGTGCTACGAAAGAAGGACATGATACCTTCGGCGGCCCCGGTCTGGCCGCCTTGTTCACCAACACTGTGATTATTTCGCAGATATACTGGCAAGCATAGTTGCTTTATCCTCGTGGCAGAAGGACTCAGAGCCCCTGAACTGAAGCAGAAACAACCGACCCGCAAGAAGGAAAGTCAAAAGAAGCTAATTTGCCAACAGAGTGCTCGAGAACGTCGCTCACAGCAAGCGGCGCCTCCAACTGCCAACCCGGTACTTCCGATGAAGCTCAGCCGTCCGCAGCTTCCTTCGACCGCCTCTCCAAGCTCCCCGCGTCCGATACCGTCCGATTGACGCATTCCTCGGTCATCGTACGGATAACATTCCACGGCACCACCCCTCCTCTCGTCATCTGCATGTGCTTCATCTCTGGATGGACGCGGGAACCGGTGACCCGCACTCAGCTCGTACGAACCCACTGATTCGGTCAGAACCCCGTCCGAACGACTGAGTACGGACTCCGCCTCCGCGGCGCTTCCCGTCCTCCCCGCATTCTGCGATGGGCCCCTTTCCGTGCTGACATCATCCTCCGCTGACTCCCCTCGGACCGATGGCGCTGCCCTTTCATTTCTCGACGCCTCTGTCGAGCGCCCACCTGGCTCATCGGAGAGCCTCTCCACCTCGCCAGTAGATTCTTCCGTTCCAGCCACTCCATTCTTCCGGTCCGGAACTCTTCTCGTCCCTTCCCTGCCTTCCCTTCCTATGCTGTTCCCTCCGTACGGATCTCCGTGCGAGCCGTCCGGCACTCTCTCCCCACCCGTTCCGTCCAGCTTCCGTTCCGCTCGGTGACCCTCTCGCGCGGATTCCGCCACCGGCCCGAATCCCGTGCTGCGCAGCGCCACACGCACGCGCTCTTCCTCGACCAGGCGCGCCACGGCACCCTTGCATCCGGACGGCCCCGCGTCGAGGATGTGGTGGACGTTCCGCCAGAATGCCGCCGGACTGAGGCCCTGCGGAACGGGAGTCTTCCTCTTTGAGCGCAATCATGGAGATACGAGTGCAAGTGCAGTCCTATCCTATAAGTCTTTATTTTTCTGATTGCAATTCCGGCTGTCCAAGGAAACGTTGACCCAGTCACCAGTTCCCCGAACGCTGTACACCGTTGGCATCTGCTCCCGAACACGAAAAGCCTTTGCGTCCTTCTTTAGGGTAGACCCACTTTGGCGCAGCTTCCCGATTCCGAAGCTCCCAATACGAGCTGCTCTTACACGCCAACGGTTCAAAAAGCAACAACCCGAGATTCGATCCACCTGGCGACTCAGAAGCAACAAAACGCAGACAATTGTGTCTACCAACGACTCAAACGGGATAGCCTTGTATCTTCTGTCGATTCAAAGATACAAGTCAGACGTAGTCCGCTCACTCGAGACCAGCTTTCCTCGTCGTCCCCCGCCCCAGGAACATAGCTCCAACCGGAGCCCCCCCCTGCCACGTGGCCAGGAAGTGCCACCGGGTCTGACGACGACAGGCAGATGACGGGCGTGAAGGGCAGCGTGCTGACGTCAGCGACCTCGTTGAGCCAGATGACTGTGCGCTGCGAGACCCACAGCGGGCGCAGCGGCTTGCGCAGGGCGCCGGCGAGGGGGCGGAGGTCGGCGCCGGAGGTCTGCAGGACGTTTTGGGGTTTAGGGATCCTGATCTCAAGGACTCTTATTCGCGAAATCTTATTCGCGAACTTTAAACAATCCTTCACAATTGTGTGGGATCTCAACCAGACTTTTCCACTGCGCAGGTTCGTAGTCATTGAGATCACGAGGATTCGAAGGTGGAAGAAAGTGGTTCTGTGGGTTGGGCCTTGACGGGCTAGATTTTCAGCTGCAGTGTTGGACTTTAACGCCACCAATCTCGTGGCTGCGGCCACAGCTGGGTAGCCACAGTACAAGCGAGCAACCATGGAAACCAGCACAATCAAGTATACGTCGCAGAAAACCAGTCGGCTCACTTTCAAGATTTCGACCCATCCCTCAACCCGACTCTCGATCGCCGCCTTTTCGGTTGGGGACAGCCACAGTGGCAGGCGCAACGTCATCCAGTCCTCGACCTTCTCTGCCTCTTCCCCCGTTTCGGTCTCCGTTTCAACTGCCCCAGAAGCGATTCCACCCTCCGACCCTGCTTCCAGCTCACTCCCCTCGAGATTCTTATCGGAAAGGACAGCCAAGCTGACGTCTTCACCGGCGTCATCTTGTTGCTTCTTGTGATCCTGCCCCCTCCCCCGTGAATTATCCTGTTGACTTCCAAACTGAAGGCACCTGTCTCTATCTGTATTAGTAGTCGCGGGCCCGCCCAGGCTGACAACGAAACCAGCCGCCGCTGATTCATTTGCTTCGCTTTGGCCCCCACTTTCATCATTTTGGCTTCGCACCCCTCCTTCATCTTCCCTCAAACTCCTCCTCCGGCCCCCAGTATCTCTCCTCAGTTCCTCACTCTCTCCACTTTCTCTAATCAAACCCCTTTCTGCTAAGCCCTTTGGACCCGCCTTTGCTTCGCTTCCCCTCCCTTCCTCTCTCCTGATCTCCTCAAGAGCTCGGTTGAGAACGCAGCACCATATTGGGACAGTCTTTGATAAGCTATCCGGATACCTCTTTCCCCTCCGAGTTGCGTCCACGATTATGCACCCCCCATGCCGTGCAGCGAGCTCTGCCACGTGGATGTTGAGGCGCGTGCAGCTGAAAGACCAGTTGCCGGTGTGGCCATCTGTGGACTTGAAGTAGCAGCTCCCGTCGAAGTGGGGGGAGTACCAGATGCCGCAGCGTAGGTTGGCGAGGAGGGGCAAGGAGGGGTAGAGCCTGCCAAACAGCGAAAAGTCTTGCATTTGGCTATTGGTGCAGAACTTAGAGACGCTCGTGACGGAGGGAGAGACGTCGTTCTAAGGGCCGACAGTCAGAAGTCGTTCTAGAGCTACAGCGCTGATGTTCGTGAAAAAGAAAATGAAAGAGCTGAAGGCTTTTACACAGCCTGAAACCTTCAAGCTGATACCCCTGCCAAACAAGATAGGCTTTGTTTAAAGGAGATTGTGCGACAGGGTGGTGCAGGCAAATGGTTCATACAATGAGCTTGGAGCTTGCCGCTGACATTTCTGATGATCACCATCTGGATAGACGACTTATCAACTTATACTTTGACCGTTTAAATGTATGCGGTGGTGCAGTATGATACTGCATCATATACTGAAGATCACACCGGATGGCCAACTCTAGAGATTTGCAGTGAAAAGTGGTGAAATGATTGGCTTGGTTGAGAATGAGGCCTACAAAGTACCTGGTTCCTGAAGTCACATCGTTGTTCACCTATTGAAGATGTAACCGGTTGACAGCACAGACGAGATCTTCAGCCACCTTAGAAGTTATATTGCAAATGCGTTGAAGATTAAAGAGAGAGTTTAGACTTGCCTGCGGATCTCTGAAACAAAGAGAGAATCCGCATAGATGCTTCGCAGGCTGTTGTACAAGTCGTTCTGCTCCCGCTTGATCAGCCTCGAGAGCTTGTAGATGCTCAGGTTTTCAGGCCCGTCTTCCGCCTGCATCTCCACTTGATGCGTTGGACCCTTGCTCTTGCACCACCATTTGGCACCACCGCGTTCCAGCTTTTCCAGCACTGGCAGCAGGATGGTATTAAACTTTAAAACTTAGAATTGGAAATTTTGCTCAGGTAATCTGCTCCTGAAACTGCTCATAACATGAGTAAACCCGTTTCTACCGGGCATGTTTACAGCGACACTTGATATTTTGAGGCCCTTCAATGGTCGCTTGCGAGGCCCCGGTTTGTCCCTTCCGAGCACCGTATACGAGGCCTGCAATGGCGCGTCAAATTGCTGAAATTGGTTTTTCCAAAATTCACAGCTAGAGCTAGAGCTCCTGTGGCATGAACCAACATGGAGAAACTCAGAAAGTGGAGCGCAAGCTGGCATGGAGGATCATTCAATGCTGTGGCAATTGAGCATCTAGATCGCTTTGCTACATAACGTCCTAGGACAGCAAGCCCACCTATGCAAGAACGGTGATTCACATAGAAGAAGTAGCATCCAAGATGATCTGACGGTGCATTGAAAGTTTTTTCAACAGAGCCCTCATAATGGCGACGAGCTCTTGCACGATACATTCTTGCACAAACGGGAGCTTGCTAAGAGAATCGTTTCGCAGCAGCCAATCTGGTGGACTCTCGGGCTTCCAGTCGACGTTCCTTCCTGGATCCCCTCTCTTCCAGGGCCGAAATCCAAATGCAAAGCGTCCAGGACATGAAAGAGTCTTGAAGCGGCCAGCATATTCTGCTCCCTCAGATGACCTCAGCAACTTTTCTGCCACTACGCGGCGCCATGTTTGCGCTTCTATTAGAGCACACTCTTATGACACCATCGCTTCCCCCTCATCCATTCCTCAATCCGATGCCACATCTAGAGAGAGGGACGCCTCTCCCTTCTCCAGTCCCACTCCCAGACACTCCAGAGCCGCAATTAGACGCGGGAGCATAATCTGCCGGGTGATGGGGATGGCCACAGCGCAGCTGAAGGGCCTCCAGGACAACATCTTCATTCGGCACAGCGACGATGACTGCTGGGTGTGTGGAGCAGACACGGGTCCTCTCTGGGGCCTAACTTTTGCGCTTAAGGACATGTACGATGTCCAGGGCGTACCGACCGGGTTCGGCAGCCCGACGTGGCGCAAGACGCACGCGGTGCCGAAAAAGTCGGCCCCAATTGTTGACGTGAGCACTGCCGTTGACATACTGTGCGTATCCTTTCTTGGTATCATGTTGAAGCCAGCAGATGCTTAGGTTGGGGAGACCGGGTTTGGCAGACCGATGTCAAGAAAGGCGGCCCCGATATCGACGAAAGCGCTGCGTTGGTGTTTGTGTAGTCTCTCATCAGCATCGGTGTCAGGGGGTATCAGATGCTTAACCTGCACAAACAGGGCCTAACAGCACACATTGTTCGGCTGCTGATACCAACTCTGGTTCACAAGGCCAGCGCTGAGCAGTATCCTTCCCTCTGCAAGTTCGTTCTTGTCCGTCAATGTTTTCAGACAGGTCCTAATCACTTCTCTTCACCATGTGATGTCCATCAGTCCTTTGTTGCCGCCCCCATTTGGGGGGCCTTCTACTGATCTAAGTGGTCGATCTTAGACCCCATAGAGAACACATCTCACAGCCTGCCAAAGAGATCTTCACCCCAAATTCGGCTTTTCACAGGCACTCTTGAATGCGGGTGCGACCCTCCTCGGCAAGACAGTGATGGACGAAATGGCCTTCAGCCTCACTGGTGTGAACGCCCACTACGGCACTCCAGTTAACCCTGCGGCGCCTGGGAGAATTCCAGGGGGTTCGTCCTCAGGCTCTGCCGCAGCCGTAAGCTCCACTCCCCATTCTCAACTCATATTCTAGTCTGGCCTTCATCTGCAATTGAAGATATGGAAGGCTCGATTTGGGTCGACCCATTGATCAACAATAAAGCTGGTTAGCATCAAATGATCTTGAACTGAGTGTCTACCCGTGCACGCGCACCTTAGTTCTGATTCAGGACGCATGAGTCGAATCTACTGAACGATACTCAGCTTGTTACGTCGTGCCATCATCACTCTCCGACAACGCCGCCAGCATGACGCCCTACGCCCCACTTCGCGCGCTTTTTAGATCGCGGCGAATCTCGAAGCTGAGTTGCCGCCCGCTCTCAGGTGGCAGCAAAGCTGGTGGACTTTGCAATTGGCAGCGACACGGCAGGTTCGATCAGAGTGCCCGCCAGCCACTGCGGCGTCCTGGGAATGCGGCCGAGCCATGGGCGTATTTCGATGGAAGGGGCGCGACCCCTCCAGCCTACTCTAGATGCAGGTACGATGCACGTTCTTCCTCGAACTCTGTGAGATTGGTCAACGCCGACGGGGAGCTTGCGAGGCGGCTGAGTCTCTGACAATTGTCGGTTTTCAGACGCAATGTTCATAGAAGCTTCTTACTCTTTTGAGATTTCTGAAGAACAGAACGTGATTTGAACCACGTTCTGCGATAGTTGTGGAAATTTTGTGCCGCTCTGCCTTCTCCAATTTTTTGTGGTAACCGGTGTGAAAGCTGAGCTCTGACGAGTAAGCCAGCAAGTAGTGTCAAAGTCGCCTTTGCTGGTTTACTTGCACAAAACGAGGACGACGGTGCTCGGTGAAACGTCCCAGGTGTATAGATCATTCCAGCTCGACACAGCGAAGTTCCAAGAAAGGGACCCTCCAATGCACCTCGTAAAAGGCTCTACAATATCCGTTACGATCCACATTCTGCGCCTCGTTTTCTTTTGCTTCCTCACCTTACTTCACTTCTCCTTCTAGTTGGCTGGTTCGCAAATGACCCCCACATCTTCCGTTCCGTCGGAGAGGTCCTCCTGAGCGGAACGTGCCTACTGGAGGAGCGGAACTCGGCGGAACCTACAAGCTCTCCGGCCGGAACGTCAGGCAACGGAAAGCCCCGGCCGGAACGGAAGCTGAAACGGTGGCTGGTAGCCACGGACGCATTCACACTGGCAGACGAAGCAGCTGCGAAGGCAATCTACGACGAACTGTTGCCGCATATGAGCGCGCTTTGCGAGATGCTGAGTTCTCCGGAGGAGATTACGGTAGCGACGGAAGAGGGGGGCTTGGCAAAGTGGATGGAGCACGCACGGACGATACAGGTGAGCTGTACGTTGGGGGTCCGAGTGTTTTTGAGATTTCTGCCGAGCGTTCAGGGGAGCTTGAGAATGAGAAACGAACGGACAACTGAAGACCTGCAACTTTTCCTCCACGTAACAGAGCGCAGAAAGCCTTAACAAGCGCCGAGAAGAGATGAATGGAATGCGCCATGAGAAGTTCGCTTAAGTGGGCCAATGGCAGAGGTTAGCAACTTCGACCTCAAAGATAACTCTTCAAACTGAACTGAAAATAGGAGCCATGGTATGGGAAGATTTGGGGAAGACAGGACGCGCCAAGAACACGTCTGCAGTTTTTTCCCATGTTCCAAGCATCTTTGAGGCATCTGACAGAGACGGAAGGGCACCCGCACTTGGCTTTACTGTTGCTTCAGTATTGGATCCCGTACATTCACTTCCCATTTGTAAATGGAGAGCGATTAATCGAAGATGTTGACAAACAATGAGGAAGAAAGTCTGCGGTAGTCTAAGCGGGGGCCCTGTTTGACCGACCCTGCTCCTCAACAACTGTGCTTCGCCCCCACACAATGGCTCTCCCGCAGCTGTACGAGGCCTGGCAGCAGCACGGGGAGTGGATTCGGACGGAGGACCCGAAGCTGGGCCCGGGCGTCCGGGAACGCTTTGCGGCCGCGTCCGAAGTGTCCGAGGAGCAGTGGCGGGAAGCGACGGCTGCCAGGGAAAGGTGGGCGCCCAGAGAGCCCACTTAAAGCAGAATTACTTGTATTGGCGGACGGAAAGCATCGTCCGCACAATATATATACCGTCCGACTTGTCCGAGCAGTGGCGAGAGGCGACAACAGCGAGGAAAAGGGGGGCGCCCCAAAGATCCCAGTCAAAAGCATGTTTCAAATATTGGCGGGGACCGTTACGCGTTAGGAAAGCGTCGTCCGGACTATCTATTCGTGACCGTCCGAAGCGCCGAGGAGCAGTGGCGAGAGGCGACAGCAGCGAGGAAAAGGTGGGCGCCCCAAAGTTCCCAGTCCAAAGCATCTTTCAAATACTGGCGTCAGGAAAGCGTCATCCGGACTATCTATCCGTGACCGTCCGAAGTGTCCGAAAGGCTGTGGCGGGAGGCGACGGCGACGAAGGAAAGGTTGGCGCGCAAGAAATTTCCAAAGACAAAAGGTTTGCTCCGTCGGTCAGTGGAACAGATCAAGTCTCAACTTTCGAACAACTTCCCCATACGCACCAGCGCCCTTCTCTGGACGGCGCAGGTTCTCGGACCACATGCGGACGCTGCTCGCGGACGGCGCCGTCCTGATGGTGCCCAGCGCCCCGGGCATCGCCCCCTTGAAAAAAGCGCACGCAGAAGAACTAGAGGCGTACCGGAGCCGCATTCTGCAGCTGTCCGTCATCGCGGGGCCGTCCGGTTTGCCGCAGGTGAGCGGACCGGATGACGCCACTATCTTGAAATGACGAAGTCGAAAACAACCGTGATTTCGTTCTTGACGTTTCAAGGGAGTACGACCGGATGCTTGCCTGTCTGTCTGCCTCTTACCCGGTGCTCGGGTCGATTGTGAAGGCCGCTGATCTCACATTCGTTTTGCTCGGCCCTGCTTCTCCAGCTTTCATTCAATCCAGAATAGAGGCAAGATGTAGCCTTCTTCTAATCCTTCTTTCAAGGCGGCTTTGCATCGCGAATCATTCGAATACTTGCCTATCTGCCTGCCTTCTTTCCGGTCTGCTCGGTCCGTCACCGTCCGTTGATCTTTCCTCCTGGTCGGATTTTGCTTTTCCACCTCCCTTAAGAACCCAGATCCAACTTAGGCAGAATGTAGCTTTTGAATTTAGCTTCCTCAAGCCGGCTTCGCAGTCACAATCAAACGCTTTTTCGCTCCTGTCAGGTAAACCTCCCCATTGCTGAAGTGGACGGCTGTCCCGTGGGCCTCGGGATCATCGGGCCACGTGGCTGGGACGAGGAGTTGCTTGACTTGACCGTACAGATAATGGAGTTGGTACGCGTGAGAAAACCGTCACCGTCACTTGGTGCGGACTTCGAAAAGTTCGTCGTGCCTCCGGATCCGTGATGTGCAATCGTCGGGTGGATTCGTACTCCTCGGAATCTAGGCTTTCACTGCAGAAGTGACTCTACGCAAGCTACCGTACGAATCTGGTTGGCTGTGTGAGGGGCAGGCGGGGTGGCTCTTTTAGGCACCCGAAACGCCTGTCTTTTCTAACTCCAGTGAGGCAAAGACGAATACATCACGATCTGATGCAGTCAAGCATGCAAGAAGCGGACCAACTTGCGCAATAGACTTCAAATTCATTTGTGGCAGTCGGGCCCACACTCGCCGGCGCGTGCATGCACGTATTGGAAGCACTGACGCCTGGCCGCATGCGACCATGAATCGTTCTCCTGATAGTTGCGACAGCGTGAAAGAGCCGGGAGCCTAGCCTAGCAACAGCTGAACACTTCGCGTCAAATTGGTGGAATTGTGCATGATGCTGCACATTTAGGGGCGGCTTGACTGACACTCGCAGCTACGAGCATGAATCCTAGATTTACTGAGTTAGTACATCTCATGGTCGCGCAACTATAATCCGAGTAACTGCAGCAAAGTCAAAGCTATATTTGTTCGATTATACCATATGTCCGCGCTAGTCGATCTGTGGTGTACTGTAGAGCGATCAACAGCATACTACATTGGACGTCTATGACTCGGATACCCAGCATGCGTAAAGCTATGCATGATAAGCATAGCATAGTCACTGCATGTGCATGCGCGCTGCAGACAACAACATAATCCCGGCAAATGTTGATTCACGTAAGCAACTCAGATACTATTGTCTCAGCAGCGAGTATCGTACAAAAATGAGCACCCTCGAGTGCATCAACACCTCAATGAGTCAGCCCGCAAACTTCTTTGAATGAAAGGGCGCCCTTTAATCTGTCCTCAACGGACGTCCTATCTTCAACGGTCAAATCCCAATCAATGATAAACACTGGCTCTCGATGCCGAGGTTCCCGTTTCTTGGCTCGAAACTCGTCGAGGACCGCCTTAAAAAGCGACAAGGAAGGCTCCCGCGAGGTCGTGCTGGTCGCCCTTCCCTGCAAATCGTCCTCCGACCCTCCCCTGCCGTTCTGCAGTGCCATGCCTTCCGCCGCTAGCAGTTCCGCTTCTCTACCGGAGTCCGTTTCCGTTCCATCCCCAAGGTGCCTTCCTGAATTCCCATCCGATTCTACATGCCCCTCTTGAGAGGCATGTGGCCCTCCAGAGTCCGATTCCCTTTCCGTTTTCGCTTCCTTTCCCCTGTCGCTAGGTCCAGCGTCGCCTTGAGCGGTCTCCGCTTCGCTCGTGCGACTTTTGAGGAGGGAGTCGAACGCCGGCGAAGAGAACAGGTCTTCCAACCTGCCCACGAGATGTGAACATTCAAACCGACACAATTTGACGGGGAAGCATCAGAAGCATCATTGAGTACGTCAAACAGTACACAATTTTGACCGGATTCAGCTAAGAGCAACAAACTCGGATTGACCTATGTTACGACCAAGAGCCTTCAATGGGTTATCTACGTGGATCTACTTCGATGGCTTTAGCAGATAGCCAGCTTTGCTCGTTTGTGCAGTTGTTTTACAGAGTCGTTCGACACATGAAGCAACTCGCTGCAAATTAAGAACGTCCATTCGCGTACAAGTCTCTAAATTCTACACAAGATGGTACAACTCGCTGCAGACGTGAAGTTTCCGAATTCCAGTCGCCAGTAGTAAAGAGACTCTCAGGGATGCGAGGCGATTGTGCACGCTTGCCGTAGTCTTGGCACCGGATTAGAGGCTGCGGAACTAAAGGAGTTTTCTCGCTCGAGGCAAACGCTTTGGAGATTAGACTTCCAAAGCGCGTACTTTGATCCGAGCGGCCGAACCTGCTCTTCGTGCGTCCACGCCACGACCGCCCCGCTCGGTCGGTGCTTAAGCGCCTGGAAAAAGTGCATAAGTTTCTTGTTAGTCGTACCTTGTTTCATCAGTGGGTGTAATGTTTTTGTGTGTATCTTTGAACCTGGTTTGTTGGTCGTGACCTTCATTTGTCTGTATTCAACTAATCTTATCTATCCAGAGCCACTCTTTCTCATTCGAATCTTGAATTAAGGTTCAGTCCCTTTGTCACGCCTGCACCAGCATTCTGAACCCAAACCCACCTGGTGCTACCCTGAACTCCAATCGCTGCCCAAGTAGGGACGTTTTGCTACTCAAAATCTAGGAACCTGAAATGGATCAATACACGAAGAATAGATCAGGAACCATATCGCTTCAGCATGATCCCCCAACACCGTCATGGTCACTACCAGAGCAATGCGCGGTCAACTCTGAAAATGTAATGAACCTGGCGCTGGCGGATCACGGGACATGATAGAAAACCTGGCCGAGCGGCCAGCAGTCCGTTATTCCTGCGCGGAATAAGAGGCTCAAATGCACAGCTTGTCAACCTAGGACCTGCAGGGCTTAGCGCCCTGCCCTAATCCAATAGTGGGGCAAGAATCAGAAAGATCAAACTGGACAAGAGTCGGAAACATCAATTCAAGCAACGCTTCGTGACCTCTAGGCCCCGGCTGCAACTCACGCACTTGAGCAGCAACCGGTCTGCTTACCCCGTAGTTGATTGCGTGCGACACGGTCCCTGGTCCGCGTTCCCGAATGTCGTCTTCCAAGTCAGTAACCAGTATCCGAAACGCCCCTTCAATCTGGAAGAAAAGCAACAGCTCCTTGAGCGGGCGGCAAATTTCTCGAAGGGCGCCGGACTATAAAGCGTGCATGAGATACAGGTGAAGTAACGTTATGCCCAAACGAGCCGAGTAAAACTCGTACAGGATTGTAATACCCTTGCTAGAGATGGACTACTCTGTGCACGCAGTACTCCCCTGCCTACTCAGAATAGCACAAGAGGTCATTTTGAAGGGCCCGGTTTGAAAAGCCGGTACGTGACCCTTCGCAATTGCAAGCAGCTTCAGAGCAATAATTAACTCCCTCTGAGGCTTGAAGTTGAATTGTCCCTAACTACTGTCCAGCTTTTGAACCGTCTTTGCCAAATACTTCGTCTTTTGTGAACACCGCAAGAACCTACCTCCGGGTTAATGAAGGTGTAGAACGGCGAGTACAAAAATGCGTTGTGGAAGTATAGCGGCTTGTTCATAAGCCCGTCGACGCCCAGCTCCTCCGCCTGCATGTGCCGACCACTTGTTGCATCACATCGCGGAATGTTATTGTTTGTGTGGAAGAGGTGATCAGTCTGAGGTGGGCACATACGTTGAGGCTAAAGCAGGCTAAACGCAATCTGACTTCCCGGGGCCAGACTTCTAGCCCCTCCGCTCAAGTGACAACACAATAATCAACATTCAGGATCCGAGGAATTCGTTGAGCGAGCTCCTGATTGGAAAAGGTCGAGGAGGGCGCAGTCGCCAGATACTCATTTACATTTGTCCAGAGATTCACATACATTTTTCTTTTCTATCCGCTTCTTCTCCTCTGCTGTTTTCTCTTCCGACAACTTTTCTCATTATTGACCTTTCAATCCTCTTTCCATTTAAAGTCGCGTCTCGTCCTCCGTCCCGTGTGTAGATTTCAGAAGCCAGGCTTGTTGTGGAGTTCTTACCAGCATGCGAATGAAGGTCACGACTTCTTGCGCGCAGCCCAGCCCAATCATCTTCTGGCCTGGCAGCAGCTTGACTCCTGGGAAAGATCGAATGCAGATGTTCTTGGAACAGGCGAAAAGATAGACATTAAAATTGATCAATCAAATGCAGGGGCAAAAGACCAGGCCTGTGATGAGCTAAGCAAAGCTGGCCCAGCGTCTGAGAAGCAACAATAGAGAAGAACCTGAGAGCGGGCGTTAGGTTGGACGTCTACCATAGTAATTGGACGTCACATGGAAAGCCAGCGGCGTCAGCTTTGATCTGGCAAGGATTCTTGACGATTTGAATAAGCATGCATGTTCTACGCATACTCTAACCGCCATAAGTCGAGAGGGCCGCCAGCAGAGCTTAACAAAAAGTGCTGTCATGTCACCCAAACAAATCAACAGTTTGACACAAGCTCCAAGGAGTTGATCAACAATCAAAACATCTTGAGAGGTCTGGAAAGCCTCAAGCCGCAATATCATGAAACTCTCATACCATAGGTTTCCGAAACCCACCCGCAGCGCTCTTGAAGGGGTCCTGTAACAGCATCCACTCGATCGCCAGCATGCGCAGCGGGCCGTGCGTTTTGGCCCAGCCCTTGACGAAGCTCGCGCCCGCCGCCACTGCCGATCGGGCGCTGTCATCAAGAGCCTATAGCAACATGAAGAGGTGAGCTGGGGGGTAAAGGCTGGCTGTATTGGAGAAAGGCTGGCTAATCTATAAGTCGACTTCCAGTCCTGCCTTGTTGCCCTTGGATATGATGAGGGACTAGTGACTTGACTGTCTCAGAGAGTTGACCTCGAATTTCTTTGCTCCAATTTCAGAAGCAAGAGTCTAAACAGTACAACATCAGTAATTCCCTTTAATCCAAGATTGTAGACCCTTCAGACCGACCCTTGCAAAACCTCATCTTTAACCCCTATGCTTGTTTTTCCTCAAGCCCCTCTGAGTTGACAGGGGCGGGCGCTCCTCTTGGAAAGAACTAACCATAAAGCCTCAGATGCTTTGATTGGGTCCATCTGGCCACCGTGCACGCACCTTGAAATTGTCTGTACTTTTTGTGACCCGCAAAAACAGCTCACAGAGCGCCTCCTCAGTCTTTGGACTATGCAGATACAGCTGCAGGCAGGGGCAAAAGCAAGCTAATCAGTTGTGCTTCTTAAAGTCAGCACTGGAACCTCAAATCGCTGACCACTATTCCACAGAATTTGTTTCCATATTGCTGACTGCTATTCCGAGCCGATAGAATACAAAGCACAGTGCTTGATCTGCTTTCTTTCATACGTTTGCCTTCCTCGTTTAGGGAAGGAGCCCACACCGCATTGGTCTAGCTAGTGGTATTTGAACGCCTAGCATTGCATAGCTCCAATTGCATACCGGAGTTGTCAGAGGTTCTAAGAGTAATTGACACGGCTCATGTGCTTGATATGTATTCCCCCCCGGTGTTTGAAACGACGCAAACCCTTCTGCAAAGGCACCTCTCTTTCATCCACAATGATAAAAAGGTTGAAAATCCTGAATGTCACGCCTGACCAGATAAACCTACCTAAAAGTCATAGCCTAGCTCGATCAATCTGCCATCAATTGAGTGCAAACGAATCAGCCACAAATGATATCTCACTTTATGCACAAATGAGTCGCTCAGGTCAAGCGACAGTGTGAGGTCAGCATGGCCCCTCTTTCTTTCAATCGTCTGAAACACTTCAGAAGCTTGAAGCAACCGTCTGACGTCAGCCTCTGTGAAGAAGTCCAAGAATTTCCCAGAGCTTGTGCCATGGTCAAGCAACTCGTCCTCGCTGAGGTCAGCGAACACGTCCCCAAAGTCATCTTGAGGCCGAGATCCAAACAGTTTTCGCTTCATCAGATGGAGGGGCTACTCGAAACAATTGGGCAACTTTAGATATCAGTGGTGGTACAAAGGAATCAGAAGCACCTGCTCTTTCATCAGAAGCACCGTGACCTAATGCCAGACATGCTAGAAACTTTTCTTTGCCGCTTTTCTCCTTTTGCATATTAGTTAGTTTGCAATGCCAGCGAGGCTGAGCGATCTCAAAATTGGAAGAGAAGGTTGAACCCTAAATTCCTATTAGGTAGATGGGCGATGCTACAAATTCAAGACTAGGGTTTGCTCAGCAGATCTAGCTTTACCCTTATCGGACGGTTTCAGAATGCTGCTACTTTCAGACTGCTCTTATCGACGGTTCAATTTGAGGCCACGTGAACATTTGATATCCATCATACAGTGCAGTCTTGGACTGTGCACATACCGTAGGCAGCTTGCAAGATTCAAATCGTCTCTTTCAAATTCTGGATTGTCTGAACAGCGCTCTTCAATAGGACACACAAAGCAGCTCTCAGCTGGCGTCCCCTTCCGTTTCTGGCCATCTTTGGCCATGGCTCATTGCGCTGCAAACGCGCTCCTGCAGCCAGCATTCTCCACGTGCTGTGCCTGCTCTTTGAACACACAGAGAAATACGACCATAGTTCAGAAAGTTCCTCTCGGGGGCATCGTTCCTTTCCGGGCTGGTCATTTGGGGAGGCCCTTGAGTGCGCTGGTGGGTAAAGGAGCGGAAAACAGGGTCTCTGTGGGAAGGTTGCGGGTTAGGGCGGCAGGGGTCGAGGTCGAGACCGTAGAAGCAGCGGAAAATGCCGGGGTTGTTGATGCACCCGGGGGGGCGGCGCCGCCAGCAAACAAGTACAAGAATGCATCTAGCAACCGGTATGCGAATGGGAAAGCTCAGAACGGGTCAAATGCAGCCAGCGACAGCGAAAGTGCAAGCGAGACCATTACCGAGGCGGTAGAAGAGGTGTTGCCGCCAGCGAACGGTGCCGCGGCACCCCCCCTGGAGCGGAAGAAGAAGACGCTTTCGGGGCAGAGAAATGCTGAGGGGGCCGCGACCGCTCCTCCCCGGGGGGGTTCTCAAGCAGCTGCTCCCGCTCCTAGGGGGGCCTGGAAGAGGGGCGACCCGCCGTCGAGACCAGCGGCAGCGAGACCGCAACCGCCCCGGGGGGGCCAGGCAGAAGCCAAGGAAGTCTGGACCCCTAAAACAGGCAAGCGCGTGACTGGGTTCACTCCGGCGTCCCCTTCCTCGTCCGACCCTGGGTTCGATCGTCCGTCTCCCGCTGCCGAGCGGCCTGCCGTCAGCCGGCAAGATCTGGACGACGAATATCAGAGCCCCCCCCGGAGGTCGCTACGAGCGGAGACCCCCGCTCGGTCGCCGGCGGCTAGCGCAGAAGTGCAGGTTTGGCGCCCCGGGCAGGGGCAGTTGGGCGGCCCCGAAGGAGGGGGGCAACCGCCACCCCCCCGGCGGGGGGGTGGAGGGGGTGGAGCATTCCCCGACCAGGTTCTCGACGACCCTAGCCTTCTGTCACGGCGCCCGCCCCCGCGCTTGGTTGGTCCTCCCGGGGGGGATAAGGCCCCCGCGAAGAAGCGCGCGGTGCGCAAGACGGGGGGCGCGGGGCGGCGCGGGGAGGAGGACGAGAACCAGCGGTTTATCGCGGACAACCAGATTGTGATTCCAGGGATGCCGCAGAAGCGGATCGTGAAGCGGCGGCGGCGGAAGGGGCGCGCTTACAAGGCGCGGATGCGCGCGCTGCGGGACAAGACGGGGCAGCCGGTTCGGGCGGAGATAATCGAAGTTGGAGAGGAGGGGCTCCCGGTGTCGGAGCTTGCAGAGTTGCTGGTCGTGAATGAAGCGGAGGTTGTCAGTGCACTGTTTATGAAAGGTGCGTTGTTGCTTCCTTGTTGGCTTTTGTTTTCGATTCCTTCTGTGCAGTGGTGGAATGTTCAACGTCTGTAGTGGTGCAGCTCTATACTTCGCTGTTCATATGTGCGCGGTGCTGTTCTGTTAGCTGCTATTCTACTGAAATATGGTCTGATTTTGGGAGTCACTTGTCGTCGTCCAGTTGGCCTGCAGCATTCTGCAAAAGGAGGCTAAGTATGCTCCTGTATCCAACATGATTGCATCTCCCCTTGTATCAGTGCTAGGGTTCTGCTCAAAGTAGGCCTGAACCATGTGCATATGCACCTACAGACCCAGGGCATTGTCCTTCCGGAGATTTTGTACTTTATTGAAGCCAATGCTTGTGAAGCGTTTTTAGATTCCATCGCTTGATACTACTCAAGCAGTGAAAACCTGCACAATGACCCCTTTTGCATAAATCAGATCTAAAAGTCAAGAGTGTCAGCTTATCTAGTTGCTTATAAGGTTCAGGTGGATGTCAGCTGAGGAAAGTTGCACGGTATCATCCCTATAGTTCCAGGAGCTTGGCAGTGGTCGATTGGACCTAGGCTCCTCCGCTTTACGGTGTTGTGTTTGTCTCCCGCGGTTGCTGGTGGTGTTGATGATGCGCGGTTGTGAGAAACTTTTTGGTTATTTGTCGTGTAGAGTTTTTAGTGGTGCAGGAGGCATTAAGAAGCTTTTGAAAAGAGTAGGGTTCTGCAGGTCTTTTTTTTTGTCGAAAGGCGTTGCATCAAACGCCTGCGCTCTAGAGATCTTGGCCTGATGTTGCTCTTTTCGCCATTTCGAGAGCGTCGGGTTCTGGTCAGGGCTCTTGACCACCAGCAAAAACCAGTCGGTGGCGTCGTTCAGAACTTCACTGAGGCAGTGGTGCTAAACAGTTCTGTGTGATTACGTCCTGATTGTGGTTTATTGCCACTAGCAAAGGATCTTTTACATAATACCAACCTCTTCAAGATCTTGAAAAGGCATTCATTGCCAAAGTTCTGTGGCTGTCGTGGCCTGATTACGGCAATGTTAGACAGCGTCTCTGTTGCGATGTTCTTTATGAATGACGTTCATGCTCATGCTGTGCTCTTCTCTTCCTCAGGCATCATGGCGACCGTGAATGAAACGCTGAGTCGGGACGCTGTGAAGCTGGTTTGTGAGCAGTTTGAAGTTGAGGTGAGGAGGATGATGCTTCTGCCTCTTTCAGTGATTTTAGCAAGCAGCATACATGGGGCATGTAGTTCTTGAACGAGCTTGATCCTATGGCAGCTTTGGAGGCACGTTGTGGGCTCCACCTTTAGGACACAGGAGTGGCTTCATTTGAGGGGCTCATGATTTATGCTTATGTGGGGGAGGGGGTTGCTGCTCTCTCAAATGCGAAGCACGGGTGCACTACAAAGCAGTTGATGAAGCTGCGCAGGAATGCTTTTTGACTAGAGGGCTCACTAAGGCTCAATGTCGTTCTTTGACAAGGGTTAAAGAGAGTTACTTTGTCTGAGAGGTCATATATGAAACGCAAGGATGGCTTGATTGTCTCGGTTGGAACCACTCTTGTCAGGTAGTCTGGCTCAGCTTGCCTCCTTTGCAGTCTCATCTGTTGCTTTGTGTGGTTCAATCTGGACAATTCATACTTTTCAGCCAGTAACTTTCTCTCCTAAGCGCGCCGTTGCTCGTGTCTCGGTTCTAAATGGGCCTGGTTGCACAGCTTGTTAGTCAATCTTCGTGTTCCGAAGAATCTTGCCAATGATATCGGGGAGTTTTGCTTCCCCGGGTATCTGTAATCAGCGCTTTCGTTTGGCCAGATTATCTCCAAAGCGTTTTTCTCAAGATTTGCTGTGCCTCTCCCATTCAGGTGCTTGAAGTGGAAGACGAGCAAATCGAAACGATGGCCAAGAAAACGAACGAGTTCATTTCCGAGTCAGACCTAGAGAAGCTGAAACCACGACCCCCCGTTGTCACAATCATGGGCCACGTCGATCACGGCAAGACGTCGTTGCTAGATTACATCCGGAAGGAGAAGGTGAGGGGCCCCTCAATATTGTTTGCTGAAGAATGGTTTGGTAGGAAGTAGGAAGGACTACGTTATGCCAGTAGGAAGGTAATATGCGAACGCTGCTCCCTCTCTCATTCGCGATTACTGACGGCCCTTGCTGAGTCTCAAATATGCTTTGGCAATGCCAGGGCTGTGCTCCATCTGCTAACACTTCCGCTGACCCATACGGCATTGAGCTGCGTCAAGCCTGTCTACTCGGATGTCGGGATCAACACGCTTTCTTTTGGCCTTAGAGCTTCATGCTTCATAGTTCATTTGCCAAGTTTTTGCCTACAGCCTGTGACACCAGGCCACTTACGCGTCTCGAGCAGGACAAGAAACGCTAACATCCCTCGGCTTTTGCCATCCCCAGGTGGCGGCCGGCGAGGCCGGGGGGATCACTCAGGCGATCGGCGCGTACCGCGTCCCCGTCGAGGTGGAGGGCGAGACGCACACGTGCGTGTTCCTCGACACCCCGGGCCACGAGGCCTTCTCCGCGATGCGCGCCCGGGGCGCGAAAGTGACGGACATCGCCGTTATTGTGGTTGCGGCGGACGACGGCGTTCGGCCGCAGACGCTGGAGGCGATCTCGCACGCCAAGGCGGCGGAGGTGCCGATCGTGGTGGCGATCAACAAGGTGGACAAGGACGGGGCGAGCGTGGAGAAGGTCATGCAGGTGAGGAGGGTTTGCAGTGCGTTACCCCAAGGGTTTGCATTTCTTTTCAGGGGATTGCAGGGGTGTCCACTCCGAAAGTTTTGGGGTTCATGCGTGCTCGGCGTTTATTGGGCCTTTTGAGAGCTTTCCTGGTTTTCAGCGATTCCGGCAGAGAGATCGCGTAGGTGAGGCGGCATGCAGGGGCGTCGGGGTGAAGGGTTCCAGTGTTCGGGGAGTGTTGTTCCTTCTTACGAAGATCTTTCCTTCTTACGAAACCCTCGGCAGGCGTTGACTCCAGAGGTTGGACATTGTTCAGGTCGGAGATTCGGTATGCAAGAAGCGGGTTTGTGAATAAAGCAGAGCCTTAAACACTGTAGAGTTTTCTGGAGCTTCAAGCTGCGTTAAGCTGGACGCATGTATCCTTTGGACACAACAGGAGATTTCAGATTCGGAGGGACTTGTGTTTGTCGATTGGAACCCGCCCTAATAAAGCCCTTAGGAATGTCAGTCGGTCATTGGGAGGGCCCCAATAACGGCTGCAAGAACGCTGCGACGCCCAAACAGATGCGGAGAAAAGCCGGAGAAGACGACTTGATATGAAACATGCGTTGCTCACAAGCCACGTGGCGTTTGCAGGAGCTGTCGGCGCAGGCGCAGCTGTACCCCGAGGAGTGGGGTGGTGACGTGGCGATGGTGCCCGTTAGTGCGAAGAAGGGGACCGGGGTCGACGAGCTGCTGGAGGCCATCATGCTAGTTGCGGAGGTGAGGGCATTCACACCTTCGTTGTTCGAGTTCCGGGGTTCACGAAGAACGCTTCTCTATCCTAGGAAATTATTTCCCACTGATCACTGGAGGCCATCATGCTAGTTGCGGAGGTGAAGGCGTTCACACCGTCTTTGTCGGGTTCGGGGAGCTCTCAAATATGAGAAAGACTTCTCTATCTTAGGATTGTTTTTTCTGTGAATACTGGAGGCCATCATGCTAGTTGCAGAGGTGAGGTCATTCACAACCTCTCTGTTCGTCTTTAGTGCACCGTTGCTGTGAGTCGCTGTCGTTGGTGAGGTGTGATTCCCGGACGATCGCGGACGTGTGCAAACTAGTTAGATAGAGCATTGCTCGTCATAAGTCTTGAGCTCGCAGTTTATCTTGTATCTAAGCATGTGGTTTTGCGCTCAACCTGATCTCCTCTCCGTCCTTCGGGTCTCTCTGAAGGGTCCGGATACCACGTAACGACTTCCTTTGCAACTTTCGGTTATGTAACCGAGTTCTTGGGGAGCCCAGACCGCGAGGGCAAAAGCACAGTGATTGAGGCGACGCTTGACAGGATATCTACCTTAACTTTCGAACAGGTCAACCATCTTTTTGACGTTTCGAACAAGTCAACCACCTTCGTGACTCTCGGACAGGTGTCCGAGTTGTCGGCGAATCTATCTGCGATCCGGACCTTGAGGCCAAGGGCACGGTGATTGAGGCGACGCTGGATAGCTTGTCTATCTCAATTCTTGAATAGAGGTCCATGTTTTTCAACTATTGGACAGATCAATCCATCTCCTCGACAACCGAACAGGTGTCCGAGTTCTTGATGAAGTCGGACCGTGAGGCCAAGGGCACAATGATCGAGGCAACGCTGGACCGGTTATCTATCTTCGTTTTCGGACAGGTTAACCATGTTTCCGAAGCTGTGGAGAACTTTCGGACAACTTTCGGACAATTTTCGGACAAATTCGGGACACTTTTAACCATCTTTTCCACTTTCGGACAGGTGTCCGAGTTCTCAGCGAACCCGGACCGTGAGGCGAAGGGCACGGTCATCGAGGCGACGCTGGATCGCAAGCGCGGCCCGCTCGCGACGGTGGTGGTGCAGTGCGGGACGCTGCGGCGGGGTGACGTCATGCTGTGCGGGGACGCGTTCGGGAAGGTGCGGGCGTTGCTGGACCACACGGGGAAGAGCCTGAAGGAGGCGGGGCCGTCAGAGGCGGTGCAGGTGAGCGGGTTCTGCAATCTCTTAGTCTTTTGAATCTTTTGGAACTTGGGAGTTGGGAAAGATTTCGGGGAAAACGAAAGGCTTGGAGGTTCCGAGAATGAAGTGAAAATCCAGAAAATAAAGGCTCGAATGCTTTGGGAATCAAGTGAGAGGTTGGAGAAATGGGAGCTAACAGTTTCTTGTAACAAGGAAAGGCTTGGAAGTTTTTGGGGAGCTAACAGTTTCTCGTAAAAAGGAAAGGCTTGGAAGATTTTGGGAATGAGGTGAGAAGTTGGTGCGGGGACAGGCTCGGAAATCAAGGACGAAGGACACGAGATGGTTCGGATCGAGTCCGTTCAAATCGATGATTCCTTCGACAGGACCAGTGTCTGAGTTTACTGTGCCTATTTCTCTGTCGGCCTGTTCAGAGTTCCACATTGTTGGCGCGCTCTTCAAGTTGTTACCGACTTTGATCGTATTGTCTCATTGTATTGTCTCATTGTATTGTCTGGGAATGGATATGCGCAGTCAAGCCACGACGATTGAATGAGCGTCCGACATATACAGACGCGTGCTCTTTTCAGGTGATGGGCCTGAGCGGCGTTCCTGCGGCGGGTGAACTGTTTATCCGTCTCTTCTTGATTTCGTTTGTAACATCCAAGAATCGAATTTCCGCCTTGCATTCACGATCTCACGAAACATACGCTTTCGGCCTATAAGGACGTGCTCCCGCCATCTCGTATCAGGTGATGGGCCTGAGCGGCGTTCCTGCGGCGGGTGAGCTCTTCAAGTCTGCGTCCCAACAAACCTTTTAGTTGCATCCCGATAAGCGACTCACCCGCCTTTGAACTGAGACACAGCAGAGTGAACAGATTGACATACACACACGCTTGTGCTTTCCAGGTGATGGGCCTGAGCGGCGTCCCTGCGGCGGGTGAAGTGTTCGAGATCCGGCCCGACCTAGACGATGCTCGCTCAAAAGCGGAGGAGCGCGGGTATACACAGCGGACGCAGCGGTTGGCTAACCTGGCCGGCGAGGGCAAAATCACTTTACAATCGCTGGCGGCAGCAGCCGCGGTCGCGGAGGAGGGGCTCGAGTTTGGGCGGCTGAACCTGATCCTGAAGGTCGACGTGGCGGGCTCGGCGGAGGCGATCCGGAGTGCTTTGGAGGTGAGCTTTTGGTTTTTTTGTAGGATTTCAGACAGACAGTGTTTCTTAGATTTGGGGCGACGGCTGTCCTGGAAGTTTGAGGGGTGATGTGGCAGGGATGATGCGGAAGCGACTTGAGAGAGCTCTTGGAGGCGAGGGGATGGGATGTCTGAGTTGCTGGAATTTGGTAACGTTGGGCTTAAGAGTAAGGGACTCGCGGCATCGAGCGCTGCCGCTTGGGTTTCGTCTGCTCGTCGTGCATTTCCGTGGCATTTTTTTTGCTTTTCTCCTAAGCTATCTCGTGCGTAATTTAAGAGTGTGTCTGGTCCTGGTGACAAGTCTCTCGCCTCCTTTTGTTGCTGCTTTGTGTTCAGAAAGTAAAGGGAATTGCACGAGCTGTTGGTGCTTGCAGAGTCCAAATTTTGAGGTGGCGGTACAACACTCTCCACGTCCTTTCCTTCTGCAGGCGTTGCCGCAGGACACGATCGGATTGCGCTTCCTGCTGTCGATGACCGGTGACGTGAGCATAAGCGACATCGACCTAGCGCAGGCGAGCGAGGCGGTCGTGCTCGGCTTCAACGTGCAGGTAAGGGGGACGCGCCTTTTCGAACGAAAGCAACTTTGGCAGCTATTCTGTCGAGCCGGAATCCGCACAAGGAGTCGCGCTTGTTAGCCCGGACTCTGCATATTGGTTGAGGACAGGCCTTGGACCCAATTCCGCACAACGCTCCTCCTGTTAGCCAGTGGGCGTGTTCCGAGAATCTTCTATCTAAGGAAGTAGAAAATGGCGCTCTCCTACATCAGGGAGCTTTGCATATGCACTTGAGAGAGGCGTTTCGTGAACGCGGAGCTGGTTGCTGCCCTTGAATGGGAAGAATCTTCAACTTAGCAATAGTAAGCTTTAGCAATAGTAAGCTCACCAGCCTGGGACGGGTAGGGTTATTTTGGGGGTTAGGGTGGGTTCGGGTGCGGAGCGGGTGATTTTATAGGTTAGGTTTTAGTGTTAGTATTGGAGCTTACTATTGCTTGCCCTTACTATTGCTAAATTGAAGAGACATTTGAATGGGGCCCTCGAACGCATCGACATGCTTTCGGGACCGTCCAGAGGCGGCATCTGACGGCTCAGAGCGTGCCTCGGACAGGTGCCGCCGGCCGCCGAAGCGCACTCTAAGGAGACGGGCATTGAGGTGAAGCAGTACAACGTCATCTACGATCTGGTAGACGATATTCGGAAGGCGATGGAGGGGATGATGGAACCGGAGGAGGTGCGGCAATGTTCATCCCTTGTTCGGTGATCCTGTTTGAACGTGATTCTGAGTCTCTGACGTTGATTTCGTTTTGATGCAAGTTGAGAGCGTTCACTGATGTCCAAGCCTGTCGTTTGAGAAGGCGATACAGTTTAGTCGGAACCAGAAGAGTCTCGCGCAATCCGGTGAACGATCTCCGTGGGATTCACCCCCTCACCCCACAACAATGCCAAAAAAGTCTACTGCTGCTTCACGCTCCACAGAAAAACGCTCGCCTAGTTGCGATTACATTAAGTGCACACTGCACACGGTCGTGCTGCCTCAATGCTAAAGTTCCAAGTCTCTTCTTTTCATCACCTCGCCAACCGGTTGGCGACCCTTCCAGCTCGTACACGCCTCGTGCACGCCTGTGCGATTGGTCGTTTAAATAGCCCCTCGCACTTCTCGCACAGCAATCGTACAACTATCGTATGCCCGTCTGACGAATCAACTAAATTTAACCTCTGTATCTCGTATGCGCGTCTGACAATGAAGTTCAATCTCCTGCAGGAGCGCATTCCCATTGGGACTGCCGAAGTGAAGGCCGTGTTCCCCGCCGGGAGTGGTAAGGCGGCCGGATGCATCGTGACGGAGGGAAAGCTAGTTAAGGGTTGCACGATTGCGGTGATCCGGAAGAAGAAGGAGGTCTACTTCGGAAAGCTGGACAGTTTGCGGCGGGTCAAGGAGTTGGCAAAACAGGTGAGGGTGTTCATTTGGGTCAGGGGTTTGGAGTCAAAGTTCTACGAGAGGGGTTTAAGGGACGAAAGGACTTGGTTGTTGTTGGGGTTTATTTTGCAGATTGGGACGGTTTCAGAGCGGAATGTTGACCTTGCTGTCTGCCGCTTTGATTCAAGGGGTCTCAAAATATTGAGGGACCTATTCTGTTGTTGCGAAGCATTAGACAACTGTAGAATTCAAAGATCCAGCTCTACTTTCTTGGAAATAAGCACAGGGGACTTTTGGTCAATCTTAAGATTAGTTTTGACGGACGGTCACAGCACACTTGCGAAGGTGTGAACGACTTCTTCCAGTTGAGGATCGATTGCCTGACTCGCTGTGTCTGAAACTGTCGCAGGTCGAGCAAGGCAACGAGTGCGGGGCGAACGTCTCCGGGTTTAATGAGTGGGCGGTAGGGGACACGATACAAGCATTCAACGTCGTCAAGAAACAACGGACGCTAGAGTCGGCCTCTGCCGTTGCCACGAAGGCGATGGCGATGCCCGCCCCAGTGGCGGCGGGCGCTGCTGAGTCTAAGTGAAGCCACGTCGCTTGTACAACATTCTTCCGTTAAAGGTAGTTGGGCTAGGTAGGCATTTTTCAAAGTGGGATGTACTCAAGACGCGTTTGCAAAACGGCCACGTGGTTGGATGGCTGGAATCTGGACAAAGCTTGGCGCTTTGAGATGAATGATACCCGGCCACCATGTTCCCCGTGGACTGCTTTCTTGACCTATGAGCTCGCTTGTGGTTACTCACTTGTCGACGAAGCCAACGTTGGCACGCTTATAAGATGATTCGCTCTGGACCGCTTGATTCAACATTGTAAGCGGAGCATATTGAGCCTCTTGCTGCTCATTTGAAGCCGCTACACGTTGGCGGCTCTTCTAGCAACTTTTTGCAATCAACGAAGAGCTAGATACGATTAGAGACACTGTGTGCTAAAATTTTGGGTTCCGATCATGACGATAGTGTTGCCCTGCAAAATTTGACATCCGCCATGATTGAGCCCCCCGACCCCTACATGGGCGTCAAGCGTGATGTGCAGATTCAACGCGAGATCTTCAGAGAAACGCCTCCGATAAAGACCTACATGCATTAACGCGCAGGAGGATATAAACACGATCGCCATATTGAGGTGATTCAGACGGAATTGCTTCACACGTGTCCCCGGCCGCCAATCAAAGGGCGGGCCATGCACCGTCACTCTATGTAGGATGATCGAAAGTGCCTTTAACGCATTGACCTCCGGCGTTCTTAATTCCATGCTTCGGCGCATGGTGCAGCTCGCGGCAGTCAATCATTGCCGTGCAGCGTGTCCAATGGCTTCCAGGATCTGTGCATGGACATTGTGAGCCAGAGTATCGCAATCATTAATCACGTACGGTCCATGCGAAGATCGGCCGAGGGTTACTTAGGAATTATCAAGCTATTCTTTGTGATTGGGAAACAGATTTGGACGGCAATGCAACCCGGCGCAACTTTGAGCTGCTTCGAGGTTTCTCCTTCTGTCATCGTGTATGTCAGCAATTATACTCATCTTAATATCTGAATATTACTTAGCCAGGAACACCGAAAACGTGTTCGCTATATTTTTCCGTCTTATTTCAAACCAAAATTGGGAAGCAGGCGGGACCATACGACTAACCCCTCGCTGTCATGAAAGCTTTTGGAGGGCCCTACTACCAGCTCCACCCGTTGTCGAGTCCCTTGCCACATGCCTTCTACTTTGGTAGTGATGAGCAGGTCATTGTCTACAGGATGCAGGTGCACGTGAATGTCCGAAAACATTTCGTATGGCTGGCACCGTGGAAAGTGCCACTCGCGCTCTTCCACCATGTTGAATGTCGCACTCTCGGAGCTGTCTGAGTTGACCAGTCCCTGGTCAGGGGTATGTCTGAAGATGCTCCACTTCAATCCGACGTTGCCAGTTCCTGTCCAGTGAGGTACTTGTAAAATGGTTCCTCTGCTGCCACCAGAAGCGACGATTGGAAAATCTGCTAGCTCAGCCGTGGTCTTCAGGAGAACGGACTTCCAAGGCTTCTGAAGCTCCTCAGCTTTGAGAGGATGCATGAAGAGGGGCCCAGCGCCTTCTCGAAGGAACACGGCGTCGCTACTAGCAGCGCAAGGCACGTCCCCCAGCTTGCCTCCACCATTACGAAAATCGACGTATGGCCCGCTTGGAGCTGTGCTCTGAATAGTTTCTGGCAACCCAAAGGGACTCCAGGAGTCAGTCAGAGTGTCGTACAGATTTGCATGCAGAGACTTGATCCAAAGTTCCTCGTGGTTGAGTACTGGGATTCCTCGAACGCAGACTGCATAATGTAAGACGAGTATGTACCGTCCTGAAGCAGCCTGCACTACGAAGCTGCTCTCGACGGGGCAGAACTTGTCGCCAAGAACAAGGCCCTCTGCCGTTGGCGACACGGGAGCCTCTCCTTCCCCGAACTCTAAGGCTCTCCGCTCAGTCTAGCAGCTTTCTCTTGTAGAATATGACCGGAGCCGCATCTTGTTCACATGTTGCAGATGCTCTCCACTTCCAGGAGGCAGCTTTGGCTCGCTGAGCACGTAAACCGTGTCGTTGAGTACCACCAGGCTCTCTGGAATGTCAATCCACTCCTCTCCTGACTGCAAATCTTCCCGACCCCTTCCATACCTGCCTGTCACGAAAGGATGTACATACAGTACCGATCTGGCTTCGTTCATAAACCCTAGGCTAGCGTACGTGTTTTTTTGCTGGCTATCAAACACGCGTCAGGCAAACTTGAGCAACCCTGCCTTGAGGAAAGAGCCTGCATTTCCCAATCTTCCTTCTTCTACCGCCTCCTTCCACGCTGTTGTTACGCACCGCAGGCGCCAGAGTTCGTCGACCTCTAGGTCGAAGGCAAAAATGAAGCCACAGATTAGGCTGCTGATCTCTTCTGGCAGCTTGTCAAAGAGCGTCATTCTTGTTTGCAAGGGAGAGCTTGAATTAGCAGAAAGAGGACAACAGTCACAACCAGATAATCTGGGTCTGGGGGCGAGCGCGCCTGGCGGCCGCGCGCGCGGCGCTGCGGGGTTTTACAAAAAGGGATGCGCGGCGCGGCCTCCGCCCAGCCTGTTCCCACGACCGTACCGCGCGCTTTAGTAGTATAAAGTACCGCCGCCCGCGCGGGCTCCGAGAGCGACGCCCTCGCAGATCACTACGTAGTAACATTGGCTTTAACCTTGCCTGGCTGAAAAGTTGTGCCAGCTCGACGTGGCCAAGAAAGATTCAAAGGGATTGTACGGCTCCATCAGCATCACGGGTGTATTCCAATTGAGAGTTTCGCAATTTTCCAGGTGTCTCATAGTTGTTTATGGATTCGATAGTATTCTGCTGTTTGAGGCATCAATGAGCATCATCATGGTACCGTGACGGCGATCGGAGATTAACAATGCATGTGCAAGTTACAAGCATAGCATTACAAGCCCTAACTTGTTTCAAACGTAGATACCAAACCAGCTTCAGCCCTCAAAGCCGCGCTTCAATCTTAACAAGTTTGGCCTCGGTAGAAAGGCCACGGTCAGGTTCGAAGTTCGATTCTTGTATTCAGAGCATTCAAGGCAAGTCTCACATTCGTTATCGAGCATCAAACGTGGACTTCATGGATCAAAAGCTCAAGTGATTGGCCCCGAGTAGAATGGCCGCTGATGATATCTGTATCGCTAAATTGGTCCACATAGTACGTGTTGACTTCGTTATGTAGTAGAACTCCTAAGCGCAGCTCATCCTACGTAGGCCTCCTTGCTCAAGACTCGCCAAGTTCTTCTCGACTGATCAGCGTCGCACCATTTTTCGACAAGTATTGATCATTCTCCAGTCGCTACTAGCGGAAGATCACTATAGTCCTCATCACTGCTCCATTCAGAACCGTTCTCCTCTGCTTCGCTCTCTGAAAACGAATAGCCCCAGCGTCCGAAAGGTGCTCGATGGCGCCCCTCGCGCGCGCGCTCGACGACACCGACCACGTGCCCCGAGCTGCACACCCTGAAATCCACCGCCGTATCCACCGGTTCGTCGACCGGTAGTCCGCGTCGGGGGCCCGCGCAGAAGTGGCAGGCGCCCGGGGCGTACACCCCTCGGGCGCTCTTCCACAGCTCGTCAGAAGCAATGAAGCCCCGATAAATGATCCTGTTGATCAGCCGTCCGGCCCCCATCGTAGAAACTTTCTCCAGGGGGGATCACATGAGAGCAGCACACCATGTACAAAGGCCCCCGGTCTGCTGGGCCCGCAAAAAATTGGCCCCCGAAAACCTCTTTGACTTCCTCCAGGGAGACGCTTTGAAGGATTTCTAGGGGGAATGGACCGCGACAATACAGGTGCGGTCTGACACCAACACTGTCAGCTGCATCATGTATCTTCTGCGCGCTGCTAGACCTTTCCAACGGTTCTCTTTCCGTCACAACATTTACGCTCCTGGAATCGTCCTTCTCTCCAGTGCTCCCTAATTCTTGCAACCAAGCCTGCATTCCCGCGCTCGAAAGCTGTTCTCCGGAATCGCCTGGATGACCTTCCATTCCCTCGGGGGATTCCTGGCCCCCGGGACACCACGTCAGCAGCTTAGCGAAGCTCATCCAGCCAGCGTCTCTCGGGCTGCTCTTTTCCCCACCGAGCTGCACAATTTGCGCGCAGACCTCCGGAGCGATCCTTCTGCAAGCCGCCTCCCACGCGCGCTCCCTCACAAACCGCGCGCAGCGGCCCGACGCGCGCGCGAAGCTGGCCAAGCCTTGCACGCCCTGGGAGGCATGACATTCCAAAAGGTCCGATTCGAGAGGAAAGAGCTTGTCCAGGATGAAGCAGATCAGCTCGTCGTCTTGCTTTTCAAAGGTTTCGTCGGCGTCCATAGAGCTGGCCCGCTGGTCGAAATAGCCCCAGTTAACTTCAAATATCAACGGCCTGTATGGATGTCACGAAGAAAGCTCTTCTTGCAGCACGAAGTCTTGGTGTCGCAGGCGGATCGTGCGATATGCAAGAATAATCAGAGCGCCCGCGCCGCTGACTTTGTCTCACAAAGGGTCATAATACAGATCTGCTGCGCCAGAGCTTTTCACAGGGGAGCTCGCATGCGCTGGAGTCCTACCTATCCTGAAGTGCTGTAAGATGGATTATTAATCTGAAGATCTGAACCCCCGGGATCCTAATTGGAGTTAGCTGCACTTGGTGCGCATGCACGTTTATTGGCCAGAGTGTCTAGCGCAATTTACAGAGTCGATTGTATTGTTTTGCTCATTTCTGAGCCGAAAATCTTTAACGTCAGTACAGATCCTGAAGATGAATCCTCAGATGCGCCGAGCTCTGACCCCCATCGCGGGGCTTTAATCACTTGACATTTAGGGGCCCGCTAATCTGGTCCACAGGGGAGATTTTAAGCTCCGGTCTCCTGTTCCGGTGCTTTACCGGCGGCGGAACCTTGAATTAATTGAGTATTTAATTCGTAGTATAATTGGTGAGTTTTAGCAGTGGCTGGACTCCGGGGAGTCGACGGACCGACCGACCGCCCGAGTGACTTTGGTGGGGTTAGGAGGGGGGTTAGGGTGGGTATGGGTGAGCCCACGGCGGGACAAATTAGGGTTGGGGTTAGTCACTTTTCTTTAGGTTTTTAGTTTGTCTTAAGCCTCCTAGTGACCTTGGTGGGGTTAGCTTGGCGGTTAGGGTGGGTTCGGGTACGGCCTTGGCGGAACGTGTTAGGGTTATGTAGTAACCTTGAACCCTGTGTTTTCCTCGGTCGAGCGCTCGGTCGGTCCGCCTGGTCCTTGCGACCTCCAGTACAAGCAGTACCGGCAGGCCGACCCAATGGACGAGACCAAAGGTGAAATCTTCCCGGACCGACCGACTGCCGGACCGGGGCAGTATGGTACTTGCGGTCCGGCAGTCGGTCCGCCTGGTCCGACCAGGATCGCGGGGTCGGACATGTGGTCCGGCGGTCGGTCAGTCTGCCTGGTCCGGCAGCCACGACATGATATGATGCAGTCCGACGGTCGGTCGGTCCGCCCGGTCCGGCAGCTAGAACCTGATTGTCCGGTCTGGCGGTCGGTCGGTCCGCCTGGTCCGGCCAGGGTTGGCACTTGGGAGACGGTGACTGGGGCGGAACGGCGCTAGGAACGGAAAGCTTGAAATCTCCCCTGTGGACTAGATTTAATAGCGTGCCAGTATTGACATTCGTCAGCTTCTTTCGTCCAAGCTTTGCGAGATTCTTGATCACAATGTAATACTGTTGGCTCATGATCGGTTAGGGTACCGTCATTTTGTACCTGGTACCCCCCCATTTTTTATCTAGGGGGGGGGGGCTCGAGGCCTCAGTGGTGACGCAGGGTGGA